GGTTCCACAATGTGTTCCCCTTTTCTGTTTTATTTTGTTATAATTTAATATATTTGGGTTTTGGACTATAAATAAGCAACTTTAAGATTGCACTCTCAGATCTTATGATGGTCATGTCCCCTCTTTTATAACATTTTATAAACAATAATTAAATTCATCAACATTTAAAAAAGAAAATCAGTTCAGAAAACTTAGAGACACCTCTGGCACAACAATAAAAACACTTACGCAACAGACAATTAATAGGATTCATACACAAACAGTAGGTATGAGCCCTCTAAGCCTTTAGAATGAAGCCATCATGGAACTTCTGGATGCGTGCCTGCTGTCACTTGTGCAGACTCTCGTTGACTGTAATAATTATGTAGGATCATTAGTGTGTCCGCGGTTGAATGCAGTAATGAAGTAGACGAGCTGATTATGTGACTTCATGGAGTTCAGAATAGACGAGACTGTTTGGTTTCTAAGAACTAGTGGAGAACAGTGATACAGTGTACAATCTGGGATTCCCTAAAACTCCACGTGTCCGAACAAACTGTCAAATTCTGCAAATTCTGTATGTGTGCATGCGCGTCTGTGTGTGTGCGCGTCTGTGTGTGTGTGTGTGTGTGTGTGAGTGGAGGGTACAGGTAATGGTCCAGCTCTAGGGAGGGATGACCTCACCCGTGCAAACCCCTCGAGGGCAAATGAGCTCAGTTGCTGGCTGCCGAGGTTCTGATAGGCCTGTAGGTCTGTTTATCAGTGGAAAATTTAATCCTTATACTATATAACCCCCCTCCTCCGCCCGCCATCCAATTCACACAAACACACACCAGGCATATGAGTTGCACCTGTATGAAATTCAAAGTCTATCTCTGCGTGTGTGTTTTTGCAGTCATATTCTGTTGCCTCAGGCCAGACTAACCCCGCACACAGACAGCTACATGCACAGGCTCACCTAAGGAGTACCATTTAAAACCTTATGAATACAAAACAGTTTCACACTGTGACCCTTTAGCACTTTCATCACTCAGTGGAGTATTTCATCATAGCTTAGCAAATCTTTTTTTTTATTATTATTATTATCAACCAAGTTTCACAACTCTGACAGCGAACTTCCTGTAACTCACTCATTGTCTACTAAACCATGTTATGGATAAGCATGAATATGGCAGTTTACCAAAAACATTAAACTCGGATTACATGTCTTTTAAATATGTCATACAAGATTACCCTTGTCTACAAGTTGAGTAATGTATTTAACTGACAAATCCACCCCTGCATGCTCTTGTAGTGTTACTGCTTTCAGTACGAAGCAGCAGCAAGAGGTTGAAGAGTTACAGTCACATGAGATAACCTCATTTAGTTTGAATGAAATATGCAGTTGTAATATGAAGCTGATCCTCATTTGGTCTTTTTTTTTTTTTTTTGCTGTCTGCTGATCAAACCTTTGACATGAATATGTTGGGCAAAAGCAGCACATTTATTGTAGTTTGGACAAGCACCAAATGCATATAATTAGGGCTTTAATTTATAACTCTCTTTATTATGAACCGAATATAACAATTATTATTTAAATTGTTTGTCATCTTTAAAATGTCTATAAAATCAGACTTTCACAGAGCACAAGGTATTATCTTGGACTCTGTATTTTGTTACTGTTACAACAGTCCAAAACTCAAAGAAATTCTCTTTACAGTGATATAAATTGTCATTTATGGATACAGTGTAAGTGTGTCCCATGAAATAGTTAATAAGTCACATTTTCCAGGTCAGAGGAATGAATGTGGATTTCTTACCCTGGATTTGAAGGCCAGGAGAATCTTGGGCAAAAAGAGGACAAAGCATTTCAGGCCAATGGTAAAGTACTTAAGGACAAAGTCATTGATGCCCACTGCCCAGATCAGATCAAAGAAGTCTAAGCTGTTGAGGTTGGGCTTGGAGAAAATGAGGCTAGAAGAAAAAGAAAACAACATGTAGATGACTTGTTATAGGGAGCTCTGGTGTTTTCACTCGGGATGGTAGAATGACAAATAAAAGCACGGCGAATGTTTAACATAATGTTAAAAAAGTATGTGGAAACAAAACAATGACAAAAAACCCCCACAACAAATACTCACAGGACAAGACCAGACAAGAACAGGAACAATTCCTAAAAGGAAATGAAAGTAAAAATAAAACACAACATAAAATGATTGGGAAAAAAACTGAATATATAAAGCAAATCCAAAAACATATGATGGCAGGCAAAGAAACACAGCGAGGGTAAAACAAATACCTGCTTGTACACTACCTGTTGTGCAGCTCTTCATGACTAAATGTGTAGTAGATATATGCTATATTCCCAGCAAGGAACATGACGATCCACAGAGCAACAAATACAGAGCGTTCCTCCTGGTAACATGAAAGAGACAGAGCTATTTTAGCAACATAACAGCAACATTTCTTAACATCTAAAATTTTAATTCGACACTGATTTTTGCAACAATGGCGCTTCTTGTTAGAATGTCTGTCACATAATTAGTCCATCTGTATGTGAGCTTGTGTGTTCGTGTCCACAACGCATTGCTTGGCATGCTTTGGGGCGTTTAATATTTCCACTAACACAGATCATCAAGTAGTTTTTGTTGCATTGTCATTTCTGACTAATTGTTTTTTACTATCTGCTTCCAGCTCACCCCTAAGCTAGATGAGTAAGACAGACAGCTCTCTAGGATGAGAGAAAGGCGTTTAAGGCAGCGAGTAATTGACCAAATAAGGGGAATAAAAGCTTCACGCAGAATGGCAAGAGTTTTGTTTAGTATTCATGACTAACACAAAACCGTCAGACTACGTGAAGAAAGACTTCCTGTGTCAAAGTGAAAAGTTGTATATTGTAGCTATAAAGAAAGTGGCTCACAGAAAACGTTAACACAAATATATACTAATGCACCACTTTTTCGGCAGGTTCAGATGAGCAAGAGTTTTGTGATGATATTTGATTATAGAATAGAACAGAACAACTAGAGTAGTATTACTAGTATTTAACCATTTAAATAACTTAAGGCTGGTGATACTGTACATTTGGTCAACCCATTGTATTAAAAGACCAGCGCTGTAGTTTATTTTGAGTCAATCCAACGTACACCGTCCCGCTGCTGTAAATACTCACTATAGCACACCAAATGTGTGTTAATCCACAGCTGAAAATAGTCCCCAACAAAGGCACTATTTACTCCTGTTTGTGTAAAGTTTGATAAAGACAATAGTGCCCAGCAGTTTTTGGATATTTCCTTTACCAAAAGGAGACTGTACTTGCAACACATTTATTTACATCTTCAGTAAGAATGAATGGCCTTCAGGTTGAGAGCCACAGACAGGGATTTGTTGGATTTGTTGATAGGTAAAACATCAAATAACACCAGCCGTATTCTTTCATATAGGCATGTGTAAAAGCTCAGCCTGAATTTGATCTAACACCAAAGGCATTACTATCTGACGCTGGGAAAAATCAAATATTGTCACTGTCTTTAAAAACCTGTATCAGCACAGCAGTTAATATATACTGTAGTGTTTTGTTTTTTTTACCCGTAATGACACTTGGTGCCTCAACGTGGAATTGGCATAGGCGAATGTGCAGGCCATGCCCACACACACAGCAATACCTGCAGAAGAGAGATCCAATATCATCACTAAACGAGATATTATGCTGCTAAAGAGTCTTTGTTGAAAAACAGTGTGCTATTCGCACTATTACGCCAAAAGCTGGTGTACCTAGCTTATGCTGAAAGCAGACTTTAGCTAGCAGAATGAGGATGAAAGGGAAGCCCCTCTGCAGCCATGTGACTACTGACTTCAGCTCAGACAGGGCTGGGGCCGGAGTGGACGGATCTTCCTGGGCCTCCTCCCTGGAGCTGTGCCTCTCAGACGCAGCTGCTGTAGTGGCCTGCTGGAGCAGAGAGGAGGTCCTGTGCTGCAGGGGCTGGTGGTGGAAGTGGTGGTGGTGGTGGTGGTGGTGCTGGGGCGGTCGAGGCCCAAAAGGTCCACCATCCGTGCGGTGGGGGCCCCCTTCTTCTCTGGACGATGCAGTCATCTGGATAAAAACTTCAGGGGGAGACCCCAGGACTAAGCCGGCTGCCTGGAATTGGGCAGAGGAGACAGAGCCGGAGGGGACACCCACCAGGCCAGAAAAGATCTGCTGGGGTGAAGCGTGTGAGTCGGGCTTCAGGCAGTCAAATACACCACCCTCATCTAGGCTGCTCTCTGATCCCAGAGTTTGGCTTCGGCTCCTGAGTGGGGAAAAAGAGGGAGGATGCAAAAAGAAAAAATGTGCATGGTAGGTGTTGATATGTCATGTTAGGGGATCTGTATATTCTACATGATTATGTCTCTGTATGGGTAGGCTGGTTTCTTTAGAGACATACCTCTGCCATATCCTACTTCTATACAGTTGTAAATGAGAGCACTGAGCTATATTGTGTCAACATGTCTACAAGTATGTGGACACCCTAACATTTGCCCCATAAATAACTGTTGGGGCATTGCTCTGCACATCTCTAGTAGTGTATGAAGACAATACACAAACAAAGGGCTTTCAACAGCAGCTCTGAGAGCTATTCTTCCCACCTGTCAGAGGGCATGCCATCCGTGTTGCTGCTGTGTCTCCTCTGCATGGCATACCGCTCATCACCACCTGGTCCAGCCCTGCAAATGCAAATGAACATCAACAGTGTCTGACTGACAGAGATGCCGCCTTACACAGTTTACATATTAACCTCTTCTACCTTGTGTGTGTTTCATGGGTTGGACAGTAAGCTGCATAACAATGTAGACGACCTTACTTGAATTAGTTCAGTGAATTGCCCTTCAGCCTTTGTCATATTTAGTGTCAGGTTAGCTAGGTTGATATTGCAGCAGAAGATGTTCCGACGGTCCAGCTCGAAAAACTTCCTGTATGACGTTACGTAGTGCCCCTATCTACCAATCAGTGTCCTCCTTTCCACCACACCACATCCGTGTTGGAAATTTGTTTTGTTCGTGCTGGACGTCAGATTTAGCTGGATAGATATTTCACAGTTGCTTCTTGTTAAACTTAACGTTAATATCGGACAATATAGCTTCGTTTTCTTTTATTTATGAAGAAACCGTGTCACGAGACTGCGTCATAGTATATTAGTTTTTCTTTAATCATCAGTGTCTGTCTAAGACAGAAAGCTAATGCTAACTTCGGCTAGCTAGCAGGTTAACAAAGCAGGCTTTTTATGGCCAAACACTGTTAGCTTGCGTGCCCTACCAGGTAACTGTCAGACCATGATTCTTATTGACAGCCACTGCCCGATTAGCGCAATTTTAATGTTAACCTTGCAACATGGGTTAGCTAAGTAATTGCTGCCGTTTTGGCTCTGAAAATAAAACAGTTACAGTTAACGTTATTCATCACATTTGATGTCTAATAAAGCTAGCTAACGTCAGTTTACAGAGCCAGTTTTGCTTGGTTTTACAGTTTTTGAGTCAGTCATCGTCACGTAGGCACAAATTACGAATACGTCAGGCAGGGATTTGATGTTTAGGACTGTCAGCGGCGTCTCCCCCAAGAAAACCATGCTATGATGGTGCTACGGCGGTTACTGAGAAAGCGCTGGGTGCTGGGAGTAGTCTTCGGACTGTCTCTCATCTACTTTCTCACCAGCACACTTAAACAGGTAGAGACTTTCACACTGCACTAAAAAGCAGATGGGGGTATCTTCTGCACCAGGGGTGGGCTATCTGGAGAAGGTCATTGGTATTATGTGATTTTTGTATAGCTAACGTTACCTTCATATAAATGGTAGCAAAAGCTCTAGTTTTCCATTGTAGGGCTGAATATTAAACTGAAATGTGGCAGGTATTAAATGTCCAGGTAGATGAACAGTCTTAATTTTTGATCAGATAGATCCTGATTTTATGTCTTTGAGTAATGATTGTTTTTCATGATTTGTCACCGTCTTCTGATAAATAATATTTTAGTTACTTGTTTTAGAAGCTGAAATTTCTGAATTTTCTGCATTTTTGCTTAAAAAACGATTAACAGATTGTCTAAATTATTGCAGATATGTGTTTTTTCTCCATGGACTTATCAGTTAACAGTATAATCAGCTCTGCTTAATTTGACTAAACTCTGAATTTTGCCACTTTTAGACTGTACTTGTTTAGGCAGAGGTCTTGTACAGCTGCTGTGTTAAGAAAACATGTGAGAACTATTGTGTTCCTATTTGGTGCCTTATAAAAAAAAAAAACGTTTTTAGTCCTAAAAATAACATGGACATTTTCATTCAATTTCATCCCTACTGTATTTTCTGAATTTTATATAATCATAGTGTCTGACCTTTTTCTGAACTTTGATCTTTGACCTTCTCCTGTGTGAATTCTGCAGGAGGAGCGGACCATGCGGGACCGCACACTCTTAGAGGTTAGAGATTCAGACCATCGCATCACCTGGAAAGTCCGTTTCAACCTGGGCAACAGCAGCAGACCGATCACTCAGTGCAGAAACTCCATCCAGGGCAGGACGTTGCTCACAGATGAACTCGGTGAGTAATGCAGCCTCACCGCCATACTGTGATAATAACACAACAGCCCCGCAAGACTGTTTTGTTGCCTTTAATCAATGTATATGCCTATCTGTGTTAATGTTTTACAGGTTATGTCTGCGAGAGAAAAGACTTGCTGGTTAACGGCTGCTGTAATGTCAATGCTCCCAGCAGCAGACAGTACATTTGTAAAAGCTGCCTAGCTAATGGCTGCTGTAGCATCTATGAGTATTGCGTGTCTTGCTGCCTCCAGCCTGATAAGGTAATCAGTCACATCAAGGATGTTCAGGGCCTTGGGTTATTAATCATCAAAAAATGCATCAGAAAGTGTCCACATGCTGCATCTTGCGAGATTGAAATACGATATGTCTCAAAGTAGAGGATTGATTTTGCGTTTTATACATAGCAGTGACTACGAGGGATAGAAAAAGATTGAAATCTGCACTTGTGCATTTTACACATGCTGCCCCACTTATCTGTGTCCTCTTACTCAGCAACCTCTCCTTGAACGCTTCCTGAATCGCGCAGCTGAAGGTTTCCAGAATCTATTCACTGCTGTGGAGGATCATTTTGAGCTGTGCCTGGCAAAGTGTAGGACCTCTTCACAAGTAGGTTATGAGATAGATACAAATTTAAACTCTTAAAGACCACACTTCTAACTTTCTAAATACAGAATGAATCAAAAAAGTATTCGTTCTATTTTGAAACCGAGCATGATTAGTGAAAATGGATGTTTCACAGACTCAACCACACCTCCCACCTATTTCTTGACTATAGTAGATATTTCACGCAGTTGTAAAATCTTTAGACTGTAGAAGATATGCACAACCTCCAAGTTTTATTTTATATATGGATTCTAATGGAGATACAAATATATGTTCCCTCTCCCTAATTTAAATTGCTCACATAACTCATGAATGTTTGTTATTGTCATTCCTAGTGTACCTTTCAAAAATCCCCCTCCCTTGTAATATCCTGTTGTTTTAGGAAAGAAAAACTTCACACTGCTTTTCATTTTCATTGTAGTGAATTTGTAAATTCAGCAGCAACATTTTACTTTTATGTTCTAACAAAAATACTTATAATATCTTTATAATACTTGATAAACTTGTTTATTTTTTTTCCCCTTTCATGCAGAGTGTTCAACATGAGAACACCTACCGAAACCCTCAAGCAAAGTACTGCTACGGAGAGAGTCCCCCAGAGCTCCTTCCTGTATGAGCATTTGACGTACTTCTCGGGTTTTAGGAAGGAACAGCAGTGGGCCAATAAAAAACGTGCCCTGTTTGGATACTTATGGGAGCTTGGAGAAGAGACTCTATTCAAATGAACTTCTGGACAATTTTGTATTATAGTAGCAAAGTAATGGATACATCCAAGACCAACCTCAAAATGGACAAATGCTATATGTGATTTGATTATTTACACTTCATAAGTGCATAGAACGCTTCATACATTCATCCATGATGATCATCAGGTCTACATAGCAGGCAGCTCATCCATCAGAATCTGCTTCATACCAGTTCATAAAATAGGCTTACACTAACAGCTGTTTGATGTTTTGTTGAATATTTTTAAAACAACAAAGAATGTGTCATTACTTCTGTGTATAGTGCATGCATATGAAACTGCTATTTAATAAAAGTGAGTGAAATTAAATGGGTTATGGTTTATGCTATTCATGAATGGTGACATTCAGAATTTCTTAAATAGTGCCTTTGATATGTTTATGAACTTGTGTTACAGGTGTAAAAGGCAGTTAAACCCCACTGTTTGTGTGTAGATCCAAAACAAGGGTGATAGGCCTGCTAAATGTTTTAAAGCTACAAAAATTAAGCTTGTTAAAGAAAAGTTAATGTACTAGAGAATAGCACTGTCAAGTGAGCGTGAAATCACCAGGCATTTTCTTTTTTTAAACAAAATGAACATTATATTAATGAAAAAAGTGCACAAACAAGGTACAGTCAAATCATTCAAAAAGCTTTGAAAAATGAAAGAAAGACAGGACAAGCTTGTGTAGGAAAATATGTAAAATTGGGAAATGTTCTCAGAAGTATGTAAAATATCAGGAACTTACTTATTTTCAACATTGTGTAGACTTAATTTGAAGCACATTCAGACCTGAAACACTAGAACTTCAATTGAATATTAATTGATCACTTAATTTGTGGAGGACAAGGCCCACATTAATCTTTGTTACAGTGTTGTTGTTCTCCAGCATTGCTTTGATGGGAGTTTGACAGACTTATCTGCCATACCGTGCACTGTCCATCTGTCCACAAATTTCACCATGGTATACAGTGATTGGAGTCCAACCTGGTGGCTCTCTGACGGTGATACTTATCAGCTTCTCATTCTACCTCAGGCAACGTAGCCTGCTCACAAGGGATAGATGGCCAGAGCAAAATAATTAATCATTGTGAAGGCTGAGAAAACAAACTGTCGTAATTAAGAAATATATTAGAGCCCCTTTTCATTTGCCTCTTTGGCAAGTTGATTAATTACTGTCGCATGGGAACGGCGTCAGTTGTTGAAAAGTATCAGTTGTTTTTTACAAAGCCATTTCTGATATAGCGTTTAATGAAATAGTTTGACATTTTGGGAAATACACTTGCAAACTTGCCAAGAGTTTGATGAGAAGGTCGATCCCACTCCTGACTGTAAAGTAAATATGAAGCCACAGCTAGCAACTGGTCATCTTAGCTACCAGCCATCTGACACGCCATTTGTTTAATCCCCACAAAAACAAATGTGGAAAATGCCAAATTATAGTGTTAACAGGAGTTTCTTGCTGGACTTAAGCAAACACGATGGAATGTGTAAGTTAGTTAGCTTTAGATGTGCTGGAAGGAAGATTCTGTTTTTTTGGATGGAGCCTGGATAGCTGCCAGTCTTAATGCTAAACTAAGCTGGTATTGATCTTCTCGTCTAACTGTCAGCAAGACAGCAAAAAAAAATGTCACACTTCTTCTATAAACAGTTATTTTATCAAGTTGCGTTATACATAAAATAAAATAAAAAATGTTTTGGAAAATTACATTAAATCAGTCCGTACAATCCAAAATAAATGTGAAAATGGTTTTATATAAGCATTAACACATCTTGGATTAAAAAAAGCTGCCGTAATCATGTTTGCATCACAAACTGAGATCAACTTATGTTAAAAAATTACAAAAGCTTTCCACTCCCCTCAAAATACTTCTTAAATGTTTCCTTAGTAGCTATATGTTTTATCTTATTTTTCCCGTTGATCTTTGAATTTTGGACCTTAATGAGCTTACTCTCCAGCCAGCCCAGATATTCCTTGGCTGTCTTCAACAGAGTGTGACTCCACTGCTTCCTCTCAAACGCATATGTGGGCATTTCTGGTGGGGATGGTTTCAGGGAGCATTCCCACTTGAAAGTTTCCTTCACACACGCTGCGAGCATGTTGACCGTGGAGATGGTGTCCCTGAGCTTCTTGTGAAGTGAGACATCTTTGGGATTCAGGTTCTTCCTCTGATCCTCAAGGACTTCCTCTAGGCCTTGTGCCATGAAGAGGAGGCCACACTGAACTTTTGACCCATCGAGGGGAGAATTCTGGTGGACCTGGAGCTCAGGGAAGCCAGGTGGCCATGTGCCAAGGTGCTTCCCATTAGCTTCTTCCTGTAACAGAAGACAGTGAATTTAATTGGAAGAATTGTCTCTGCAGGGTCACACAAGATATCTCAGCATGGAGTTGCACCACACCCACGCAACAAATGTGTCTGTCGATTTATGGAAAGATGGGGTTTCAAAAGTTAACATAAATGCTTACTGGTGCATGTCAATGTACCGGTGTCACCAAGACAAAAGGCACAGAGCACTGACTAAAGACACAATATCTTGCCAGACAAAGGTGCATCCCACACACTGATGTTAGAAGCTCATGTAATTTAATATTCATATTATACAGTTGTATGAAATACATGCTTATGCTCTGGCAGCTATGTCTTTCAATCGTTCAGACACCCACAAATGAGCTCATCCAACTTTATTATAAATTATGTAAGAAAGTATTTATGTACTCAAGAATTGTAGGAAGTACAATTTTGAGATTCATTTTATGTTTCATAAAATATTCCATTTCCAGAAAATGTTTACTTAACTGATTTACATGTACTACATTTTTATAGTACCAGTTACTTTTCAGACTAATGCATGTTATATAATATCATCACAGCATTATGTTAAAGAGTTGCATTTCAATTTTAAGCTTGTTGGATAGTTTAATCTGCATCTCTTTCACATAGAAATTCTATAACGCATACGAGGTTAAGATTCCTCCACCAACTATAACATGAAAATGCTGCTTAATGCATAATGCATACTTGTACTTTTGATACCTAAATACATTTTTATTGATAATACTGTTGTTGTAATTTTGTTGAAAAGTTAAGAACATATGCATGTACTGAACATTGTTTTTTTACATTGGGATATTGCTACTTTTGCACATGCAAAAGATCTAAAAAAAACAAAACAAAACAAAACCTTCCACCTCTGCCTGTATGTCTTTACAGTGATTATCATTCTGCTACAGAAACTGAAAATGTCCCAGCTTGCGGCAGAAATTCCAGTGTGATGAAGACTGTGGTCATGACACATACACCTGTTTCAGACATACTGTTGAGACACACAGTATTATGTTACTTACAAAATCTGTCAAGCTCTCTTTAACTCGACTTCTGGTGAGGGCTGCCAGATCTCTGGGACTGCATGGAACACTAGCAGCATGTTTCTTTGGTACATGTCCTGCATCTAAGCTTTGCGTCAGAATCACAACACAGGCGCATACCACTTTCAGAAAGCCTGCAAATGCACAATCACAACTTTTTAAATCCATCACATGAATTTGAAAGTTTGAAAGAATCGAAAGAAACACTGATTAATGAATGAAGAAGGTGAGTTACATGGCATACTGTACCTGCTCTGTATTTCATTCTGACTCTGTTCAAGTTTTCAAATAAAACCGGGTCTGACTCCTATAGTAATGCAATCACAATTGCACACGTTCATTTTTATAATTGCACAGCTCTCAAAGGAGGCGTGTGAAAGAGGTGCTGAAGATTAACATCCCCTATCTCTAACGTAGCCATATCCTTTGATGAAAAAAGTAAAGTGGCAAACCAATCAAGATTGGGATTGTTTAACAGGTCACCATCTTGCACAGGGCTCATTTTCACTTCCACCTGTAATGCTGCAAATGATTGAAGATGAAGAATAAGATTTTAACGGCAGATATGTTGGAAGTTTAACTCATTTCCTGTGCAAAAACATAAACTTTCTCCTAATCAAGTGGGTTAAGTATCTGATCCTACAGAACTTTGGGAAATTATTGTGGTTTGGCTGCGGATCTTCCGTTGCAGACTGAAAACTCAGCTGTTTAGACTGCACTTTGGGCCATAATATAAAATAAAAACCCTTTCTCTTTCTCTTTGTTTCTAAATGTAGCACTTAAAGCAGTTCAGCTTATTCCATGAAATTAATGTACTTGCATGATTCTTGTATCCACATGGTTGAAATGCAGTTTAAGTTAAACAACCTTCTCACTTTTACATCATTTCTAATGAAATACATACTCTGACAAAGAACATTCTTTTATATAGTGTCAGTTGTTTATCACTACTTTTGTAATGACATATTTATGTTATGATTGATTCATTCCATCTCTGAGCAACATCACGCAATACTTCCTGTGCGTAGATGTGACACTAACCACAACCCGGCAATATCCTTTCGTGTCAACCTGGTTCAGTCCAGTTTAAACCTCTAACTACATTTTCTAACTCTACGTGACTGGTTTTGATTTGCTTGGTATTACAGTGGGTAAGACCGATAATGAGTGGTCCAGTCCTTGGCGTTAACGTTGAATAAAAGTCACATTTTTGTCTTTTTAGCAAAACAAATAAAAAGCAAACTGAAACAGAATATTAAAGACTCTGAATTGCTTTATTAGGAACAAATAATTACAGTCCCAAAATACAGACTAACAGAGGCCGAGGTTATGTTTTTTATATTCTTGATACAAATATATACATACTGAACATACATATGCCTTAATTTGTGTAAATGTAAACTGCTTGTAATGTAAAATGCTTTCTACTGTTGCCACCTCATATAAAGAGCAAAATAAATTGTGTGCCATTGGAAAACTATAAAGAAGATCCAAGGTCAACTGGACTTGGCTGAAGATACTTGAAGACATTTCGCCTCTCATCCAAGATGCTTCTTCAGTTCTAGAAGAACTGAGTTCAGTTAAAAAAGATGTTGAAGAAGCAGAGTGGCATGGGTAAGTTTTAAAAAAGTACGGTTTCATAATAAAAAAGCAAAAATTAACTTTACAAAAATAACTTAATAAATAATTATAAATAAATAAACAGAATCTAAATAAAAGATAAAAAGAACAACAAATCTCACCCTCTCCTTTCAAGCTCTCCCTCAAAACACATTTTCATGCGCATTGAGTGCAAGGGAAGAGAGCGCCCAGATAGGAAGTTAGGCTGCTTTTAGATAAGTGATATAGATACAGTGTATAACAAGTATTGTTCTTAATAAAGATCCATCCATCCATCGTCAACCGCCAGGATCCAATGCCAGCTGACATCGGGCGAAAGGCGGGGTACATGCAATAGTGACCTTCTAGCTGTGAGGCGACAGCGCCAACCACTGCCCCACGCGCCACCCCTCTTAATAAAGATAATATTAAATATTAATAATATGATACATAGCAGTCTGCTGAACATAGCTTTAATTCACATTCATGTTTAAAACAAATAAATATCCATAAATAAAACTGATATAAGTATGTACATTCAAAGATACCTGAAATTTCAAAGTGTACTCTGCAAAGCAAGGCAGTTCTTTCAAGTTATTTCCAGTGGGTTGAATGGCTGTACTCTCATGGGCCAAATGGTGCACACACTTACCCAGGGCTTGGGAACAAACACCTTAAGCAGAAAGTACCAGAGTGCGAGGATATCAGGTCATCAGGGTAATTTTCACAGACTTCTCAATTGTGCCCCATTAAAACAGTTGAATCTCTGCTGTCTGTTACGTTTAACATTCCTCCTTAAGTACCAGCAGCACTTGCGTAAGCCAGTCCTTCAGTGTGCTTATGACACTCCACCCATATACTTTTTTTGCATAGTTATGTTCGTGGGATAGCTGTAGCGGGGCTGGCGGTGTCGGCAAAGGCTTTTCTGGGTCAGTGTTTTTAAGAATTGTCTCTATTTTAAATAAATGGTTGGAGAGGGAGTATTTGATGCGAGCCAGGTACTCTGTAACAGATTTTGCGTTTTTCCATGTTTCATTGTGATATTCTTCAACCTTTGAAATATGAATAGAAAAAAGCATATTCTTGACATAGATATCCTGTAGCTTCTGGTAAGTGTTGATACCAGATATTGTGGAATCAGGGACATCGTCCAGAACAGAATCACTGATGGGTCCATGAAACTTGCTCTGTAAGAAAGAAAGGGTCTTAAATTAATTCACCATAATCTAAAGGTTTATCTTACTCAGTTCTTTAAAATCAAACAGCAATATTGGCAACAATGTGTGTGGCTGTAAGTGGTAGCTGAAGGGGATGTTTTCTGTTGGAGTCAGTACAGCAGATCAGTTTTAAATATTACAAGGAAAAAATTGACAAGATGGTGCAGCCACAGCCAGCTGTTAAATGTTGCAGGTGCCAGGCTGCACACCTCCAACTCTTAAGTATAGTAACCAACTTCTTTTTACTGCGCCATGCTGTTATGTGGAAAACTACTCACACAGTGCGCAGCATAAAATCAGATAGCAGTTGCATTTATTACGGACTGACTTCGTTATTAAGACAATGCAAGTTTGTTTGGCTGCACTCTAAACAAATACACCACTTGCTCATTTTATATTCCTGATAAAGCAGCTGCCCAAGGAGTTTTTGCTGTGTAAAAAAACTGCACTTGCTCTTACCTCAGTAACTACAGATGACACTACAGTATGTCAACCACAAACAAAATCTTGAGGATTGAAACATTAAAGTTTTGTGCAGCTTTAAACTGTCTTTGTCTGTGGGCAGAAAGTATGTATAAAGAGACTTTTATTGTCATAAATTGTCATAAATTTTATTGTCTCAAATAATCAGAGCACCATGAGTAAGCAGGATGGTCTGGTGATGTTGGGCTACAGTGTGAAACATATCAGCGATGGAGTTACAAAAGCCCATGATGCCTCATTTACACTCCAAGGCAGCAGGACAGAATGAAATTCAAACAAACATAGTCTGCAAATAAACTCTTATGTCATAAACAGTTGTGCAAGGTCACAGAGATCAAAAATTAGTTTTCATCAAGTGACTAAGTGGTTCTGGACAGCAGCTACAAAACCTGCACTTGGCAGAAATATAGCTGGATTGTTGTGCATTATTACAGCACACGATGCAACAAGTAGTGCTGGAAATATATCATACCTGGGAAAAATGACAACATGACAGAATCACTGAGTGGTACTTACATATTCACTCAGTAGCTCATTTGCTTCATGTTTCAGTAGTTCTGTAAGCGACTTGGTGCTCTCTAAGTCATAGTCACAGCTGGTCTGAGTTGGAGCAGGAAACACTAGCCTCCACTGGACTTCCAGAAGCATCAAGACAAGTACTAAGAAAAGATCATGTGGACACAGGTGACTCAAAATATAACACAGAATATAAAATAAAATTAAGAATGGATTTCTCTTTCTCTCTGAACTCTCTCTGAATAGTCTGGAAAAGGAAGCAGACATTAGTTCGTTTTCGGGGGCCTCAAGTCAATAATGTTGGGAACCTGTGCCAATCAGATGTAAACTTGTTTTTTCCAACAAGATTCTGCAAACATGCTTCTTTTATGAGTGTTGCTTGTTTGTTTTTCCTTGTACAAGGCTTAGATTCCTTTAAAATTAAGACAGGCCTAGTTAACTTCTAGTATCAAGAGTATGCCAGAAGATGTACAAGAAAACATTAAGACATTGGGGAGGATCAGTCCCCCCTGGTAATATTTAGGGCAGCACATTCACACCACTACAACAAAAAACAGCACACTCTGGCACATGTATGTCTGTACAAAAGCTTGCTTGTAACATAATACATATAAAAAACAAAAACAGATTTGTCATTATATAAGGTATTACTTATTAGACATTTAACAGAAGTGGCTTAATACTTAACTGCATTATTAAATAAATCAAATAACAATGTTTTTGTAAAATGTTATGAATGTACTATTAAATATTATAAAGATATTTACCATGGTAGCTCAGAGGTCCATTGAGTTTATAATCCATATTGACAGTAGTAAGTGATTTGCTTAATGCTCAGCGGCTAAACAAGCCACGTGAAAACAGCAAGGTATAACTTTGTAAAATTCTTTTTCACTGGCAAACTGGCCTATATATAGTGTATTTGAATGCTCTACAGCGTCATCTACACCCACCCATACTGACACAAGGAATGACAAAATTCCATGATGACATTTTTTTAAAATACACTCGTGTTATGTGTGCCACACTTAGGTGTGACTTTAATGGTTCATGCACTCAGATAATGTTTTAGACAGGGTTTAGGTTTACAAATACCTAACACGGCCTGAAATACAGACAGACAGAGGTTGTTCACCTTATAGAGTGTAAAAAACATCACTTACAAAATTAAAATATCAACACATTAAATGATACACTTATTGTATCTTTGATGAGTCTGAAAATGAAACAAAGAAAACAGAAATGAGCAAAATCACCTCCCTGTTTTGAGTAATTCAGTGACAAGGTCTCCCTTGAAAAAGAGATTTCAACTTCGACTTCCTGGTTAAACAAAGGTTAAAAAACAATTCTTGTCCTCTAATTAAGTGGCTGCAGGATACATTTGAGGGGTCATGACATTAATGAGTTCCATTTTGTTTGCCTTGTACGTGCTAACCCTTGGACAGAGCATCAGTTTAAAGGTGCATCTAATTTTCCTGCAGACGACATTCAATTTCAGAAATAATTTCTTTGGCTTTAATTTATTTGTAGACTCTTGTTTTACCTCATCCCAGACTCTAAACCAAAGAGATGACACCTTTGAGGTGGTGGCTCCACAACTTTCTTTTAAAACTCGGACAGAACAAGCATCACAGGGAAGTTCCCAGAGAGTCATTATTATTATTGCTCACCTCATTTGTTCCATTCCTGTTTAAACCATAAATAACCTGTCATTCTAACTTCCTATATTTGACTCATGAATGATAAATGACATATTTTAAAGCTTCATCTGCATTTCTATCATCTGTCATTACATCAACATTTGCTGGAACATGCAGTTGTGCTGTGAATGTGCATTTATGCCTAAAGATTTTAACTGAGTAATGCCAAGAAGTCAACAAAGAGTACATACTTTCAATACCCTTTATTGAATGAATCAGCACAAATATTCCAAATGTTTTCACAATACTTTTACTTCAAATTGTACCATAAAAACAACATCTAAGTGATATTAGATAAATTATAAGTTTATTGTGCAAATAACAAAAAATAATACATAGTGTTATTGACCTTGGGTAATACAATGGTTAATAAATGCTGACCTCTTAAAAAAAAAAACGTGACCAAGCATACTGTCCTGCTTGACACAATTTGTAGTATTGTACTTTCAATATATAAGAACTACCTGCACATTCTTCTCTAAACCTAAACAAGTGAGCCCTGTTGTCAAAAAATAGAAATTGTCAGTTTGCTTTTGCATAAATATTGTTCAACACCTGCCTTGCATTTCAAGCTACACACTTTCAGTTTAACAAAAAGGAAAGTTTGATTTAAAAAAGAACCCCTCCAGCTGTTTAGACACGGCTTTATAATAAAAACCTCACTGGAAGACTAAGTTGTGTGTTTATAGCACTGGTGAAATGTATGCAAATGTGTTCTGCTATTTGCTGCAGATCTCAAGTCCTGTCTTAGACAGAAAAGTCTATCATACATGTTCATATGTCTAACTTTGTGCTTGTGAATTTGAGTGTGCAAGTGGGTGTGTATGTCTGTGGATGTGGATGTGTTTAGGAGCGATTGTGTATTTTGATGTGCACGTGTGAGCTTGTGGGCCCCCTGGCACTCAGTGCATCCTGCCTTAGATAGGGAAAACAGGAGGCCTCACCTCACACTATGTGCACACCATAGAGAAGCGCTTCTGGTGTTCATGGCAAGTTCGTAGTAGTTAATACTGCTGGCAATGCAGTTCTAGTCTAGGCACTGGGTTAGCCTCCTTTTCTGTTGGTCTGCCACCCCTGGCATCTGTAGTGAGAGGGCGCCACATTGAGCCAGGATCATCCAGCTCACATGGGACTCCAGAAATCAACTAGCGGCTGGTTCTTTCCTCTGATGCTGGAGCATGTCTGTCACACTCACTATGTCCTCCTCAGGGACCTTGAAAATAATAGAGGAAATTTAAAGCAGTGTTAGGTTGTTTTTTTTGCCACTTGGGCAGCGGAACAAGCTGTAACCACAACCCTGACACATTATTACTTAAAAAGTGATATGGTGAACATGTTAGCTAAAAGCTGCCTATTTACACATCTAGCAGACAATGAACACCCTTAGCATTTATTGGAGATGTGCTACTGGCCACCAGGTTAAGTCCACTATTTACTCTCCTTTTATTGCTGAAATATGTTAAAACGTAAAGATGATTCCATAAAGATGAATTCGAGTTGGTGATAACTCATTGCGGGTTCTTCACTACAAGTGACAGTTCCCATTACAGGAGAGCTATTTGACCCATTGTTAACACAAACATACTGACTTGTGCCACTTTAAAATTCAAATATTTTGTTCTTGTTTAACATAGGCCTGTGAAACCGCTGTGAAAGACTTATTTGACTAGAGAAATGGTCTTTGTTAGCCCTGTATGTAAACTGTAAATCACAAATTCTGTAAACCCACACTTTCCAACCAATAAAATGCTGATAAACATAATTCCATTCCGTGTGACGGAGTGATATTTCCCACATATAGTGGTTTCCATGATATTCACTGGTGTTAACTGGAATTTCCCTTAGACTTTGTTGAAGATAAAATGATTCTGACTAATCAAACAGTGACCTCCCATCATCCCATATGCACATGTCCTTTCACATGTTATAGTGATTAGCTTTTTTTACATGTCAGGAAATGTCCTATTTCTGTCATAGCACCTGCTCAGTGAGAGAGCTTTCTAAATTACTTCCATCCTTTTCATTCTTCCTCTTTACAAAAATTAAGCTGTGCCAATTTTGTTAAAAAAAAAAAAAAATAGAAAAGGATAGATTCTGAAAAGAAGGTTAGCCACAGGCCTACAGATTAACACCTTAACAGGCCATAAAACAGTCAGATATTATTAGATGCAAAGAATTTCTACAAAGAGTATAAGTACAAGCCACTGTAATATCACAGCTACTTTATTTTTTATCAATGGAATTTGCTATTACGTGTTAAGACAGACTGTGGTTAACACTAATCTCAGGTTTACAAGGTTCCTGTAATTATAGAATTCCATGACAAAGTGTAAAAATGGTCTATGACTAAAACACTTTCTGGTTATGTTAAGCTCAATGACATGCGACACTGCATAATAAAGCTATGCAAGTAAGTTACACACTAATTTTCCAAACATTCTGAAGGTAGGAGTGTAAAAAGAACCACTGAATTCAAGTGGAATACCCAAAGGTACAATGTCATGACTAGTTACAGCTTTGATAGGTGTTTGTTGACTAGGCCCAACTATACGATACAGGATTTCTACAACGTAATTCATCACAGATGAAGTACACTCGCTACCTAAGGGTTTTATAGTTCACTCTATTTAACCTAATTTGTTTCACACAAACCTGCATTTAATGTTAAGGGCATTTTGATTAGAAAGAGACTAAGCCATATAATATATTTAGGGATTTGAGATCAGTCTTAATCACTGGTCAAAAATCAAAGTGAAACCATAAATCAGTCTGCATTACCCAGGTAAGACTGATCATTTGAAGGGATGTCTGTGTTCTCCACTGCTTCCATCACATTGATGTATATGGGAAATTTGGCTTTGCTTCTTGACTCGTTTCTGGGTAATGGCAAAAAGATAACCCAGATAAACCTTTCTTGGTAATTTCCAAGATAATACATGTGGCGTTGCTGACTAAGTTGACAGACAGACACAACCACTGTATGGTAAGTGGGAAAACTAAATCAATATTGAGATAAGGAAACCACTGCAGCAGCACACACACACACACACACACACACACACACACACTGCTGTGGGTACAGACATTACAAATAATTATTATAATGATATCTACATACTCTCTCTCAGTCTATATTTTTCCCCCCTAACTGTGTGTGGATAGATAGATAGATAGATAGATACTCAGTAGGGGATCAAATACCCCCCCCCCCCCCCCCCCCCCCTCACTCTTGATATCTATATCTATATAAATATAGATATAGACAGAATTTAGTACTGACTTTAAAGCTTTGATTTCCATGACAACGGTGGTGGCCTAACTAATGAAGTGAAGATGTTGGACTCACCAGAACATGGTCGAAGCTGAAGGTGCTTATGTAATAGGCCGAGATGTCGCTGTCAGCCAAAGGCTGAGATATCTGGGCAACTATACCACATTCATCTAGAAGCAGAGTGGAGGAGAAACACACTGAAATTAGTATCAGAAACATTAACAGGTTTTATTAGCCAAATTTAGGATATTTAATTTCATCTACATTTAACCAGATAATAATAAGCATGTTCTGTATTCATTTAAACTTACTACAGACTGCAAGCAAGTGTAATAGAAAAACACAAGGCAATAGAACTGTTACCACTGGTGGTCCCATTCACATATTATAGTAAAAATAACCCTATCCTTTATGTACAGATGGGGGAGAAATGAAATGAAAAACCTAAAAAGAGTGGAGAAACACATCAAATGCAGATGCTTCTGTGCTCACTGAATAGTTTAGGGAGTTTGAGAATGATGTGAATAAAATGCCTTGGCCTTTAGAGTCACCAGATCTCAACCCAGTTGGACACCTATGGAAGATTTTGCACCAACATGAAAGACAATGCTCTCCACCACCCTATAAAACTTCCATCTTCAAATCTGCTTAGTGATGTCTGTGACTGTCTCTGATGCTATGTGTCCTTTTGTTATGTACCTACCTATGTTTGTTTTTCTTTCTATCTGCTGCACTCAAAAGAAATTCTTGATCTCAATGGGATTACCTGATTGAATAAAGGTTGTATATATAAATGAGGGAATATCTTGTGGAGGAATGGTGTTCATCTGTTCTGAAGCTGTTCTGGAGGCTCTTGGTCACCTGACTCCAAAATAAGAAACTTCATGTTGGTTTGTCCCTTTAATGTGTCACCTATCTATAGTTTCTACCTCAACTGAAAAAAAACAGACACAGGATCTCTTTCATTTGTGTGTCAGAGCAAATTATTTATTGATTGCTGTCGGGATGTAAAGGGAATTTCAACAAATTTAACAAAAATCTTCTAAAACAAAATGCCTACCCCAGCTTTAACGTTGATCTAAAAACCTATCGGCATCAACATTACGTCTAAAAAGCCAATGCACCTGCAATCACATCTCGGAAAATGTAAGGCTCCTGACAGGATGTTTTAGATGTGTTGATTTATGATTTCACAGAGCAGGTCAGTCACACGTTACAGTGATTGTTTTCCTATATCCTAGTGACATCAAAGTCGTTAGAGGTGTTGGTACCATAAACTGAGTACCTTCTGTGTCACCAGAAGACAGTCAGTGCAAATCAGCGAGACGGTTTTATACGTATAGACAGATCAAGGAATCAACATCCTTAGCTTGCTTTGTAAAACCTTACCAAAGCCAAGTGGTTGTCCCCCTATACGAACCATTCTCCACAGCTCCCCAGAGGAGCTGGTGAAGAGAAGATCAGCAGGAAACCTAGAGCACAAAGATCAAGCACTGATTTCTACCAAGCAATGAAGTGCAAACACACACAAGACCATTTTAGAGATGTACAGGGGAACCTCTAGCAATCACCAGATAAAAGCTTGCAAATACAGACACCGCAACACCGGCAAAGCAAACAGGGAAACTACTAAGCTGTTGTGGTTCAAATCAGGACTGGGGTAAACTATACCTGAGAAGTATCAATTAAGTAGACACAAAATGAACCTTCATTAACCCAAAGCAGCTCTGGGTCAGTGTAAAGAATAACAATCCTTACTGTCTCTGAGCCTCAGTGTCCATCACCAGTGAGATGTAGCCATCAATGAGGGAGAAGGAGAAGAACTTGATACAGTCCAAGTCCTGGCTCTGGGCCGACTGTGCATCCTCTTTAGGACTAGAGAGGAAGTGATACATTCGGTGAGACGTTACAAAGGCAAACGTTAGTCAGCAGAATTGATTTAAAAGATAATAATACATTAAGTGACACGATTAAATAATTGTCAAGAACAGAAAAATATGGAGTATGAGAGAACTTTTTCTTAGTGTTTCTCCCTCACAGGGCTGGATGGATTAAAAAGAATAGAAATTAAAAATATCTTTGAATACTTTGTAAAACTAGAAAAAAAAAACAAACAAAAAAAAACAATAAACCTCTATGTTTACAACATCTGGGGCTGACAAACGGTCTGTGATTCTCATTCCATTTTTCAGAAACCATGTCAATGCAGACAATCACAAGCCAGTGAGCGGATTTCTTGCATCTTGTGGTTCCACCCTGTGTTTTTGAGAGGTAGTGCAGCGGTTTGAGCAAGTGGCATCTCACCTGTTGGAATAAAAGAGGACGTCGATGAGCGTGGTGGCGATAGACGGCAGTGTGTCCGGGTCCAGAGACATGACACAGAAGTGGTTCTGGGGGATCAGCACTGGGTGAACTGTGGGCTGCATGGCTGGAAGAGCAGGGACAGTGTTGGTTTGTAAGGATAGCTGAACTAGCAGTGACTTTCACATAAAAGGCATAAACAACTTAACATATAAAACATTTCTATACACTTTCACTTTAAAGTAAATACTTCTCAATGCAAGTAAAGATCCCCTAATCCTTGACATATACTGTATTTCTGCCCCAAGTGAGTGTACTTTTAACTCAAGTAAGAGTAGAGTTAGTCCCAAAAAGGAAGGGGGTTGTTGTAGTTTCAAGCTTTTCTATTTTACTGAAGATGGTTTTAAAGTAACTTATTTTTCAGAGTAAATCTACTCTTATACTTTTTAAATATCAGTGGATCCTCTGACAACAGTTATTAATTTCTAGTTTTACAAAGCTTTAGTAAAGAAAACATTTTGTTGTTGAATTTGGTTACAAACACAGCTTAAAAATGCAGTTCTCCTCCTAGATCAGGGTTTTCCAGGTCAAGTTACGTAGACACTGTGGGCCCTCAAAAAAACAAGTCAACGCCACCCAAATTGTGTATTTTTGAAGTTTGTATTTGTTGATATTTTGGCAAATTGGTACCATTAAAAGTATGATAAATTAGCTATTAGCAGTTCCTATTCTCAATGTATTCATGGATGTCCAGGCAACTATCACTAGATTACTTTGATACTGAAAAACAGACTGGATGGATGCAAATTCATGATGGACATCGAGACAATACACACTACAGTGAGTCTGTGTTCAGATGTGACCGAGTTAGACTGAATTTTTACGCTGATTGTAGAAATCTGGCGCTAAGAAAACAACCTTTATTTCCTCTATGAGCTGGGTGTCACAGCCACTGCTGCAGCTCCAACTGCAGGGTTGATCAGCGGGCCAAACCGCAGCAGCAACTTTCCAGTTGTTGCACGAATATGTCCCTTTCACCTCATGCAGTATCTATGCCTCACTCGCGGTGAGAAACCAGTAACTCCCTCTATTTTCACGCCTGCCAAGTCTTCCAAACTTTATTTTTATCTTCTCCTACAGTCTTGCAAACGAAAGTAAATTTGAAATTAGAGCTGCAGTTAGGTCACTGCTGTGTCTACAGTTTGTAAATCTGTAAAACAACACCGCAGAGCTGGTGGGTGAAAGGTTTCCGAACTAGTCTGACATATCAAGCTAAAGCTGTTTTTCGTATATGCTGACACAGATAACTTCAGATGCAAAGATATGGAAGACTGTTAAGGCATGTGCATATTTTTCAGTATGATCTTCCCTCATTTTACAGCATGTCCTATACTTCATGGTGAAAAAATAAATAACCTTCTTGTGACAGGATACAGTAATTGAATGCAGTTTAAGTTTTCAAACATGACATCTCTTCACTGGTTCTGTGGCAGAGTTGTAAAATTATAACATTGTCAGTATTCACACAGGGAGCATAAATACATTTCAAAACGAGTTTTGTTGGGAGTGTTGAATCACTGTTTATATCCACAGCTTGATTACAGAGCATGAGCAACAAACCCTGATGCCTGCTGTACGCAGTTTAACGCCATCCATTTGGCTGTTTTTTTGTTTCTAAAGTGGCTCATTAATTCTAGCTTTTTTTTCTGGTGCAAATGTGAAATGTATTACACTGAGGTCCTAAAAATGTATAATTGTTCAATAATGTATTTTATAATTTGTATATACAGCATATTCATGTTTAGCCTATAATTACAACAATGATTTATTGTTCACGGTTTGACTTGTGAACTGTGACTATGTTTTAAGACCACTTCCTATGTGATGAACAAGTCTTTACACTTGGTGGTGCTAGAGGATCTTCGCTTCACCCTCTGAGACGAGCTCGATCAATACCTGAGTGGCAAGTGAATTCATACTGAGCAGGACTGTGACCTCTACCTTCTTTGCCGTTCTTCTGGATGCCATTGGAAACATCCCGACAGTGCATAGGGACAGACTCTCCTCCCACCTCTTTGTAAATATTGAACTCCTCCTCCAGAGTGCTGAAGACTACAGACAGATCTATCTCTCTCACCTACACAATATAGAGGTGGGACATAAATGCGGATGGTTAGACGTTTTAGAGCACTGTGAAATATGTATAAACTATTAGATCAACATTTTGTTTAAGCATATATAGTCTACAATTAATTCATTTGCATTTGAGCTCAACCAGCACGTCAACCATTAATTATAGATGCTGACACAAACGTTTTTCACGGTGTTATCTATTTTTTGCCCACTTCACACTTTCACACGTAATACATCAACTAACTTTTTAGTGCCCTCAGCTACAGTATGTCGAGAAGGAATTCCTTAACAGCAGAATTGGTTTAGTGGACAAATTACCGACACTGCAGCTTCTTTTGTCACGCAGAGCTCGGCAGGTGAAAGTGTTCAGTCTATGAGAGGTTTTGGAGTTTATTTCGAGAGTTTGAGAAATTGCTCCAGACGTCACTAAATTATACAAACATGAACAGCTTAGAGTAGCTCTTTTTTTAACGAGATACTTAGACTGGAGTGGCATAACGATGAGCAAAAGCAAAAAAAAAAAAGACTAAAGCAGATGGGACTCACCAGGATAAAGTCGGTCTGATAAGTGGAGAGCATGAAGACAGAGACGTGCTGCTGGGCCAGGGGGGCGATGACCGACTTGGCAATCTTGGTCACGCCGACAGCCTGTGAGCTGTTGGAGGCGTTGCCATTAGAGACCACGTTGAGCGGCAGCCAGATGGAGCCTTCTACCTTGAGATGCTCTGAGGGCTGGAGCTCTGAGTGGGGTCAAGAAGAGAAAAAGAGAAAAAGCCCAGTTAGCAGTAATTTGGTAATTTGCAGGTCAAAAGATAAAACACAGACTAAATTTGATTGAAAAATATAGTTGTGTATTTTTATGACACCTAGGCTAGCCTTTCACTTTGTGTTAGGCTTAAGTACATGTATGTTTTTTACATCTATTTATTTTATGTTTATTGTTGTGCATTAAGGCACCAGAGCAAATTCCTCACATGTGTAAAACTACTTGGCAATAAAGCGGATTCACCATATTGGCAGCTGCAGGGTGGATTTATTCGCTTACCATACCAAAAAATAACTTTTTTTAAACAAACCACTTGTGTAAAATAACGGTCCAACCGCTGCACTACTAAGAAAAAAATAGATGGTCCCACGAGGAGCTCATTCTGCAGGTGCAAAACCTCCCAAATTGTGTGACTGATAAAGTTATGCTGATTACATTTGAAACTGGTAAACACATGAGGATGGCAAAATACTTCCCAATATTATTGAAAAATGAATTTGAAATCAGTAATGCAACCACTGCTAGTTTTAGCTTTAGGCTAAATTAAAGTATGTATGTATTCAAAGCCAAACAAGACAACAGAGACCAAACTGCACTAGTGAAGAGGAACAACAGTCACAAGCTACGACTAACCGCAAGGAATGTGACTGTATACAATCTATAGGGGACTGTCATGCAACCAACATTTCTACAGCAAATTACAAGAGTGATTTGGTAACTTCAAAGGGTAAAAGAGGATGTGTTTAACATCTGCACCTAATCACAACTTCATGTTGCCAGTGATGTATCTTAATGTGCACTATGAGGCAGCTGTAAGTAACAACTTCCTCTTGTTTGCAGCGCAGTATAAGGTACACACACTTTCTCTTCCCCACCTCTTGTCTCTTCCTTCGGCATGAAGACCTCAAACGTCCCTACTAATTATACTGCACAGTAACACAAGTAAAACCTAGGAGAGGCAAACAGTACCTACACCACCATAGGCCGTAGAGTGTGACCTGACGCCAATGCATTAATGCACAGGTACAGGCAGCTCTGAGCCAGTGGTAATGAAGGGTCAAAGTTCAAACATGTTGATCCCTCAGCCGCAGAAACCTGAGAAAACATGCATCTTCACTTAAAGTCTCAGAACTTTTCAGAGAAGGCACAAAACTTTTTGATTATGGTTTATGATTCAGCTAACTACAAACATTGCCAAATGTTGTCTAACTCCTGCAGTGAATACTCCTTTTTCTTTACTCCCCTCCAAAGAGCCAGTGTTCTGGCTGGCATAATTTGTCACAGACGGCCCGTTGTGACTTCGCTACACCAGCTTTCACCTCTTAAAATAGGCCCTCAGTTAGAAGGAGAGCAAAGGAGACAGGGAGGGAAACGGAGCACCCTGAGTCAAATATGTCTTTAACAACTACATCTGTGTAAAAGGACCAGACAAAGATGGCTGGATGAGGAGTGGATGGGACTAGAACATACATACTGTTGTCTCTGTTCTAAGAGTGTATGTTCTAGAGGCAAAAACCTCATCGAGGGCTTAACTAGAATTTGTGAATCTATCCATTATTTTCTGACTGGTCTAACAATTGCTCAGTGTGTAAAACTATTTCTTTTTTAAATAAAGACAGATACCCATCACAGTTGAGCAAAACAATTGGTTAAATTGCCAACACACGGAAAACACGAAATTATTCAATTCAAACTGATTTGACAAGAAAAAAAGGAATTAATTGCTGACGTTTGAAACGTCATTGAAGACGAAGGACAATCTTATTGATCACCGATCAAGACCATCTCCACCACACCCAAAAAGCTGTGGTGTTTTTATGTGCTGATGTTTGCTTCCAAGAAATTTATATATGTGAGGAATGCGACTGTAATTTTCTGTCCTGACAAATTATTTAATTAGGTTTTTTAACCATAAGTGCTGTTTGAACTTTATTAAAGAAAATAGGGCAACAACTGTTTTCCTGTAAAGCTGTACTTGACCTTTGTAAGTCGGAGGCACCAAATATCAGCAGCAGCAGCTAAATTGCACGCAGATAGCACTCTCATGTCCACCAACCTTCTCTGTCTATGATGCTTTGCACCAGAGGGATGAGAGAGATAAGGGGTCTAACAATGTTAAATCTAGTTTTCTTAAGATAGAACTCTTGCTCACAGATGTTTAAAAAAAAAATTACATTTTCTCACCAGGGAAAATACCCAACACCATGAGTTAATTAGGGCAAATCTACAGTTTCTGAGGGAAGGTCAAAAACTCGAACTCTTACTTTTGCATAGACAATGAGTTTTGTACAGTGACGTCTCTGAAGGGAACAAGGATGAAAGAAAGTAACACTGGACTGGCAAAACAACAGTCCTCTGCTGTGGCCCAATTCAAGACTGCATACTAGTTACTCGCTAACCATGATTTTAGGTTAGTGGTATATACATAAAGAATGTGACACAACTTGCATGGTTTTTGGGAGTGGTGTTGTTGGACTCTGGAGAAGATGCTCGTGGCTGACAAATATTAAAACAAATTTGTAGACAATGGAGAGACAGCTACATGAAGATCAAAAAAACAAAAAATAAAGTAGTGAATCACTGTGCTTCCTCTTTGTTAAAAGAGCACTCACATCACATTTCAATAAAGCTGGGAAATTCTTTTAGTCCCTATTATGTGTCAAGCTCAAAAATTACTCCCAAAATGAAAATGCATAGCATCTTTTCTAGACCTTCCGTGTCTGGTAAATGTAAATGTCTGTCAAACTTGTCATTTTTTAACAGCTACACACAAGGGTGTTTTACCTTTGAAGCCTTCCTCGTCAAGGACGACTGTGTAGTTCTCTGGTGTCTCCGTCAGACTGAAGAACTTACATCTGAAACAGGAGAGGAAGTACAGATGGAGAGAGGCATGCCATTGGAAAGTGAGAAAACATGAAAGGCAGGAGATAAGGAGGAGAGAGGAAGGACAAAGAGAGTGGAAGAAGAGTTTTACTCATATGCAACCAATAAAAAGAGGTTCAGATTTTCATAATAATAGTTACCAGGTATCAAGTAAATGGGGTTCTCAGAAATTCATCACTCCTTTGTCTACAGCAAATTGTGGATAACACACAAAACTGGGGCACTGCTTCAGTTACCAACTGCTGCATTCAAGGAACAACAAGGAAACACCACTCTAACTGTGATGCGTATGTGGGTTTCAGAATTGACAGGCATATATATGCGTCTGCTATGAAATTCAAGTTGACAACTTTGGTGAAATGTGTCTTCACCAGTGCCACACAGGTCCACCTAGCACCAATCTTTGAAAGCTACTTATTTTTCCCTACCTCGTTCTAAAGAAAAAGCCACTTAGGTTAAATATTTCAAAAGACAGTGCAGTTTTCGAAATTGAGAGAGGCCATTGGGGTTAAACATTTGCAAAGAAAAGACAGAAAAAAGAGCCGCTCGCACCAAGTTGTTATGTTGTTATTATTTGGGATCTCAGAACTGCTCTCTAGAATCTGACGGTACCTGACAGGTGGCACCTTCAACACGCAACCAGTTAAATAGGTCAATGCTTAGTTACTTCCACGACGTAAAGGCTGTCCTCTCTGCTATCTCACTAGCTGAGCCACACATGAGCACTGACACAAGGATTAGATATCTTACACTACTAGCAGCTACACTCCAAGAAGTAGGGAAGAAACAGAAACAGTGCGAATGCTTTGGGGATTTTTTTTTACAAAAGGAACAAGGAAATATGGTAAACTTCTTTAACTTAACTTCTTACAGATTGCTAATTTGAAAAATGTAACAAAATAACTGAATACTTGAATTCCAGAACTAGCAAAAAAGTAATGAGTAAGTGATCTGAGTACTTTAACGTGTTACTTTGTAACACGGCTGAAGGTCATTATTGTATTATATTATAGTATTCAGAGGTTACTTTTTAACGGGTTACCCCAAACACTGACTGAATCTTTAAATTTGTTGATACCAATTTACTATACTTTCTCTATCCAGTTTGGTATTTACAATAGGCTTGGGGCCAAAACATTGGCTTTCGAATGCTGTTGCTTGACCTGACCAAAGTGTTCAGTTCTACTGAATGATGCCTTTATGAAAAAAAATGTTTAAGAGGGTCATGGGATTTGGTACAAGTTGAGAAAAGAACTGGAAACTTGTTTTCTTGGATTACATCATCTTTTCAGGCCAGTAGGCTATATGAAAAATCAAGTTTCTGGATGGAAGAAATTGCTCTTGTTCTACATACAAAGAAATATATTTGATATGTGTAACAGCAACAACAAGGAGACTGGGACAGACTGAATCATTAGGTAAGATGTAGAGGGAGAGAGAGAACTGATTACTGTGTAACCTAGAGTTGGACTTGCCCTGTAGCCTCTTGTTCCCTTGGACATTAATGGCCACTTTGACAAGACAAACCTGTGTTCAGTCTTCACTGCCCAGTCTAGACTTCAGGCTTTTTACTTTGAGCTTTCAATACACTGTCAACTCAAACTCCTGAGGGCTTCAAGGTTAAGGCTGTTCTGGCTTTTTCACTTTCTGGGGAGGACTTCCTACTAGTGTCAAACTGTCTAAGGAAAACATAATAGAGTCAAAGGTTCTTGAAGAACACGTCCTTTTTACCTATTTTCATCACAGACAATGTAAGGTGACTGGAGCCCTTCCAAGACTTGGATGTGCATAAGATTCTCCTGGTGTAATCATGAGCGTAAAAGAGAAGCAACTGCCTTAAGAAATATCTGGTTCTTTGATAAAAAAACAAACATACAAGCAGAAACACAGTTTAAAATCCTGTTGTGTGTGTTGATAATGGCAAGCTGAAGCAAAAGATTATGCTTTGGAGAAGCTTAAGTTAACAAGTAACTAGTTTAGATGGGTTCACTTTTGTATTTCTCCAAAGCAAAAGCTGACACTCATTATTGTATTCTAGTATTTAGAGCCATCCAAACTGTGGAAAGGATGTTGAAATAAATAAAACTGATGGCCTAGCACTGAGAATATCATTGAAAGGAAACTTTCAAATTAGTTAGAATAGACATTTTGAGAAAGGTGCTCCTTTGATTTTTTATGAAGAGTTACAGTAGATGAGAAAATTCATACCACTCTCACATCTGTCTGTAAAGTAGGAAACAGGAGCCAGGAGACTATTAGCTTAGCATAGCATATAGCCTGGAAGCTTGGGAAAGCAGCTAGCCTAGTTAAAAGAAATCATCAATCTAACTAGCATCTTTAAAATTATTTAATAATTAACATGCTTTCTCAAATGGGATTAACCAAGATATGGTTTGTCTGTGTCACTTAATAATATCAGTGCTTTACCAATTTCTGATCACTCGCTGATATTATTTTACATGTCTATCCCTAATTCATTTAGTACGGGGAAAATGGTGCAGAAGACAAGGTTATCTCGATATTATTAGCACTAGTGCTTTAAATTACCTTCATTTGAAAACTACCAGATGTGATGGATCCAGTTTTTAGCCAAGCCTTTTCAGTGGGCTGTCTCACAGACAACTTTAATGTTACACTCCAGGATTTGTTGGAGTGGGTGGCTCCAGCTGAGACACGGAAGTGTCCTCCAAAAAAAATCATACACCTTGGCTAAATGATGAGTTACTGACTCTCAGAAAGCGCTGCAGGGAAGTTGAACGTGAGTGGCGCCATACTAACCTTGAAGTTTATTATAGGGCATGGCATGACAGTCTGACAACCTATAAGTCTAGGATGGCAACTGCAAAGACAGCTTTTTATTCTAATGTGATTGTGAATAATAAGCATTAGACATAAGACTTTTATTTGACACTGTTGATGGACTTACATAGTGTCAGCAGCCAGTAAGTAGTACAGATTTGTCAGCACATGATTTTATGATGTATTTTTATGAGAGAGCTGAGGACATCCGAACTACGATACCCCAGTCAAATGTTTGGGGATTAGACTGCGCTATCACAGGACCATTTTCTACAGGACAGGGTCACTGCAAGAGGAACTAGTTGCTCTCTGGATCCCTTGCCTGCTTGGGTTGTTAAAGAACTATGGCCAACATTAGGATGGCATGTTTTAGCTGTTTTAAACCTTTCGCTCCCCACAGATTTTCTGGCTTGCTTCAAATCTGCAGTGGTTAAACCATTATTAAAGAAACCAAATCTGGATATAAACTCATTGGAAAATTTTAGACCTGTTTCTAATTTGGCCTTCTTATCTAAAGTCTTTGAGAAAGTGGTCTCAAATCAGCTTTTCAAAATATCATGTCATCTAATAATAGTTTTGAGCCGACGCAGTCTGCTTTTTGAGCAAAACATTCTACTGAAACGGCACTCAAAAAAGGTGGTAAATGATCTGTTACTGGCTGCTGACTCAGACTTAGCATCTGTCCTTTTGTTGTTGGATCTTAGCGCAGCTTTTGATACTGTGGATCATCGTATTCTTTTGGACAGAATCGAGAAATACAGCATCTCTGGCCAGGTGCTTAAGTGTTTGAGATCTTACCTTTCAGAAAGATCTCAATGTGCGTTTTATAATAACACATTTTCCGGCCCTTCACCACTTCAGCACGGGGTTCCACAGGATTCAATCCTTGGTCCACTGCTGGTTTCACCATTCATTTGTATGACAATTTTACTCCATCCATTGATGATTCAGTCATTCATCGCAAGGAGAGATTAAAGACTCTTGGGGTCGTTTTTGATCGATCACTTTCATTTGATTTGCATATTAAAAGAGGTGACAAAAGTAGCCTTCTTTCATCTCCTAAGAATCGCAAAGATTAGATCAATATTGGCACTTAAAGATGCTGAGACCCTTATTCATGCCTTTGTTACATCTAGGTTGGACTATTGTAATGTACTGTTCTCTGGGCTGCCTAAGAAAAGTTTGCGAGGTCTGCAGATGTTTTTTTTGTTAATGTACAAAATAGTGAATGGCCTTGCACCATTATATCTGTCTGATAAATGCTTATGTGCCTACATAGCCTTTTCGTTTCGTGCTCCAACATTATGGAACAGTCTTCCAGCAGATATTAGGCATGTTCAATTGGGAGGTTTTTAAATCAAAGCTTAAGACCTACTTATTTACTGCTGCGTATGAGTCCTAAATGTTTGTTTATCTTTGATGTCTTTGTATAGTGGTATTTACTTTTCAGTGTTTCAATTAAAATTTTATTGTAGTGTTAGTGCACTTCAATTGAAAGAGCTCTATAAATAAATGTAGTATTATTATTATTATTATAATATTGCACATTTGATCTTGTCAATGAAAAAAGCCAATTCCCCAAAAACGTTGCACTATTCCTTTATTTTTATTTATTTTTCTCATCTCTTATTTTCAGGGGCAATGCACAGTGGTCACTGTTTTGTAAATGTGCCAGTGCTAGCCAAAAGCATAACTTTATGTGCATCAGTTCCCTCGTTTCACGTAAATCTTTTATTTAGCAGAAAAAATAAGTGCAGCTACAAAAACAATCTCTTTTAAGAGCAACCGAGGGTGGAATTAAAGCTTAAATCCCCTCTCAAGGTTTAATTCCACCATTTGTTGTCCATTAATAACTGGACACAAGAAGAGCAAATACAAAATACCACCTGCATTATGGCTCAGAGCAACCAAAAGAAAGCCTTTCAGAAGCCTTGTTACTGAGTTAGTAAGGCTTTTTAAGGATTACCGTTGTTGGTAAAGAGAATATATGAGATTTGAATCCCTAAAAAGGGAAGCGCTACATATTCCTGTTTTCTTAAAACTTCTCACTGGGGATGCACCTTCCTCTTCCTCTGCTTATCTGTCAGCTGAGGCTATTACAGTAGAGATCTGAGTGAGACTGTCAAACTCCTGACTCAGCAAAAAAAAAGTAATCCCTGCCATGAGATGGGACAATCGCCCCACAGAGAGACAAAGAGAGAGTGAAGAGAACACTGTAACACTAACTACCAGCTGTGCTAGCAAGCTCGGCCAGCCCATTGTGTTATAATACCCCCTTCATTTCCTGTTGACCCTTCCACTTCCCCAGCTCGCAGTTTCCTGCAGGTAGTACCTCTGTACATTACTCTGCACTTCACTGCCTTTTGCACTTCTGGTTAGATGCTAAACTGCATTGTGTTGTTACAGTACTTGTACTTGTACTGTGCAATGGATATAAAACTGACATATATTTAATTATTTTTTTTTTTAAATGTATCCCAAGTATATATCCTGCAAGTGAGAATGATCAAGTGTGGAGCGTTATCACATGTGGTGTGTTGTTTTGGATGACAAGAAAAAGCTCCTATACTATTACACCTGCAAGACAGCCAGACCTCAGCGATGCATTGGTTGTGTGTTGTCAAGCAACCCGAGAGAACTCCATCTGTGAGACAATTGTGCTTGTTAAGTTTCCTGTTTGTGCAGTACAGATAAGACAGATAAGATGCCTCACCTAACCCGCATTACATAATACTGACAAGCACACAAGAAAATTATTTTTCCTAACGTTGTTTGTACAGTCACTATGCAATCCTCTTCATTACCATCACCATCTAAGGAAGGTTGCTTTTAGTTACAATCTGTACACCCCTGCACGTGTTGTGAAATAAAAGACCCAGAGATCTCTTGTCGTGGAAATGCATCCACTTCCTCTCTATTTCCTTCCATAAAGTGAATCTGCTCAACATAACAACATAAGCATAGCCAGGTTTTACAAAAACCTACACCCAGGAACCCAACCAATGTCTCCCCACAACAAAGCTGTCTGCCCTTGCCCTTCTATCTAAAATTGTCTCCACATCATCAAATAAATGGAAACATAAATGAGGACAAATAAAGCTCTTAGGAAACACAGCATCGATGGGTTGGGTTATGCCCAAACAGAACTAGTTTGACTGTTATCCGACCCTGTTGAAAATCAAAAAGTGTGTTTATAATTGTTCCAAGACCAGACTAGAAGGCAGAGGGAAAACCCAGCCATCATTAGCAGGGGGGAGGGTTGTGTGGGGCACAATATCAATTAAATATAGGAATAACGGTGCACATTTTCAGACAGTCTCTCTTGGAAGTCACTGATACTGTTCAACTCTTGTTGACATGAAAAGAGACAGAAACAATTGTGACAATAATTTAAGAAGAGAGCTGGGGTGGGAAGCGCAAACTCTGGCTCCTTTCTCCCCTCCACAGACTCCTCAGGGCATAATGTGGGTGTGAATGCTAGATGTTGTCAGACACAGCCCAGTGTGTGAGTGTGTGTGTGTGTGTGTGTGTGTGTGTGTGTGTGTGATGATTTAACAAAGACATAAACATAGCTGGACTAAATGATCTTGTCCTCATCCCGCTCCATTGTCTCAGAATAAGTCTTTAATCATTGAGAAAATGTACCCCCATATACTCAGTGGTTAACTGGTCGACTAATCAAACATGCACAAGCCTGCATGTGATCACTGGTAGTAATGAGTTCCTTCTACTGAGGCATGAACGAACATGAAGAGGAAGAGACGAAAAAATAACCAAAAGAGACGAGGAAGCAACAGGTAGCAAAAGAGTGGCCGAGTGGGGAAGATGAAAACCAAGCGCACAAGAGTTGACTTTGATCCAGCTGCACAAAGCAACGGGTGGTAGCGACAGTAAGGGAGTGGGGGTGGGGTTTCTGCAACTGATGCTCCAGCTGAGGAAACATGATAAGAGTGGAGCGAATTGATGTTGTTGTGTGTGGAGTTAGCCTGAAGCTAGGCCATCGTCAGTGGATGACCAAGCTGGCGTTGCTACCTTTGCAGCTTCATACAAACTGATCTAGTGTTCTCACGGGGTCCCCTTTTTTCAGAACAATAGAGAATGTGTGTTTTTTTCTTCTAGAAATTCCTGCTTGTTATTAGAGGGAGTGGGGGGGCTTGTGTAAACGAGGGGAGCGAGAGCCCCAACCTTGACAGGCCACTGAAGCAGACAAGTGGAAAACTCCCCACTGGGTTTCTGGCTCAGCTGAGGCATTGTTCCAACCCATGCTCTAGTTAGTGAGCCGCAGAGAAGAAAGGAGGACTGTGTGGAGCCTGCAGGGCTGCATCCACAGTACAGTAGGGAAGGGTAGGGTATCAAGTACTGGCCCAGCCCCTGACCAGATGCGCACTTCCCTGCCCTGGCCTTGACTACAGCCACAGTGTGCCTGTGCACCTGCACCCCCGCTCTTGAGCACCACATCTCCCCCTTCCTCTTCATGCTGGCCGTATTTGATACATTTTCTGACTCTGAGATGTTGCTTGCACTCTTCAAATGAGTTATTAAATAACAGCAACAAATTTTAACTGTATGGACTAAACATACAGTTTTTATAAACTGTATGAAGTGAATTGTGAATATGAATGAATATGCATCGTGTAGAAGTTTTTTCAGTGAAATAAGCAAGTGACCTGTTTTGACTTCCGCCCCTCAAAGGGTCAGAATTGAGAATCCAAACCATACATAACCCTCGCTGATAGTGGGACTCAATTGTTACCACACCCATAAACTCCGAACAACTACTAAGGACAATACAAGACTACAAACTAACAGCTTGCAAGTCCATGGTCCAAGTTTTTTGCCCACTGTGGAAGGATTCATTTACATCCATTGGTGCATGAGTGCGTGAAGATAAACACACATTCCCAAACTTATAACCCACACCTCTTTGTGGTCCGACCCTTATGCTAAACCCAAAAGATGACCTACATCAAATGTCCTCTCTTTTAACTTTTCCGATATCTTCACCCTCTCAATGACATAGTCTCAACATAGCTGACCTTCACAGATTAACAGTCTCTGAACATACGCTTGCTGTGCCTCCTCGTCAAATAATCTTTCAAATAAATCTTATTTCCAGACCAGGCAAAGTCTCTCACAACTTTCAGCCTCTGCACCTGTACCTTAACGCCTCAGTTGTGTTGGATGATGTTAGAGGAGAATCTACGATTTCACAATCTGGGAAAAAGTCTTGCTCCTAGAAGTGATTACCTCCTTAAAATTCTTCTCAGGACTGCATTCAAATCACTCTAATGAATAGCAGAGGCCTGAAAGAGGGAGATGGCTAAAAACCAACCGAGGCAATCGGGCTTGTTTTTGCTCCACAATTGTTTTGAGTTGCCATGAACTCAATCTTCAGCACCACTCCCTGATCTGCATTGTCTATAGTTTGACCAGAGGAGGGAAAAATTACATAAAAACAACCCCTGCTACAGAAACAGAACAGGAAAAACGAGGCTAAACACATCCATATCACAGTATGATGACATAACTCCAAACCATGCACAATAAAACACTGCACAACAGACAGGCCTGTTAATCCAAGGAAGTGCAGCCTGCCTTCTGGTTCATTCTGAGCTACTTTTGTCCCCCCTCCAGACAGTGAATGCTTCACAGAGCCTGTTCAAGTGAAAATGTAGGCACACTTTTAAAGTAAATTTAAAGAGAGAGTGACTTTAAATCTAGACGCAGTTCTGGATCATTTAAATTTACTCAACACAAACTTGTTGGCCTGTACCTGCTAGTAATCATGACTCAGTGCGCCTGATATGGACATGTCAAACCCTACTTTCTCATCCAGTAGTACTATGACACAAATGAATGCTGATGGATGTAGTTAGGTGTGAACAGATGTGAAGTGTTTCACGGACAAATATACAAGATTTAAATCAAGTTTTTCAGGCTCATGATCCACTTATGGAGGGATAAGCTGGCCATCTTGCCTTGTGAACTGATTATTTATAGGGCTGCTCTGTTGCTGATACTCACAGGATGCTTACAATAAGCAGATCTTTGAGGATAGTGTGATATCTATACTTGCGATGTCACAGAGCACAAATGAGGTGATGAGATGAGTAACTTGAATTTAGCTAGTAGCAAGTTTTTTTGCTAGTAGCTGAGCCACTGCTTGGCCTCTATCATGAGCAGCTTGAAGACAGATGTTGAGTTCTCCCTCTAGCTGCATATGTGGGGCAGCCAGAGCAATAAACAATTACATAACAATGAGAGGAAATCCAGGGATTAACTGAAAACTGGTACTAATGCCAACATGAGATCCGGACAAGTTGCAAACTAGATGGCTGATTTTGGGTAAAGGAGGTTAGGTAGTTTGAGCTGAGAGAAACGAGGTCCACATAAAATACAGTGGGGCACAGAATATTTTCAATCCTGGTCCTATGTTCTGTAGAAGCAGCATGCATTAAAGTCATACTTGCATTTTACAGGACTGCAAAAAACGTTCTCTATGAAATACAACATAACACATGAGAATGCACGGTTAACTAAACTGCTGCAGGGTTTTGTGCAATTATAATGTAGATTATTAGTAAACATATCAGATCTCCAATGTATGTATATTCCTACAGAATATTATATTCTGGCTGATGTGCAGTTCGTCAAACATTAAATATCTGTCATAAAGTGCTGTAATACAGCGAAATACTCTGCTGTATATAATTCATGGAGGGCATGCACAGGCATATAACCGAATAAGAGCTCGGGCACGCAGTGAACGAGGAGGGAATGTAGGTTATCTCATATATCCGTACTGGATTACCAGGCTGATTCACACCGGAGCGACACAAACATCTGACCCCGATCGATGAGTCTTCTTACCGTGTCCTGTTCCGGAGAAATATGAGTTTAATCAGGGGGTGTGTGAAATTCACCAGCCCATTCTTGGATATGCTGATGACCCGTAGCCTGTGGTCCAATATGTGCAAGTCCATATTGTCGTTTGCGAGCAGCGCAGTCCCCTCTGTGTGTGCATGCGGCGGAGAAAACTCCTTCCTAGCTGATATTATTCAAATGTTAAATATAGGCCCGGACGAGCATGGCTGGCGAATAAAGCCACCACGTCCCGCTGTGCTCGCCTCACAAGACGAACAACATCCGACGCAATCAGACTCCAGCCCCGCCGAACTACTGTATATTCAAATCAAAGGGACAACCCCAGATGACACGCCCCCTCATCTTAAAGCTACAGGTTTGTGCGAGCAGAAACGTAAGTTCCGGTTTAGCGATTTTCGCCCTTCAAATTAAAGTACGGAAAGTGCTTTAAAAGTCTGGCACACCTACAGTCTATGTGGCACACCTGTGTCCACAAGTACACAGTTTCTCACAAAAGTGGGTACACCCCTCACATTTTTGTAAATATTTGATTATATCTTTTCATGTGACACTGAAGAAATTACACTTTGCCACAAGTAGTTAGAGTACAGCTTGCATAACAGTGTAAATTTCATGTCCCCTCAAAATAACACATCACACCTTGCAATGGACTGGTGTGGACTCGAGTCAAATGACTTGGGAGCCGGAATTGAGTCACAAATATGTTGACTTTAGACTCGACTTGCAACTCAACTTTAACACCAATGACTTGTGACTTAACTTGAGCCTTTTGACTCAAACTGACTTGAGACCCGCCCCAAGCACAAAAATAAATTATGATATAAAAATACAACACTAAAAACACATTTAATTGAGGAAATTATATGACAGTTCTTATGTGAAACTGCGCCTCTGCATTTTTTCTGTACAGATTAATGCTTCACTCTAAAGTTTGTATTCATTTTAACTTTAAAAATATAAAATGGTGGCCTAATATATTTGGTGAAGAGCACATTATGACTCGTTTAGGACTAGAACTCAAAGTTTAGGGTTACAGACTCGACTTCAGACTTATCAGTCTTGATCTGAGACTGGACTCGGACTTGCCTGTCTCCACTTGGGACTTAACTTGACTTGTAAAACAATGATTTGGTCCCACTTCTGAATCTTTTCATCTATAAAAGCAGATAAGCAAATTTTCCAGAATGACTAACTACTCCTTTAATGCTAAAGCGTACAATAACATGTTCGGCCAGTGATACAGTTTTGTTTTAGCTTGTGATCCCTTATATCCCATATCCTATTCTAATATGACGCAGCAGCTACTTGTGAGTCCTCGTCACAGGGTGTATGTCTTTGAGTTGTGAACAGTTTAGTCAAAGAAGACTTTTTTTTTATTTATTAGATTACTTCTTTGGAACATTTTTTAGGCAGAGGAGATAAAGACATACAGTATTTCACAAGAAAAATAAAAGATTAAAGAAACATCTGAAAAATATATGCAATTTCATGTGGATGTATTTATTTATGTGATTGTCCTGACTTCCTGGTAGAAAGCCACTGTTTTATCCAAATAGCTTACTTCCAACTTTGTGACAATAGTTTCAGGAAGGCCTTTTACTGTTTCAACATAACAATTCCTCATGCACAATGCAAGATCCATAAAGATGTGTTGATGAGGTTGGTGCAGAAGAACTTGACTGGTCTACACAGAGCCCTGACCTAACCCCATCCAACACCTTGGGATGACCTGGAACATGGACTACGAGCCAGGCCTTATCATCCAACATCAGGCAACAACACTAATGTTCTTGCAGCTGAAGGGGATCAAATCCCTGTAGCCATGTTCCAAAATCTGGTGGTGTTAGCAACAGATTATTAGCAATGATTTTGGAATTGAAACATCTTCTTTTGGAAAAGTAAAATATGCTCTCTGCAGGAGAGCAGGATTTCCCTACTAAACTTATTTTCCTTTTAATAATTCAATGAGAAGGATTTCAGACTGTAACCATTTAAAACACGGTGGTATACAAGTTTTAATAGTTGTATTACTATATAAAAGCTTAAAGCCTTTTATAGTCCAGTGTAGTTTAAAATATATTGATATTAAGCTTTCTGTAATATTTCTGAAAACTTGACTGACTAGAACTCCCAAGCTCCAGATTCCTATTTGTAACATTGGTACTGAGGAGGCTATAACAATGGCCACGCTGCTTTGTGTTAGTCAACTTTTGAAAATACCAACAACTTCATGTGAGAAGTTAAAGATTTGCTCCTGGCTCTTTACACATCTAACTGTAGATTTTTAACAGGCGAAATGATAAGATCTTTTAATGATTGAGGTAGTCAAGTTTAATTTATCAAACATGCTTCAGTCACAGTTGTCTGATCTCATTCAGCATAATTCACATCTAGTCTTAAAAGTGTAATACAGGACTGGATGGAGACCTTTCCTTCATTGTGAAAAACAAATACACGGTTTATTGACATAATTCAAGATTAAAACATACTCCACTTAGCTCTCCACAATCATGTAATCACTCAGTAGTGTAGGATACACACACACACTAGTAATGTAATACATATTGTATACATTTTGCCACTTCATCATTCCTTTTTTCCACACATTTGACCTGAATGTCCTGAAACGTGAGCATTTCAAGATTCTCAAAATATATGCACACAAACACATTATAACTTGTCATGACTAGCTGGCTCATGTGCAAACATAAAATCAAAAAAAATGTTTTTGTTTGCATACTTCAAAAGAAACACAGATCATCCAGCAGATTTTAAAAAATCTACACGTTCCTCCGGCAGCGGGAGAATGAGTTTTAGTGAAAGAGAGTCTCCCAGTTTCAGCCATCTTCTTATTGTAAAGGTGAACTCTTGGTGGGAATCATTATTCTAGACTCCATGCTTCTGACCAAAGGCACTGACGACAGAGCAGGAGAAGCATGTTAATGAGTTTAACATTAACTCAAAGGACTGACTTACTGTCATTTCTATTTCAAAAAGGATATAAATAAATAAAAAGTGTAACTTCTGAAATTTTATATGATTCAAGATGAAGCAGGTTATCAACATTATTTCACAGTTCAGGTTGGTACATGTCTTGTAAAGCAGAATTAAATTAATTATTGTGTTCATAAGAATATCGTCATCACTTCATGTTCACTGCTTACATTAAGCTTACCATGTTTAACAATCCCAGATATATACACCTTTATGTTGCTGAAACAACACCATTTCCTACCTAATATGCTAACTCATATATAACCCTGAGCTTACCCAGTTACTTTGCTGCTTCCCCTACAAGACTGCCCTTGATAAATTAATTTGTGTTTACTCCCTTCACTTCCACAGCATCTACCTTTTGGCTCTCTTCTCTACAGTCACTGAGGGGGGCTAAACTCTCATCCGTTGCCCACTATGCTTCAGAGGTAGTGGTAGTCCAGGTAACTTCCACTTCTTCCAATTAACAGGTTCTATTTATTAGAAGATATGTGTGGGTGGTTTGCATCTCCCCTACCTGTATAATACACATTTACATCCCATCCCTCCTTCAGCCACACAGAGTTCCTGGTCTCCTCACGAGACTGGAGGCTTTCATAAGCTGTAAACACAAATAACCAAACCATATTTTACATAGGGTGTGAATGAATTTATGTCACTCTCATAAAACATTTAGCTTCAAAACAAATGTTTGGTTTAATCCTCAGAAGCTGGAGACAAAAAAAAAGTTTTTGGAACTTGACATTTTAGAAAGTTATATAAACGCCCTTAAAATTGCTGTGAGTAAACTCATCCATCTGCATTTAAATATGTTAGATTTTATACAGTTATCTCACTATTTCGTAGATAACATCCACATATTTCTGTGATAGGTATTCAACATAAACAACAGTAATTGCCCTAATGTAAAATTATATCATCCATGTTGTTCTAAATTTGTTTTTGTTTTTTTGTTTTTTTTAAATGTGAGTCAATTCAATGCAAGTCCAATTTATTTATTCAGTCCAATATCACAAATCACACATTTTCCTCGAGGGTCTTTACAACCTGTACAGCATACCACTCCATCCATCCTTAGACCCCCCATTTGGGGAAAAACTCCCCAAAACCCTTTTAACAGGGAGAAAAAAGGTGAAAGTGAGAAATAAATTTTATGAAGAGCAACAGAGGAGGAATTTCTCCTCCAGGACTGACAGACATGCAATAGATGTCATGTGTACAGAAAAGAAAAATGACAGTATGGACAAGATAGCAACATGTAGGGGATAAAATAAATGCTGTGTTTCTACTTCAGTGAATACTGCATTATCACCTTCTTTTAATGATCAACCCCTCAAACATTACATGTATTTTGAACAAGACGTCACACAACATCATTTCCACCAGTTTTAACTCATGTGGCATCTGCCAATACATATTCAAAGCGTACATTAGCTACAATTTCTAAAAGTTACCCATGCCTACTTCCTAAACAGCCAAAACACTATGGTGATATACATTTGTTACATACTCACCCCACAAATGATGAACAACATATAGGTCGCCGATCTGTGAGAAGAACCCACCCACTGCTTCGTTGTTTTCCTGTCTGTATTTTATTGCCCTCGCCCTGTTGTAAGACAGGGTTATAATGATCACCTGTAGTATTTGACACGGAACACTAAAAAAAAAAGTTGAGACAACTGATATCAATTATTAACACATTAAGCAAATTACACTTTTTGAGCCTTACCAGAGGTTTCCCCATTCAATCATAGTTCCTGGCTGAAACACAGGTGGTAAAATATTAACCCAGTTTTAAATCTGAAATATGACATTAAATTAATAAAATAAATAATAAAGAGGTAGGACTTCAATGTTGGTTGCACTCAGATTTTATCATAACGATGTTTTGAATACCTCACCATTTGTGCCCACAACAGCTCACTCCTCAGTACAATTAGTCAACTATGAGTAAGTAAGTGCAAATCACACAGGCAACGTTTGGAGGGGCACAAAACCATAATGGGCAAAATGTGAAAAATAGTACCAGACAAAATAACCAACCTCTTGGTATTAATGGGCACAGCAGGGTCAGGTTTACCAAAACATTAACTCTGACAGTCCCTGATCTAAGAGCTAAAATATGCTTTGTTGATAAAGAGAGATAAGAGGAGAATTCTATTACAGGCAGCCCAAAAGTATGCAAATACATAACATTTTGAAAATAAGTGAAATGGTAGTGATGTGTTTATAACCATATAACCAAAACTGTACCTACAACTATACTATAAAACTGGAATTGTACAAAGCCATGTCCAAAGGTCCATTTGGAGTGTTACAGCAAAAGGCTCCCGCAAGGTGGGTCCTACCTCAGCATGACAATGTCAATAATGCTGACTCCTGAATGAATACAATGCGGTTCCCACATTCTGTTTATGTAGGCGCTGCTGTGCGTATTTTACATACAGATGCAATCAAAAGTACTCAACCCTTTAACCTAGAGGACATTCTAGTGATGTGATATTTGAGTGATTTAACAGAGCATCAGTGTCATTATAGGGTTCCCAAAAGCTTTTGGGATTGTAAGTCGCTAAATGAATAAATGTAATGTAAATGTACTGTAATGTAATGTACTATTTGTGAATACCTTGAGGCGATAGGTGCGCAATTCATAGATGTTGGGTCCTGGTTTGGGCAAGGGTTCATTCCAGAAACTGAACTCCAGGAGGAGCTGATTTCGCCTTGAAATTAACATTTTGGCCCTCTCTTTCCTAAACTCTATATACTCCTGAGGAGAGATAAAGAGGTTTTAAGTGAAATAATGAATATACAAGCATGTACTATCAAGTGCTTTTCTACTGCTCAAGTGTGAACTAAAATTGTGCAAAGAGATAAAACTCAAATCAGTGCACTTTAAATATCAGCTTTTTCTTTGGCATCTCTGGAAAAGATGAATAAACAGTTCACAGTCAACCTTGTTATTGTTCAGCTTCTTGAGGCATTCAGTCAAGGCTGGGTAGCCTCCTCTGTAACGCCATAGATGCACTGCAAAAACAGAACAGCAGATGTCACTGTAGCACCGTGTAAGGGCTGATGCCACCCACACCACCAAGAGACAGCTCTATCACCTTGTGAACACTTCTTGCTCTCGCTGAATGCTCTTAATGTACACTATACACTGTAAATCATCATATGTAGAAGGAGAAGCGTTGGCACTGAGTCATCTGGTAGTGTCTGTACATTTTACTGTCATGCTCCTCCAAACAATTTACAGCACAAACTGCAGCCACTCAAATTAAGTGGCGCTGCTCCTGAGGCATTGAGAGAGAAAAATTAATCTATTTTGGCTGTGATCAACAAGAGATCCCCTCTTCTTTTAACTGTTGCACTGCTGCTTACCAGCTTGGTCCTGTTCTCCGTACCAGGTATTCCAGCTTCCGACCACCTCACATGGGTAGTCCGGGTCCCGATGGAGCCTGTTTTGCACCTCAGCCCTGAGGTCAGCATAAAATAAAATCTCTTCACACACACTGATTGTGCGAATGTGCCAACAGTTATACTGTCACTTCCCCACAATGACCAACTAGAGGGCACTCAGAGAGCATCAAGTCCACAATTATCCAAATGTGATACACCTAAGGACATTAATTCTATTACTTCAATTTTACGCTAAATTACTTTTATGATTCTGCAAGAATACCATGGAATAAAGTCCATCTTGTGAATATGGGCAACTCTAAAATTATATCATCAACAAAATCTAATTAGCTGCTCTATGACTCAAAGCATAACTTACCTGATTTGTCTACTAGACTGCGTGGAAATATATTCTATACGTTTTAAAAAAATTTTTACTATTGACAGAAGCCTAATGAAACAAGCCAAGGATTGAAAATATAACTTGATTGGTGGAGTTAATGCAGGGAATGTTTTAAAGCAGTGAACATGCTCACTCTAGACTGTTGTATGCTTCCAGGCACTCTGGTTTGACGTTGTGAACTGAAAAGAAAGGAAAAAAAGAAAAGAAAGAGAGACAGACTTATCAGGAATGGGTGTTTTTTAAAATACAAGCAACAATCAAATTCTTCAACAAAGTAATTTCACACTTCGGTTCAGCAAAGACTTCTATATACAAAACTGATTCGCTTTCAGTAGGTTATAGGCTATGGCTGATAGAGTGTTCAAATTGAAATCCCTACATGGTGAGATGTGCGTGGCAAAAAAAGATCAAAGCCTGGGGAGAATGAGAGATTTCTCTACAAGAGACAGACACAGTTATCACCACAGGCTCAAAAGAAAACCAGACAAATTGTTCTGATGTCTCTTAAAAAAAATTCCAGACTTGACACACAACATTATTATAGAATAACTCATTGCTGAATATATGTTGCACATGTGTGATAACTTGTTACACAATATTATACAGTCCAGCCCTTTGCAGCCCATGCAACTTTCAGCCTTCTCTGAGGTCACTGAGGCCAGCGTGGATTGAATTTAATCACCATGATTTATTTAGCTGTTATTTAGCTGTTCTGCAGAGACAAATGGATGATAGATTGTTGAGACTCAAAACACAATCCATTTCATTATAATATAATGTAACTGTATCAAATTCTCTTGTGTTTGGCCCTCTGCAACCACACGCTTAATGAAAATAAACCTTCACTCGTAAGTAAGTAAAAGCTCTTATGCCTACATTGAATTTTATACAGGTTGCTGGTCTCTTTCTTCGACAGCAGGTTGGAGTGGGCATCTTTCCTGGCATCGACTTTGTGCACAAATAAGGAACGGAACCAGCCTTTGTCGCTACTCTCTGAAAACCTCCTACACAGAAACAAAGAAGAAAGAAAGTTTCACAAAGGCTCAAAGCAACGACATAAAACAGAGAAGTTATCGATATAAAAAAAAATTTGACAAACTTAAAAGGAACATGGAGATGTGCATGACATATGGGTTAAAAGATAGTCATGCTAATATTCTTTGATATTCTTTGAATATACTGTATGAGTGAGGGGGCTGAATGCCATAGCTTGTGTCTTCAGCATAAAACTTCTTTTCACCCACTCTGGAGTCGTTAAAATGGGAATATCACTCACTTTAAGAACTATTGTTACAATCTAAGAGGCTCCAATCAGTATTTCAACATGAATAACTGTCTCTCAAAGACAGAGAACAGAGGAGTAAGACGTGAGTCTGTCGTGTGTTCAGGCTGTTCCAAAAAAGCTAGCCGGGAAGGACTATAATAATGGCATGAAAGCAAAAAGGGAATATTCTAAACAGTAATACTACTACTATATCAAGGTAAAAGTATATTTATTTATGGCTCAAAATCACAAAACACATGCCAAAGATATTATTGTTCATTTTAACTGTGTTACATATAGCTTGTCATTTCAATACATGCGTGTGAAACCGTGGCTAAAAAAAGGAAAGCCACTGCCTTACGTAAAAACATAAAAAACTTATAAGCAAAAATGTAATAATTTTTCCCCCATGAAATCAGAAGGGACAGTGTCAACAGCTTCACCAGCTACTTTAGTATGTCTATTAAGCAGAGCTCCCACATTGGACCTCAAATCCAAGGATGTTTTAATGACTTTCATAGCTTTTTATAAACTAAAAATTTCATCATAACTCTGAAACCATGTTAAAGCTGCTTAAATGTCAACATTAACCTCAATTTCAGGATTTGTCACATGATGTGAAGTGCTAAACCAAGAACAGCCTAAAGAGAATAGTTGGTACATGCCCACTTAGGGATTAGGGAGCCATATTGCGCATATATTTACTTATTTGGAGCACTTTCAAGGCCGTCTGTTAATACACAAACACTTTTCTAAGGCTTTATTTTATTATTCTGAAATCCTTTCAAAAACTTTCAAGGTCAGTGGGACTTCTCTTTTAATAACCTCATGGGCCAATGGCTTTAATTGGGAACTATAATTAGTAATGCATTTCCCATGGCTCCCCCTCATAAATAACAAAGTAGCATTCAAGCCAAAACAAAACTTTCTTTTGAACACAGCCAGCCACAGATTCAATGCACACAGTGTGGAGGCACAGATACGCTGTTAACAAGTGGTTGGTGTGGCTTTACAGGACAAAGTTCAGAGGTGCAGCAAATGATTAAATCAGGTTTGGAAAACTGTCTGATGGTCGTGTTAATAATGATCCTGGTGTCTTAAATAAATAAGTATTACTAGAACATAATGTAATACACTCACCTCAGCAAAGATATTGTTAAAGCTGGGTGAAGAAACACATAGTCACCAAGTTCACAAAATGCAGGCTTAAAAGGGGATCAAAGTTCGGTTTAATGGTACGTTAACATAAAAAAAATGTATGTAAATGTAAAAAGTATGTTTAATTAGTTTCAGTCTGAGAGTTGCACTTAGATAAACGCCAGACGATTGCATGCTCTCAGGTTTAGCCAAAGGAAATCTCAAATAATACTGTTAGCTTCCAGGTAATCCATACATAACGTCACATAGGCTTTTAAACAAGTGCCTAATCTATTTATAGGCTATTACATGGATAGTAAAACGTGTTTACCTGGGCGCTTGGTGCAGATTCACAGAATACCTGCACAACATCTGTCCTTTACACCACGCAGAACTAGCCGCCGTCATGTTCCCTCTACAGTGAAACCTTCCTTTGACACGCAAACACACGGCTCTGGTTAATGTTTACCTCCCCAACTGTTGTGTTTTGACGGCTAATTCTACTAAACCTGCTCAGTAGCCCGCCGGAGATTTAAAAACACGCGTGACTCAGTGTCGCAGTCCGCAGTGATCAATACGCACAATCGATCAGACCTGATAAGTTGAGTGCTCCTTTCTGAGAAACTTTGTAACATTGAGGTTTGGCTGGAAGTCTTTTATTTTATCATAATAATATAATAACGATAATTCTTCGCATAGGCTATTCATATTTCAAAGGCTTCTTACTGCTTTGGATATCTGTGTATCTGTATTTTTTCTTGGATATTGTGTATGTGTCATTTATGACAAATTAAAACCAAATAATAACACTAGTAATAAAATCTTTGTAAACATCCATTATAAATAGCCTAACTAAAATACCACGTTCAGCATAAAGTTTGAGCCCTTTGAAAGAGTTAAACTCAATCACTGCATTTAATATCTGAATACTTGTAACATTAGTTTAGCAGCTGATCCAGTTTAATAAAAAAAAAAAAAACAATCCTTATTCTTTCTCTGCAAAGGAATAACCACTACAGACATCAGATAAAGGTAATTAAACAATATTGCATGGAACATATCACAATGTATGAATGAACAATGAAAGTATATTAAGTACTTAAACATTGTAAGGACTGTAACGACAGTCGTCACAGCAACCAGGAACACTAACGAACCAGCAGTATCGATGACCCTGACCAACGACCCCACTGAGGTTAAATAGCTGAGGTTAAATAGCTGACTTTCCCTGCCAGTCAGTCAGAACTGAAGAAGTCCTTTGGATGAGGGATGAAACATCTTCCAGTATCTTCAACCAAGTCCAGTTGCCCTTGACTTTAACCTTTGGTTTAACATTGTACTTAAAAACAGTACTACTACACTAAATGTTGAGCCACCTTCCATCCCTGCATTTAAAGTTTATAAATAGGCCTAACAAAGTAATACACTGTAAGATTTTAAACAAATACACATGCAGTATGACTAGATATTATTGGTGTTTTTATAATTAATATGAAATAAAATTACTGGGTTGGAGATCATTTTTAGGGTTGTATGGGAGGGATACATGTCTCCAAATGACAGCTTACTGTATCTCTGTTTGAGTTCAGTTGCAGTAAACAGGACTCTTATCTAATAGTGGACCTGTTCTTTCAAAGCTAGTTTCTCTATTAGACTAGTCATGCAGTACTTAAATCCTTTGTGCAACCCACTTTCACCTCTTTTCATACACAATGCAGTGCTCTCCGATCCTCTCCATCATTCTACCCACTGACATTATATAACATCAAATCAGATCATACCTAAAAAGACTCAATACCTGTATTATATTGTATTCCCTGTGTTCAATGACTTTAACAGCGCTATATTTCAAGCACACACACAGTATGTGGTGTATGTAGGCCCACTGTATTTCTTTTGGAAAATTACCAAATTATGTTTGAATAATCTTTATTTTCAATTGATTAGGTATTCAACAAGTTTTATGTTATCTAAACACGTCATTCAGAGGAATATTCTCTCAATGCGCTTTAAAAAAAATACATCTTTTAAAAAATAATATTCTTGCATTCATCCTTTGGTTAATCTGTCAATTAAAAAGGTCCACAGGGCTTTGATAAGACTCCTTCCATATTTTCTGGCATAAAAGTACAGCAATTACCCTTTTTTTTACACAATCTACACAAAAACAATTTTCAAGCTTTTGCTTTTCTGAATGTGCCAAATTTGTCCCCGTGATTTACTGTAAGCGCAGGGAATATTTCTTTCACTGCCGTATACAAGTCTTCAAAATCCCGGTTCAATGTGATGTCCTAGAGAGAGTGATGCACAGAGAAGTGAGTGAATATATTCAAAGGTGAGACAATTTGCAGAAAATGTCAGAGGTGGAATATGTGTGAATTACCGAAAAGTCTAATGCCTCCATAGCCGAATCTGGGTTTCCCTGTATCGACTTGAGGATCCCATAGCACCCCACATTCTGGATGGGGTTCTTGCAAATCTGGTCAAAGACAATGAAGGAATATGGCAATAATGCCACAGATTAGGGTCTTTACTCTGGTTTTGGTGATGCAGGTGATGACATAAATTGTTAAAACTATTATTGCATTTTAAAATTGATTCCCATATGTTGCAGTGTCTTAAACTAATCCATCTATTGGATGTACCAGTGTGTAAAGGAATAGTTCAGCATTTTGGGAAATACACTTATTGGCTTTCTGGTGAAAAGTCAGATACAAAAATCAATGCTTCCTTCATATTTGTCTATTACAGCAGTTCTCAAAGTGGTGTCATAGGACACGCAGGGGTGTAAGGGTTCCTCAGCAAAAAGGGGAATCATTTATTTTCATTAAAAATTTCATCCATAAGTAACACAATGACAGAATGTGTGAGTATTTGGGTCTTGGGTTTCATACACTTTCTGTAATAAAACATCTAAAAGCAAAAATCCTATCAGATGGGAGATACTTAGACAAAATCTTATCAATTAGGGGTCTGTGTTCTAATTTGTGTCAGTTTAGGGGTCCTTGGTGTGAAAAAATTTGAGAACCACTGGTCTATTGAATATAAGCCTCTAACCGGCAGCGGCTTAGCTTAGTTTATCACAAAGACAGGAAACAGTTAGCCTGGCTCTGTCGAGTGGTAACAAAATCCACCTAACAAGCTCACAAACACCACATTAAACTGAAAATTCTATGTTCTGAGGGGATTACGTGCTGAACTACATTTTGACTGGGACAAGAACTTCCTGGAGTCTTCACTGGCTGCATACGAACTAGTTGGAGCCAAGAAATAGCACAGCACATTATCCACATAGATTTTTACAGTTCAGTTTTTGTACAGTTTAAACAAACAAAATCTAATGTGTTTATTAGTGAGCTTTGGTGCTGGTGGGGGATTTTTAAATGGTTGAACAGATTCAGGCAAGCTGTTTCCCCTTGTTTCCAATATTTATGCTAAGGTAAGCTAACTTGCAATAGCTTCATATTTACATGAAAATGGTATTCGTCTTCTCATCCGACCTCTGGAATGTAAGTGTATTTTAGAAAGCAAATAAGTGTATTGTTAATTAACACTATTAATGCACATGCAAATTGGATTTGCATCTCAGGCTATTAGTGTAAGTCTTCATAACTTCTTTTCAATCATTTCAGGCAGTTAAGATAAGTCCCTGAGAACTCTGCTTAGGTGTTGACATTAAAACAAAGTACAGTGATCCATTTACTTATCCCATTTTATCCACTGACACCCCCCACTGCTTTTGAAGCTAGAACACAATCTAATTTCAACAGCTTACATTCAGGGATTTGATTGTCTTGTTTACTTTGAGGCCCATGGCTAGGCGAATCGCTCCTTCAGGGGGTATTCGGTTGTTACTGTGGTGAGAAAAGAAATGCAGAAAACAAACAAAAAAAAGTGTGTTGGGGCGTGAGGTAAGCAATCATAAAGTGTTATTTTTAAAATGGCATTATTCATCCATGTAGCACAAATGTCTGGAAATTTTTGAGCCAAGCTTTGTTAAGCTTGAGAAAATAAATGAGAGGCAGAAGATACTGAATTACTGGAATTTTGTTTATGGTAGCAGTCTGTCAAAGGCTCATACCTCACATTCAACTCCTCCAAAACAGAGTTCTCTTTCAGAGCCTCTCCTAAAGCAATGGCTCCTTCTTTACCAAAACCATTAAATGACAGATCCACTGTTCTAAGGAAAATGTTTCCCTAAAAACAGAAAAGAGAAAAGGTCTTTGGTAAAGTATGATTTCAAATGCAATATAAAGCCTGAACAAGTTCTCTAACAAAATTAACTGAGGCACAAAGAAACATCTTTATTTAAAGTGAGAGAGCAGCAGTAATAATAAGCCACTCAAGACCTGAATCAATCAAACCTGTCGGTGATTAGGGTCCTCTTGACCATCTTGATCATTAAGTTAGGGAAGGAAAAACTGCTTCTACACTGACTCTCCTGCTGTGAGATACTTAATGAATCCCTGACCAGGGGGTTCTTTCAGAAAACATAACTAAGTTAGCCAGATTATGATATCCAGCATCTTCCTCTAGTAGCAGCCATCAGTCTGCATAACTGAATCAGTTTATTAAACTTAAAATATTTGTTTGCAAATTCAAAACAGTATAACCAGAATATATCATAACCTTGCTTTTACAGTCACTTTACTAACTTTCTAATTCTGTTTTGGGAAAACCTGCATGGCATTTTCATTTTCAGCAATTGACCATTTGCTAAACCCCGTCCCCAAACAATGGCTGGTCATAGCTGTGCAACTAGGCATGGCAAGCCTGTCGAGCTTTGAATTTCTCCACATACCAAAGCAGTGTAATAGTGATACACCTAATCAAAAGAGTTTGGAGGCATGTAAAAAAAAAAACACACGAGTATATGTGTAAGGACTGGATTCGACTGTGTGACTGTGTGTTTATCTGCTCTTATATAAGCTAGAAACATTAGCACTTCTGCTTAAAGGTTCAGTGTGTAAGTTTTAGTGGCATCTAGTGGTGAGGGTTGTGAATTGCAACCTGATTGCAACCACTACTACTTCTTCTTTTTCTTCATACGTATTCAACGTAGTAATAAAATGCACTCTGTAGAGCCGTTTGTCTGTTTGGGCTACTGTAAAAACATGGCATCGCAACATATCCACTTCCACGTAAGTGGAATGTAGATAGAAATTACTCATTCTAAGGTAATCAAAATATAACGATTCATTATGTTAGGTCTTTATACACCACTGAAACAATGATTAAACCAGTGTTGTCATGTAAATAAATGTGAGCTGAATAAGTATCTAACATGGCTTTAGTTATCTAGCACCTCTTTCAAACGTGAAACGTTTTAGTTATACTGTAGTTGACTGAAATCAAGTTGCAAGTCCTTGTTGTGGACAGTCATGTAGTATTAGATGCATTCAACAGCACTGTATCATAGACGGTATATTTAAAGCCAGATGACAGAAAACATTGCTGGTAAAGAGATAAACTATGCTACATTGAAAGCAGCCATTACAGCAGATTATGTGTAAGGTAAAATACACATGCTTATTCTCTCTCACTCTCCATTTACAGATGGCTGAAAAAATTGCACGTTCTAGCAGCAAATATTTATTGATGTGCAATTGTTTACATGTTCCGTTGTAGAGACTGTAATCTAATATAGCCCACATACAGAACAGCTTTCAGTATCAGCCTGTTCTAAGTGTAGTTTATACAGGAAAGGTTTCTACTATCCAAATAATTTTCAAAATCAAAATATTACCTCATAAATTGTGTCTTATTCACTTTAATATTGACATCAGCATAAAAAACCCATATCAGTGCCAAGGACAAATTTTAATGCACAGTTCACTTTCGCTTGAAAATACCATGACCTGCACAAAGCCAGGTCCATAAACAAATGGTTTTCTGAGTTTGGTGTTAAAGGACTTGACTGGCCTGTACAGAATGCTGAACTCAACTCCATCTGCTGGGATGCATTGGAGTGTGAGCCAGGCCTTACCGCCCAACATCAGTGTCCAACCTCACTGATGATTCTGTGGCTGACATGCATGATTCTTTATTTAATGGCTTCATATAATAGCAAAAATGTGTCCTGGTCATCACCATTCACTGTATTAACTTCATATCTTGTTTTGTCTTGCATGAGTTTTCAGTATTACCCCGAGTCCATTAGCCAACATCACAGCTCCTCTCCCTCGGATGCAGTTCCAGGCCAGACTTAGTGATCGCAACCCTGTGTTCTCTGACAGAGAGTCTCCCAGGTTTTGCCCTAAGGATAGGGGAAAAAATAAGAAAATTATCGTGGCTATCAGTCAGTTTGCAAGAGTTTGTAACAGTTTCTCAGGGACTTAATTATGGGTTTTTTTGGGGGGGGGAGTAAAAACTCAGATAGCAGATATTGTGTGGTAAGATAGCACAATCAGAAGTACTTATTAAAATCAAACACTCACTTCTACAATCTCTGGGAGCCACTCATCTCCAGTAGATTCCATTTAGATGATGTTATTGTGTGTTATGGCCTAAAAGCACTAGTGAGTAAGAGCCAGAAAGGCAGAGATCCCAAAGAGAAAGCTCCCCATTATCACCTCACCCAATTTATCACAAGGATAAGAAAGTGCATGGCACTCTGCAGTTCATAATCATAAAAAATAGACACTCTTACTGTGCTTGGTTGAAAAAGCAATAACACCATAGCATGAATGTCAGAGTGTTTGATTGGTATCCTTTCTCTCAGGGACTTACTGTATGGAAGAGTGCACTCAAAACAAATGAGGATGTCCTTTGATATTTTAGCAGTGGAGAAAATAGAATTGAATATGTGGGAATGAATCATAGCCACATGCATGACAATGAGACATGGTGGTGTCCCCTTTTCCACAGGCAGATTTATTTTCAATTACCTACATCAGATGCTCAGTGCAACCTGGTCTGCCATTCTTCCACAAGGCGCCTGTCATAAAGCTCATCTACATTATAATTGAAAGACGTTTTAATGAAGGCAAAATGTTCTTGACCTTTGAATGCCACATTCTGCTGCTCTCCTATGACTCCTCAGAGATAAGTCCATTACACCAAGCTGGTTACTGGTTTTATGATAATGGTTTTCCTAAAATCTAATAATATATACCAGTAAACACGTGTCTGCACTCATCACGGTAACTGGTCAATTTATAAGGCTTTCCTATATTTTTAATGATCATTCAATAAGAGAGACAAAAAGGACTTTGCATTCACTTACACAGCTGCTTTCCATAAAAACTTTAAATAGTAATTAATTTATGTGCAATGGCCATATAAGTAAAATAGTATTGTAATGACGTCAGTCATGGCAATTAAAAAATGATGTGGATATGGGTGGTGATGGCCCAATAGATAAGACACATGTCTTTGGTGTGAGAGACCTGGGTTTGATTCCCACTGTGACCCATCCACCATTGTGTCCCTGAGCAAGACATGTAACCCATTGTTGCTCCAGAGGTGTGCGACCTCTGACATATATAGCAATTCTAAGTCGCTCTGGATAAAAATGCATCTAAATGTAATGTGATTATATTATTCTGAAATTTACTATTTTGTTAATTGAACAGCCATATTCAATAAATCGAAACTTTCTGAATTATGGCCATGTGAAATAAATATTTGAGATTTAAGATTAATTACAAGATTAATTCTGAGATATTAGATACTATACTATATGGCCAAAAGTACGTGAACTTCTTTATTGCTGTGTGCAAACCACACTAATGCTCTTGCAACTGAAACCAGAAGAGTGGAGGCTGTTTTAGCAGCATCTTAAAGAGGTCATATTATGCTCTCTGGCTTATTCCCTTTATTGAGTTGTATATCTTTTTGTGCATGTAATAGGTTTGCAATGTAAAAAAGGCCAAAGTCCACCCCAGTAGATGAGGAATAACTGCTCTGAACAGCCTGAAAACAGTTCAATTGTAGTCCAACCTTTTCTACCGCTTTCTTGTGACTTCACAAGAAAACTCGTGTCATAATGCTCGCCTAGCGGCTAATCAGTCAAAAAACACCGGTGGAAAAACACTCTGAGCTGCAGCACACAGTGACAAGACGTCTGCCTGCACCCTCTCCTCTCCCTTCCAAACATTAGCTTTCCTCCAGGCAGTCAATGGACATAAAGTTGTTGCCGTGATGTGGAGACAGTGCACAGTTAAAACTTTATTTGTTACAGATTAATAACTCACCACTCTGAAACTCTTGCTCCAGTCCATGTTGCTAAGCTGGTAAGGGGAACATGTACAGCTGAACCGAAGCCGTGTTTACCGGCTTTACAGGACCCACCCTACCCTTCTTCTGATTGACTAGCAGTCCTCAACTAAGTACTGCACAAGTGCAACTCCCAACAAAGACCTTGAAGAGGTGAGATGCATCACTCCCTAGCTTAAACAGACTGTTTAACACACACGCTGAAAAGAGGAGCTGCAGCAAAGTGCAGTATGACAAAAATATGGTGTGAAAATGAAACCATATAAACCTGTTCTGGTAAAACCCCTATATAAAATGATGAGCCTGAAAATGAGCATAACATGACCACTAATGCCAGTGGTTTTGGAATGAAATGTTCAACAATCAGTCATATGGGTTGTGCATTCTGAGTGTTCACATGCTTTGTTCAGCTGTCCATGTCTTTTCTTTTTTTTAATTCTTTTTTCTTTTTTTCTTTTTTTTTTACATAGTCCAATAAAAAAAATACGCCTCTTTAATGTCCTTTGAAAATGTATGCAAGTTCAGTTATCCGTGCTGCTCATGGAAATATGTGGAAATATGTATCTCCAGTGTAAATCTTTAATGTCAACTTAATAAAAATGGGAGCCATAGATCAGTTTCATTCTTATAAAGTCTAAGGCCTCACAGAAGATATGAGACCTTTACTATGTATAACTAAACACTGTGCTACCTGCACGCTCTCCTAGAGCGTTGTGGCTGAGGTCGAGGTGCTGTAGCTTGGTGTTGGTGATCAGTGCTGGGCCAAAGTATTCAGCAGATTGGTCTGTGAAATGGTTTCCTGACAGATTGAGTGACACCAGTGTGATGTTCTCCTTAAGCATACCAGCTATGGCTCTGGCCCCATAATCCCCAAGATTGTTGTCGGAAAGGTCCACCTCTGGGATTGACACACAAATACACAGGTAAAATGCTAATGCATTTCCCATCACAAAAAAGGTCCAAAAAGATGAAGTAGAGTTTTTTGACAATTCAATAGATGTTCTCTATTAACTGTCTTGCTTACTGTTTGATTTGGCGGTCTGTATAATGCTGAAGAGTGTTTCACAAAAAAGGCTGCATCCAAAACTATTGGTCCCGCCTCACTCAGTTTCAAGGTCGACAAGAAACTGAGTGAGGAGTGACCAATAGTTCTGAACATTTTTAGTTATAATTCTTACCAGCTTCCCTTTTTTGAGTAAAGGCCCTCTGCAAGGAGATATGGACAACTTCTTTTCTAATCTGAGTGGTTCAAAAGGAGTACTTTCCATGAGGCTATCTGACTCTTGAATGGAAAATCTTTGGAATTTTAAGGTCATACATGCTGATATTAGCCACGCTAGCAACATGACTCAGTGGATGGCAATGTTGGTCTCAACAACTATTGGATGGATTGCCATGAAATTTTGTACAGGCATTACAGTTCCTAAACAAAGAATCCTAATGCTACCATCAGGTCGATATTTGTTGTTTAGTGAAATGTTTTTCGACAAATGGCTTGCCATAAATTTTGTTAAAGACGTTCATGCCCCACTGCAGGATCAGTTGTAATCTCTTAGGTTATGTACATAGAATGGTTATAAAAATTTGATTTATAATGGCAAAAGTAATGACTCAGCTGTACTTTGTGTTTAGTGCTAATTAGCAAGTGTTAGTGTTAAACTAAGATGGTGATCAAGCTAAACATCATTCCTGCTAAACAGCAGCATCAGTTAGCATGTCACTGGCAGCATATTAGCATACTGTCACAAGCATTTAGTTTAAAGCACTGTCGCTAGCGTGGCTTTAGTCCTGTTATTGTTGGTGTTTTTAGTTGTCTTCAATGTTCTCTTGCTCATCTTTTTGCTCTATGCACTGAACAAAGTAAGTTCCTAACAATTTTGTTGTAATGGCAATAACGTTAATTCTGTATTCATTCAGTCAAAATCAGAAAAATAGGTCTACTTTAAAATTCTGTGCTGGCTAATGTCCTCTGCAGCATCAGCAAAATACACATTACCCCAGAAAGTTGAATAGTGGTGCATAATAATAGCCCAACAAGCCTGCATTACTCACAGGACTCATTCTCCATACATCCCCCATAGGTTTTTGAGCTGCACATAGGACCCCAGATGTTAAATCCTGTGCTGTGGCATATAATTCGGGTGAGATGTGTACCAGTGGGAGTGGGGCTGGCACGTCTACTAGAAAAAGGTGAGACAGAGTTAAAGGTAAAGGAAGAGAGAATGTGTGCATGCTTGAGTGCCCAGTAAAACTACCTGTAATGTAACAATTTTCCTTTAACATCTCAGCTATAGCAGCTCCGCCCATTCCTTCCATCCAATTATCTCGCAGGTTCAGCCTCAGTATTGAAGTGTTGGTTACCAGGGGAACCGCCAGTGCTTTGGTGCCCTGCAAAACACAACCAATCCCCCCCCCCCCAAAGTGAAATTCTTCTGTTTGTTCACTGCAGTATATTTTCTGATCTGTATTCCAGTTAAAAGAGTACATGATGCAGGTGGGCAGAGAGAGAGAGCAATATTAAACCTGTTTGAGACAAATGAAGCAGAAGGGAGCTGTGTGGAGGCGTGGGTCAGAAATGAAGCTCGCAGAACATGAAAATTATAGTTTCTAGCGACTAATGAGAAAGTTGAGTGCATGAAGCCTTATGTTAACTTGATCATAAAAAAGGAAAGCAGAAACAGCTCCATCAGAGGAGTGGTTTAATGCATACAGAGTATCTTTCTGTAAGATTTCTATCACAACATTAAATCAACAACCTAAAGCAGCCGCACTTAGTTACTGTACTTCTGTCTGTGATTGACAGTAAAGACTTAAAAATACAAGATACACATCTTTATTTTTTCCTGTTTGGTCTAAACCTGCATAAAGAATTTTCTTATGTCTTTGCTGATCTGTATATGCCAGTGTATACGTTGGATTATATGAGAGCTAAAACATGTAGACACAACATTACCAAATAATAAAGCTACTTTTACATGGCTTAAAAGGTAAAAAGCATTTGGTTTCATTTTGGTTTTAATCAAAAGAACACTTTCCCCAGAGGTAAATAAAAATTTTGATCTGCATAATGAGCTCTCATTCAGTTTTTGAGTAAATCAATACCAGCAGCCTTACTTCTCTTCAGAGAAGTGAAGGACTTTCCACTTGAATGTGTGCTGGTAAGATCTATATGATGAACTAGACTTACGCAATTTTGTGTGTGTGCTGTGTAAGGTACATGCATGATCTAGTTCGCAGAAAAAGACAGAAAAGTCCTATAAGCTCAGCTGTGTTGGACATAACACAGTGCTCCCCAGACTTTGTCATGATCAGTGCAGTCCCCCTGAAGCGGAGTGTGACTTTGAAATAATGAGTCATTCACCAAACAAATGTCTGGGCTGATTTGAAATAGAGAGACAAAGACGTTTAAACATTTGTTAATTGTTAATTTGTTAATATTTGGTTAAATTCTAGTATTCCTGCAGGTGAAACAGGTGAAGAAAAAGGAAATATCCTCTTACACACTGTAAAGCTTAAACGATACTGATTCATTTGAAGTCGTGTTTCTGGCCCACTGGCGAATGTCCAGTATTATTAAGTCCAATGTTCACTCTCTTTTAGCTCTCTTTTTAGCCTCTGCCAACTGGCTCTTAGCTACCATGTTCACCAGTTAGTTGAAAAACTCTGTCTGTTTAAGAGAGTTGAATGAACTGCCACAGATGGCAGCTCAGGGGTTGCTGATGGACTTGAATACTGAAATATTTTTGCCTTGCATCTGGATTAAAATGATTAAAAACAATAGAATAAAATAATAATATAATGTAGATTTGGGATGAAAACAAATGCATAAAAGACCCTTAAAATATGTATAAACCTTCCCCTCTAATAATTTTCATACAGCCCCAAACTTATGATTGAAGTACCTGAGGTCCTAGACCACGATGCATCAGGCACATCTCGCTATTTTGCATATGTTGCAGGAAGTAAGAGGCAGGTACCACCTGTAATGTTTCACATGCCTCCATGTAGCACGTCTGCCCGGTTGGGTCATATGCCTCCTCCTTATCTGAAACATGAACAAAGGCACTAGCTGTAGTGTCTATCTAAACTGTTAACTCTCAATACCTCTTTGAAAAAGGAGAGATGTGGCGCTTTCACCCAGAGGAGGACTTTTTCAGTGTGATGTTGAAAACTCCCTTGTGGCTGATTTCGCCCTGTCAGGGGAGCTCATTCATACCAGATGGTTTTCACTTCTGGTGAAAAGGAAGCCTGACACAAAGACTGAGATGACATCATTAAGATGCAGAACAGGGCTCCAAATGTGTGGGCAGGCGAGTAAAGGAGTTTCTGTTTTGTTTTTTGTTTTGTTTTTCTGAAATCATTTAGAGATTGAGAAGATGAAACGGCAAAAGGGAAAAGATTAACAGATGGAGCAACAGGAAGGCGTTGCCTTATCAGTGATCATATGTTCTGCTCAAGATCAAATTAATTAAGACTCACTGTCAAAATACTTTGCACTGGTGGAGTCTAGTATAAAATATTATTTCAGACAGAATATAACAGGGTGAAATGGTTCATTTCAAATATATGACTCACTAAGCAATTTCCCCACTTTTTTACAAGAGGGACATCACAGCCTTTATCATAAAATCTAATCTAAATCTAACTTCCCCGCCCTTTTTTCTCCCCTTCTCTATCCAAAAGCAACTTTCTCTATAGCCTACCTCCGAGCTCCAAATCTGTGTCGTAGTCCTCATCAGAGATCACATACTCCTCTCCTCCCAGCTCCTCCTCTTCATTCGCTTCCTCCTCTTTCTCCTCATCCTCTTCAACCTCTCTTTCACCTCCATCTAGCATGTTCCCATCAGGGCTTGAGCAACGGTCCTTTGGCCCACGCACGTCGACCTCTGTCCCGCTCACTATTTGCTGAGTGTAGAATGACAAAGGAAGATACTGTGACTCCTCAAAGGTAGCAGCCTGAGTGAGGAGATTAGATGGATCTGCTGCCAGAAGAATAAAACGGATACCTACACTTAGGGCAACCAATGTCGATGGACAATTTTAACTTTTCTCTTTAAGCTTGTATCCTTCTCTCCTTCTAGTCTTTGTAACTACTTCCCTCCCCTCCTACTCCTTTCTTCCCTCTTCCCTTTAACCTCTTGACACAGACTATTTATTTCCAGGCCTATGGAATATTCACTACACGTCTCAGTCAGCCATGCCATATCTCATTATTTTCATGGCTAAATGGCTACTCAAATACCATTATTTGGCATGTGAGTGGTACGGCACATGCTCCAGGGCACCTTTTGTGTGGACAATTTGCATCCAATGGTGCACTGAATGCACTCCTTTCATACTGTATTCCTCACATTACCATAGAGCATGTAGCAATGTGATTAGACTACATAAAAGTGTAATTAAAACAGGCTTTGAGGGTGAGACTCTAAGTCTCCTTTGTTAAATGCATTCGTGAAAGTACACAGGTCAAAAGGGCAATCCATAAAAAGGAAATAGCAGGTCTTTAGTCTGTATTTTTGAGCCCGTATTTCCTTGCCCAGGGCAAGGAAAGTGCTCAGACGTGCCTAGAGATGGAATTGTGGTTACGACCTCCATATAGCCTAATATACTCTTGGAGGTCTATCATATGCTTTGGATTCTCACCAAAAGTCCCTCTCCTATTTAATCACAGGCTTCATAAAAAGCTGCCAGTCCTATAAGTCTCTACTGGCCTACCTGGGTGTTCACACATCTCTTGCTCAAGCGTTTGCAGACTTGGCTGGATGTTACGCTTCCTACCTCCCCCAGCTGCAGTTTCTCAGTTTCTGTTTCTGCGTCATCGTCTTCCAGCACAGAAGGCAGCATCGTCTCCTTGGCAAACTTCTTCCCATGAACTGGGACTTCAACACTGAGTAATGGTGATATTGAGAAAGATATATTTTGCTACCTTTATGAAAAAAAAAAAACTTACTTTTTTTCTTGCTTGTTTGTTTTTAGACTCAATGTGGTATATATATCTGAGCTGTGAGTAAAATCAATGCACAGCATTTGCCCAGCGGGTCGTGCAACCTATCTTGCTCACTAGGAGGGACAAACTCTTTCGGCTAATAAGAAAGGCCACTGCTTCTTTACGTGACAGACAGTCACCAATCAGAGTCCTTGTGTAAAGATTGGATGGCTTGTTTTGTTGACAAGTTGCCATGGCATTAAGAGTAATCTCATCCTCTGTATTGACTGACTCTTAGCCGTGACGACCAGCACTGAGGGCAGGAAGTGGCTTGTTTGTCAAATGGCTTGTTTGCTACAACTCTGTTTTTCATGGGATAAATCTGTATCAACATCTAAATCTGACCTTTAAACTAAAATTCTTCAACCTTAAACAAAACCTACTGCAGGATTAAACCTTTCCAGTCTGTATTCTTTCTTACATAAACAAGAACAAACAACACAAATGTGTTGACATATTCTGTAAATGTTTCTCTTTATTTGTAAGTAAAAGCAAAGTCCTTGCAGTTGATGCATTAAAACGAAATATCCTCAATCAATTACACAACAAAGGTCATTATAGCAGAGGCTGATTGGATCAGAGTTGTTCATAGCAGCAGCAATACGCAAACACAGAAAAAGAAACCCCTCAAGAATGTTTTTACAATCCAAAGCCCTGTGAGAAAGGCCGGACAACTTCACAATACAGTCTCACCGACTGACACAGTGCTGGTAAATAGACAGAGCTTTTCAAATGTGAACAGGAGACAGAAAATCACCATGCATTTATTTAATGCTGCTGTTTTATCCCCATACCTAAAGGATATGAGAGACAACATAGAATATGCCTTTGTTATTTTTAAAATCAAGCAGAATCATAGTGCTCATTTACATAATCAAAATACATTCTTAGAAAAGATCAGAGTGAGTGAATAAATTATATATATATATTTTCATTCCTGTTAATTGCTTTCCTGTTGCACATTTTACATCACAGGCATTTTCTTGACGGCTCTCATTCCAATGAAACTAAATCTGTTAAAACATAAAATTGTACACAGGAGGCATTCATCCATAATGAACAACAGTGGGGACAATGGAAATCAGCCATTTTCTCCCAGCAATAAAAATAGTTGACTCAGAAAAAGAAACAAACAAACAAAAAAAACCCCTAACATATTCTCGGTAGCTTCTAGGGATGTTTGAAAATCACATTGAAATCCGTTAATCATGCTATCTTTAATTTGAATCAAAAGACTAAGAAAGGGAACAAACAAGACTCTGACAAGAAGCTGACAAGAAAAGCCACAAGTCACTGTAGAGTGGGTGATCAATAAACAATGTGGCCCCTGCACAAGTATATTCAAATTACAACCCTGACTCATTGGAAAGCAGCAAATGACCACAGCAGCAGTGTGATTGCTTCTTGTCCCTGAATGAAAAACTTCACTGGAACTTACAACAATGGAACTGAACTGCTGAGATCTAAACTAAGCGCCATGTGGGCAGTTTCCCCTTACCAAAACACCATCTGTAAGATGATATTTGCAGGCTTGTGTGACTCACAGAGCAACAAAGTCATGCTTTCTTCAAAATCAGACAAGTTTGACAAGGTAACAGACAAGCAGAATAAACATGTAAAAACATACACCTGAGCACATGCATGTTTTACACCCACTCGCATTTAGATGTGTACACTTGATGATTTCTATGGCGCACGCGCACACACACACACGCTGATGCTACTGAGCAGGTGTCAGGTCACAGTGAAAGGGTGATGCAAAATCATGCAGACACACAAAAGAATGAATGAGCGTGCTGTACGTAGGCAGAGGCAGAGAGTAATGTAAGGCAAGAGGCAGGAGTTGTGATGCTGATAAAAATTTTAATGGGTCAAGCTGTCATGTGTGATATGATCAGGGCAGCACAGGGTGCTAAAAAAATATACTTTTGCTTTGCTTAACAATGTTTTTGATACATAGATATAGCGGGGGAAAACTTTTATATGGTAAACATGACGCTACAGCCCAGAGAGTGTTAGCTTAGCATAGACTGGAATCAGCTAGTCTGGCCGGACCATTGCATGGCTGGCAGCAGCAACTCTCTGCTTCCAGCCTAGAACAATTCTGACACATAACCTCCTTTAAATCCACAATATAGAGAGTAAGCACATTTCCCAAAATGCCAAACCCTTGAACTCTTAAAACTACTAATTTAATCATTTAATAATCATCTATAATTCATAAGGGAATTTTCCAACACAATTTCCCTTCACCATGAGAATATGATTTGACACAAATGTTTTCTTTTATTATAATCAACACACCAATGTATAATATTATAATCTGGGGGTCCCAAACATTTTTAAAGATTAATTAGAATGAATTTTAATATGTAATGACTCAGGGTCAGACTTCATTAGTGGCTGCCCTGCATATTCCTATGTAGCCTCTGTGGGTTGGGCAAAACCAGCTGGGACACACAACATTATGATGTTATGAGAGAATGGACAGGCCACTAAAAAGAGAGCTGGCACAGAGGCTGATGCATTTTGATGGATTGCCAGTGAAGAGCTATGTGTTTGTTGAGACTGACAGAATCGCTTTTTTATAATTCAGGGCAACCTGTCAACACGCCAAATGTATTTGCAATGAAAACCAGCTTTTCATTTTTCTATCTGCATGCCTGTACATCTTTCACTTATCTCTGCCTTTTGAACTTGTCCTGAAACTACAATCTTTGATTATAAAAAAAAAAACTAAATTGATTTGTCTGCCCTGATTCTTTCCATGAAGTTGACTTAGTTCATACTTCTGTAATGTCTTTTAGTTTGTTATCAATACCACACATTTTCCCTTCACCTCAATAAAAGCCTTTTAACTGTAACAATAACACAGAGTATATTATATTTCTTGAGTATATTCTTGTCTTGGCCATGCATTCACAATGAGGCAGGTCATTACAATAGGTGCACACATTATGAACCAAAATGATCAATTTATAATTTTTGGAAGTATCAACAAGCAAAACAGATTTTCAGAGAACAGAACATTTCCAACCTGCTACAGACAAAATTGCAGAGCCCAACAGAAACATTAGATTGGTATAAAAAAAGAAAGAACCCCCTTTTTTAACAGTACAAAAATTGGCACAGTATTCTTGAACCAGCGTTGCTGTGTCCTCTAGACTGGTTGTTGTCAGAAAGCTCCCGATTCATAGACCTATGAGCAAAAAACCCTGAGAGAGAGAGAGAGAGAGAGAGAGAGAGAGAGAGAGAGAGAGAGAGAGAGAGAGAGAGAGAGAGAGAGAGAGAGAGAGAGAGAGAGAGAGAGAGAGAGAGAGAGAGAGAGTCATTCACACCCAGTGAGCAGGGGTTTGATGGCCAAATGTGAAATTCAAGTGACAATCCACACAGCGACCATCGTCTGTGATGCATTATGTTGGTGCTTAATGAGCCGTAGTGGCTATGTAGGGCCCTTGTTTTGCTCTCATGGCAAGGGTATATGAAGTGTCTAATCTTGAATATGCACAAATAACAACGGAAACAAAAACAGAAATGGAACAGAGCCACTCGCTTTCACTCTAATCCTGTTAGTTTAAAGGCCCTTCTCCGCGGGTTACTATGGTTACCCACTCTGTTTTCATCTGAAACCCAGGGGGCATCGCCAACAACCACAGGTTGCAGATTGGAGGTGGATTTATACAAACGCCTCTCGGAGACAGGGTTGCTCTGGTATTCTCACTGGCTGCGATAAATCTCAATGAGCTGAGCCAAAACACTTTATAAAATATGAGCTAACCAGCTGGCAAATTTGAGCGGCAAAGAAAGATCTCTGGTAAAATGAATAAAAAATTGAAAAAACACATCATAGATCTCAGACATCCCACGCAGTTCAGCGGTGTTGCAGACGAGACAAGTGAATGATCCTGGTTTTAGTTTTTGTTTGTAGACACTAGACATTACCTCCTAAAATCCACTGACTAGTAATGAACAGATGAAGGAGGGAAGAATGAATGAAGGAATAAATAAATGTGAGGTATTCTGGTTTCATTTGGTGAATGAGGTGCTTTGTTTTCAAACAAACTCGGTCATAAAGCATATGAAGAAGATTGCCATGAAATTTACTAAGCATATTCATATTGGTAAAACGATAACCCCTTCTGGTTAATGACCCTTTCTTCTAGTGCTGACATTTGAAAAGTTCAGGAGAACTGCTATTATTTGGCCAACCCATTGAGGTTTAACTCAACCAGTGAGATGGTTTTCTCCTCACAGTCCAGACCGGCTTTGGAAAAGGGATGTGTGTTTTTATAACTGCAAACCACTTACTCATCTGAGTCCTTTTTGCTCTCCTCAATGTAGGCGATGGACTCCGAACGAAGCCGGTTGGTGACCTCATAGGTACGCAGGGTGACACCAAAGATGTCCTCATGATAGCGGTTCTCATCCTGGATTCAGGTGAAAGACAGAACGGGAGGAAAATGTGAGATGGAAATATCATGATCCACCTGTGTTTCCCATTGGTTTCCCCTTTTCCCTGGTGTCTGTCTGTCTGTCTGTCTGTCTGTCTGTCTGTCTGTCTGTCTGTCTGTCTGTCTGTCTGTCTCTGTGTGCGCGCGTGTACGTGTGTGTGCGCGCGTGTGTACGTGCGTGCGTGTACGTACACGGCTGGGCATATCCGACTTGCTGGCATCTGGCTCTCTTCCACACCAGCTCCTAATCATCTCATCAACTCTGCTGTTCAAGTACTCCTGTTCTCCTGCCACTCATCGCCAGATTGTTTCTGAGTACCTCGTGGTATCACACCCTCTCGGCCCAGAAACCTTTTGTGACTTTGATACTGTCTAGTACCTTTCGAATTGCTGTTTTGCTAATGTCACCGTTTCTCTGTGCTCCTGTGCCTCATCTCTAGTGTCTCCCGTGCTATACACCACTCTACACCCTACCCCTCAGACTGCCACCTTTCCACTACGCCTCTTCAGTCTGCCTGCCTGCCTCCTGCCATCATCAGCCATGCTTGCCTAGCCTCACCTGTGTTCAGGTGTTTTAAATACCTTTACGAGTCTGTGCCTGCTCTTGGGTCCGCTCCGAACTAAAACCTAACAGGATATTGTTTTATTCATCATTCATTTCTTTGAAATCAGCTTCATCATTCATTGTTATATTCACAACAATGAATGATGAAGCTCAAAGAAACTGAGAGAAAAAGTAGAATATAAAACGTACAAATCTTGAAAAATATCCAGCATGGCCGCCTTCTGTATGAGCATGCAAGAAAATGTGTGATGGTTTCAGATTTCTTAGTTGTGTTTTTTTTTTTTTTGGCACATTATTTTCTACGCAGGAATGATTTTGGATTTTCTCCATCTACTATTGCACTATAAAATGGTGAGACTTTGCATTATGATGAGACATTTGATGTATACTGACTGTGTTAAGATGCCTGCAGTCATTGCATTTTACAGATTCACTGACAGTGCTGATTCAGTCCATTTGTATTCTACCCAGGTGAGTGTGTTAATTGTATGCGTGGTTTTCACCCCTAAATTCACAAATTAAAATAAGCCTGTAGGGGTGTTTAACGTTTACTTTTTCAAGAGATACCGACTCACGTCTATTTTTCAACAGCTTCAAAACCTTGCCTGTTTAACTGGGGGATGATTGCATTGCTCAATGGCACCTCTGCAACGGTGAAGAGCACTTCACACTACCACTACACCAAGCGTTTCAGTGTTGTTTAATGGTGAACATCATGAAGACAATGCTGTACAATGAACTGCACTGTTTCCCTCGCTCTTACCCGGAGCTTGCTGATGAAAAAGCCAGCATCCTCTAGGCTCATGTTGCCCTCCTGTTTGATGATATGCTGGACAGTCTTGAGAACATCTCCGGCCATTGTAACATCCCCACACACATAGATGTGTCCTCCCTCCTCCTTCAGGCACTGGTACACAGTCTCTGACAGCTGCTCGCGCAGTGCATCCTGTACATATTTCTGTCAGAGCGGCAGAGAAGGAATGATGTGTGCATGAAGAAGTCAAGTGTGAAAACAGTAGGAAAGGAAACAATGTGAAAAAACAGAGTCAGGAGACCACTAACATATAGGGGAATAAAATAAAATGGGGTAGAATTTGTAAACTGAAAGCAAGCTGAAAGATTGTTGGTGTGTCCAGGTACTTAACAAATATAGAGTATGGAAAATTTTTGCCATATTTTATATTCAGTTCTATTTCACCTCAAGAGAGACACAGATGGACCAAGACGACAGCAAAAAAAAGCTAATAAAACAGATATAAAAACGTCAAATGAAAACACTTTTTCTACTGTGCGGTTTTTATCTCAGCAGTCCAAAGACAGTTGTGACAAGCTGACTCATCCAGTTATGGACAGTTGAGTGCTACCTTTGGTTTGCCGGGTTCTCTGGAATAGGCTGTGTAGAGCTCCTTGAACACGTCTTTGTTCTTGGCCTGGATGGTTTCCTCCTTGTAGATGTGGTCCATCTCAGACTGCCGACAACCAAACACCAGGATCATGGGGCACGACTCAATTCCTAAAGGTGGCAGGCAGAATTATGTGGTTGCTTTGAGTTGTGGTGTTTTGTATATCATCAAAATCTCAGACAGGGATTTAATTCTAATAAAACTTAAAGGCACATATGACGGAATTTAAACTGGAAGAACACATTTAATTAGTTTGTCATGGATTTTCTTATAATCAGCCATCAAACTGAAGATTCTGTCTGTATGTTCATGTGAAGCAGAGGAAATCCACTGCAAAGCCCCCTTTATGAGGTAGCAATAAATACATATATATATACATATTCAAAGGAATGAGAAAAAAAAATAACCAACCTTTGTGTTCAAGGTCGTATAGTCTCTGTTGCCAGAAGCTTCTGAAAGGGGCAATACCTGTTCCTGGACCCACCAGGATACAAGGTGCTTGGTTGTCTTTGGGAAGCTGGAATGAAGGAGCACTAAAACATTGCAAGAGACAAAAAAATATAATTAGTGAAAAAAGTATCCTAAAAGTGACCACAAAGCTTGTGAAATTCACTTACAGGAACACAAACATGCTTATTCACATTCTTGCAAACATTTAGATGATTAGATTAATGCCACTCATCTCTGTATGCTAAATAGGAAGCTAACTTAGTCAGCAAAGCTTAGTTCAAAGACTAACAACAACTACTGCCTATCAGCTCCTCTGAAGCTCACTAATTAGAACGTTCTGACAACTGACAACTGACAAATTGCTGTTTTGGGGGGGTTTGTGCTAGGCTTTGTTGGTCCGCAACCAGTGGAGACACCAGGAAGTTACTAGGTGCAACTAAGAAATAGTCTGGCACATAACCTGTGGTAAAAGCATTAATATGCTGGGGGGTTTTTTGCAGACTAAACAAACAAATGACATAAAATGTGGTAATTGGTGAGCTTTTGAGGTGCTGGTTGGTTTTTGCTATCTCTGGTCAGAGCCCAGCTAGCTCTTTCCTGGTTTCCAGTCTTTGTGCTAAGCCAAGTTAGCCAGCTGCTGGTGGTAGCTTCATATTTATTGTATATACAAATATAAGCGTGATTTCAATCTCATCGAATTCTCTGCAAGATAGCAAATTAAGTTATTTCACAAACTGTCAATGTTTTCCTTTAACATGCCACAATCCTAAGTCAGTCTACAAAACACTGTAATATTTACCTGCGCACAAAACACGGCACCATTTCCCCCTTCTCTATCCTGTTGAGCCACGATGAACACACTCCATGGTGGATAGGTCCCTCTCCATCTGAAAGGGATGAAACAAGAATTTTACCTGTTTCTCTCCCCACCACCTCCCACTCTCTTAAGGTACACAAACAAACAGGAGAATATGGCCCTAACATGTTTTTCAAGGCTAGGGCCATTCCTTTCTCTCCTTCTAAAGGGAAATTACAGTGATTTAATCGTTGCTGTTTGCTTAAGTACACATTACATGTGAGAGAAAATAGTAGGGATAGCATCTGGTAATGTTTGCTGACTACTTGACAGGCTGGGAGTATAGATGTTAATTGCTATGGTGGAGATGTAACAACCTTCTGATATACTATGCAACATATACTACGCAAGACTAACACTGCACATTGAAACCCAAATAGCATTACATATACTCTCAGACAGACTAGTATACCTGTTGTGTTTGTGTCCATATCTCTAAATATAATCTGTGTAGAAATTTAAAAATCTTCCCAAGGTGTTTCTAAATCTATGTTTCTTGTAATTACAGTTGCTGTCTGGCTGCCCTGTAAAGCACCCTGGCTTTCCAAGATAACTTAGAATCAATTTTCTTTGAGCCATCCGAGGGTTTTCAGAGAGGCTTTGCAGCCTAGTCATTTGACTTTGTCAAGCCTGCAACCTTAAAACAGCCACAGCGTAGTGCCTTTTATTCATGACATAAACTGAACAGAAGTAAAATGTATATGTATAGAGGTTATGTAGTTTGGGGTTAGGGGTTCAAATAATAACTGCTAAAGACAATATACTACAAACCACAGTGTATGATTGAGTTTACTTTGTATTTTTACTTAAATATGAAGAAGGCCATACACATTCCAGAAAATAAAAAGAGATCAGTTTCAGACCCTCAAAAACCTAATGGGAGCATTAATGTCCATATGACCAGAACACCTGTGGCTACACCTACACAGCCTTCAAATCCTTGGAGAGATGTTAGCTAATGCTGAGCTTGGTAAGAGCAGCTCTTGAACTGAAAAAGAAGCCCCAAATGAGTAGTAGGTCCTTACCTCTGGCATGGTAAGAGACAACAGCGACGGTGAGGTGGATCTCTCCTGGGTGTAGGTCTGGAGAGGAGCTGATGGAGTAGTAGCGAGGCTGCAGCAAGGGAAGCTGGGTGAGCAGCAGAGTGGAGGGCATCTGGATGGAGGGAAACTCCTCCAGCACCTCCACCAGTGTCGGATTATTGTACCACTTCCACTCCTCATACTCCTGCAAGCCCTGTGATGTCAAGGAGAAAGACAAGATGAGATAAAAGTACAGGTAGATGTTTATTGGATTTAATGTCTGTCTTGGTAAGTTGGTTTTGCAACAATAACTGGTAAAAAACAAAAGAGGATGGTTTCCTCTTTTAAGTCTGTAAACATTTCTGACTTGAAAGCAGGAGGCAGCCACATGCAGAGCCATTCACCATTAACTGCCCAACTGTTTTTGTGTGTCATCACTGACATTTGGATGTGATGAATTTAGAGCACTGTCACCAGGCTAAAAAACACTGATATGTTCCCAACTTTTGCTTTGTTGTCATGCTGCTAATGAGCAACACAGTGCCCATTTAGAAGCCTGGTGCGGTCTCCATTCTGAGCCTGAAGCACTATTTGAAGCGCTGTATGTACAATTAGCAAAATTTCAACAGCAAAGGAGGTTTGGGGCCTGGGTTTCTCAATGTTGATCCACAGATGGGGTTGTGGGACTTTTCAGAAACTGATAGTTTCATTCAGATATTGGTAATAACTTTCTTTTAATATTTTTGTTCTATCAATTCCCTATTTCATGCTTTTGAAAACAGATAATAAAAACAAATGAGAGCTTGACAGTTCTGTAAAAAAACAAACAAAAAGGGGATTAGAAAAGTTTGAGAGACCCTGCATTAGTCCTGATATTTAGCGCATACAAACAAAATAAAAAATAAACGATCTGCAGTGCTGATTCTACTGTTCTATTTCATTTTCTAAATTCAGAAGCCTTCCATCTTTTCCTCTCGCTTTGGTGACAATGATTCGATGTATGAGCATATGAGTCACTGCTTGGCCTCTGCCAGCCCTTTCCACACATTGACAAAAATGGAGAGTGAATTGTGGGAGGCACTGCAAGGAGGGAATGGCTCTGGGTTAGAACGATCAACGGCTTTAATTTGGCGCCAGCTGACTCCAACTGTACACATTTCCATTAGTGCAAAGTGCATCTAATTGGCTTTCAGACACAGAAAACTATATCCCATATTTTGATAGCAAACATGATGAATGTGTTGATTATTGTTGTGCCTTAAACACATGGTGACTTTTTCTGTAACTGTGCTATGAAATGTGTTCTAATAAAAAGTGAAAAAAAAATGCCTGCATACATTTGGCTGTGAACAGGAAGGAGAGAGTATATTTTGGGATATAGCCTACGCACATACATCTCAAATCCCTCATGAGTTTGTCACGAACTAAGCTAAGCTCTCTGCGCAGCAGCAGCTCAATAATTCTAAAGGTCAGTGTTAATGGTAACGCAGAACACTAAGTGAATTTACCTTACTGAGGATCTCTAGTTTCTTTTTCTGTTTCTCATCGGTTGCCAGAGCAGCAAACTGCTGTAGCAGCACTGGGCTCGGTGGGGTGGTGATGTCCAGGAAGTACTGGAAGGCCTGGAAGATTGTGCACGGAGGGATACGAGGATCATTTGTCCAGTTACTGATTACCCCTGCAGAAGAGAAGAAGGTTAAAGGTAAATTAATTCATATTTTATATAAACAGCGGATCAAATTACTTTGTGTAACATGAAAGGGAATGCTCATGGAAATAAAACGATAGATAATTATCTCCACTCTCTACAGTTCCCCACAGCTCTAAGGAGTGTTTTGGTTTCTTATAGCTCTTTGTTTAGTTTTTCTGGCCTGCAAACTCTTATAAACCTCCGCTGCAGTTGCAGCAGGCAGCCATTTCTACTGAAAAAGCATTGATAAACCCACTGCCAACCTGCCAAGCACCAAATGATCCTGTTTGTCAGGAGTTGGTTGAGACCAAAACAGAGCTAAGAGGACACTAGGTATTGGACTTGCATCTGTCAAGTGGCCAGAAACACAACTCCAAATGAAAGCGAATGTTGCTCTGTGTCTGTTGAATGTGTAAATAGGACGTTGTTTCCTAGCTTGTTCTCCACAACACCTTTATAAAAAGGTGATAATATGTCAGTCTTGTGTTAACAGTTACACTCTGGCCCGCTGCCCCGTAGTAGCCCAAAACATTTTTTTAATGTTTAAACTCCACCTGTCATATTAGCTAAAAGACAGTTTCACCAGATTTGCAACGTGAGATAATTTCCTGTTTTATTGACAGTAAACTAATCAAAACTCTATACTTGCCACCCCTGGAGCTTACAAGAGCCCTGCTCATGGATTGCTTTTGTGGAGCAGGCCCCTGAATCACAAAGAGGTGCTGCACTAGCCAAAATTATATTTTAAAAAGTATATGCCCACTTAACAAATGATTGAGATGACACTGTAACATAGTATAACAGTTTTAAGCAGATATTTTGAAGTTATTTATTAATAATGCATTTGTCAACAACTACAAATCCTCATATTACACATTGTTATCTAATGATATGGATTTTCGAAACATATTTGGACATCTTTAAACTTACTTGGTTATTTATGTGTAAAATGGTTACTAAATGCTTTTACACAATTTGCCCAAAAAACTATTATGGAGCAGTTATGCTGTCAAAAGACTCAAATTATCCATGCTGAGGACCTAGCATAGTATGAAAGTAGGAAGTTTATTAAGCCATTTACCAAGAATGGATTTATCTGTCAAGGTAAAGTTTGATGAAGTACACATACTGTGTTTAAGAAACACCTTGCTTCACAGTCACAATGAAATTCACACTCAAGTCACCCAGTGTAACCACAACTGTTTGCCAATATGCAGCTTCACTGAATGATTTCTTGGCATATATACCTTGCTAAAGTGTGACTTCATGTTGTCTGTTGGCAGGAGAGAATGTTTCTTATTCATGTTTTGATTTTGACATTCTGCCCAGATATCAAATTGCAACCCTCCTGATTGCACGCCTACTGTATTCGTAAAGTAGCGTGGCGTTGCTAATAGCATCACCCACCGAGGGCAGTGTTCCTCTCCTCCAGGAACTCCACTTTGACAATTTGATTGACAGGTGCAGCATCCTCCAGTTTATCTATGAGAGCCGTCACCAGGTCCTCGTGGTTGCCAGGGAAGATGCCCAAATGGTCACCGGGCTGGTAGCTCAGTCTGTCGTGGTTGTTTGTGTGGAGCCGCACAAATATGGTGGAGCGACTGTAAAAGAGATCAGAGATTTGGGGAACAACACTTCACCATTTTCAGTCTGTTCAGACAAAATAAAAGACAAATATGTGACTTATTTCTTTCCTGTAAAAGTGTTTCATGTGTCACTCCATACTTACTTGGATTTGGAAGTTTGTAGGTTTTGAGATTCCAGCATCTTTGCTCCATAAACCTTCTTCTTGTGAATGCTGTATAATGCTGTTGGCAGACATAAATTAAACTATATCACATACATGTACTTTATTTAGAGACTTAGATAAAATCTTTATCTATAAATCCGATTTGCTTTTCAAGTTCATCATTATGGGAAATACCAATGCTTATGCACCTGTAAGAAATTTCTACTGTTTTGTCCATCCCACATATAGCAATGAGGGTGGGGTAAATAACAGAAATGCCTCTATGTATAATGCAATACAGTTCAACAGCACCACAACGATCATTTTGGAGGATGCAGTTTACTATCTTGATAGTCATTTACAATTATTGGATGCTGTCTAGCCTTAACCCTTGTTCACAATATTTCTCATTTAAAATGCTATAATTTACTAAATGAATGCATGAAAATTAGGATACAGACCACTGGTCTATTTCAGACCTGATCCAACATTTAGACACTAGAACTCGAGACCTCTATATCTAAGGAAGAAAGGGCTTGAAATCTTATTGCATTATCATTTTTCATTCCAAAAACAGAGTCACAAATCTCCAGGTGATTTAACGGATGAGTCACTGGTCTTGATCAATAATATTACCATTCCTGCACAGATATATTACAGTCATTTTGTGTTTATTAGCGCTTATTTCCCCATTAATATCAAGATGCCAACAGTTCATTACTCACTTCCAATAGGATTATTCTTTACCTTCTGTGAGGACTGGGGCCTCGGCTGTGTACGTCAAACGGAACTTGCTCTTCTTCCAGCTGCGGACATTGCTGATCAAGGAGTCGTTGGCCTTTTCGATGTTCACATCATCGCCGACACAGAACACGTCACAAGCAGCCTTGATATGTAACAACACAGTCACAGTAAATAAGACCATTATTCAAAGCTCCCTTTCACACCTACACAGGAATGACAAAGGATTTGGAAAATAATCGATCCGCCAGTAGGCCTCCACCAGCTCAAGGTCTCGTATGGCCAAAACTATTACCTTGACTGTTGTGGTTGCACAGAAAACAGTGGACCATATTAACATCAAAACCAAGTCTTGAGAAGTAACCAACATGCCAATCATCAATTAAAGACAAAAACTGTGTGCCCATTTCAAGCACACCAGACCATTATGATTGACAAAGTTAAACCAAGCCCAGAGGGTCTTAGCCCAAGAAACCAACCTTAAAAACCTTCTTGGCCCAGGTTCTGAATGACTCCTCCTGGCCACACAGCTCATCTCCTTCTCCCATGCGTAGGATGCGCTCCCCTCCCAGCTCTTCAAACAGTGTGTCCACAGCGTGGGCAAAGGCGCAGAAGTGTGGGTAGGCCCTGGAGCCAAGGCCAAACACTGAGAACCTGAATAGAGAGGTAGGTAGTGTTAAAACAGCATAACACCAACCAAGACAATCGCAAACCACCACCAGAGAGCTCACATTAGAGAAGTCCTGTCTCAAAACACACGAAACAGCTGACGTATTTCTGAATACTTATCATGCTTTGTTTTAGATAGATGTGAACATGAAATGGGGCACTTCTGTCAGAACTGGTGCCGTGTACTAAGGCAGGAACAGATTTCAGGACCCAATTGCATACTAAAATACAACAGGCTGTAAAAGCAGAGGATATAGTTATTGTCCCAAATAAATCCAAACAAAGAAATCCCACAAAAGTAAAGTGATGAGGGGTTAAATACCAGGGGCGACCGAGATTTTTCAGCAGCAGCCCTTAAACTATGGAATGCGCTATCTCCACAGGTCAAATTGGCCTCAACCCTCGAATATTTTAAATCCCGTCTTAACTCACTTGTATTCCCTGGCTTTTAACCCAGCATGAGAACTGTGTGGTCTTATGTTGTTTTATGTGTTCTGTGTTTTTATGTTTTATTTCTTGTCCAGCACTTTGTAAACCTTTGTTTTTTAAAATGTGCTAAATAAATAAAATGGATTGAGGTTTTTTACCTGACGTTGGCGAGAGGTCCGGTACTCTCAAAGTTAATCTTGGCTTCTGGCTCATCACTGGAGGACTTGCGGGTATCAGAGTAGGAAGACACGCTGTTGAAACGGACCTTGTAACTCCTGGACAGGAGACAAAAGCAGAGAGATGAGGCACATGGATGTATAACTCAAGGGACACAAAAGATGGAAACTGACATGTACGAATACAAACACGGGCAAGTCGGGGACAAAACTCACTTTCTATCTTCAGTATTTGATGTTGGGTGGCGCATCTCCATTAAGGCAGCTCCAAATTTCTACAGTAACCAAAGAAAGGCTATTAGTAACCTGTGCACATGTCCTGTGCTTAATTAACTGTTGATATATAAACATACATACCTCTCCATTTTCAGGTGGATCACCATTGCCAAACGTGCTGGTCACCACTAACACCAGCGTCTCATGCTCCAGATCCACCACATCATACTCATCCATTGACATGACCTGCAGATATCACAGAAGAAGAGCGTCATAATGATGACTCTGAACCACCACTTCCATGGTGCAGTCTTTGTCTCACTCTAGTCTCCTTTACACACGCTCCACATGAAGGATAACTTGAGCATGTAAATTAAGACTGAACACACAGCCGTTGGCTGAGGAGGAGGTTGTAATGACCACTCTGTCCTCGCCTCTAACGAGATGATAATATGCTGCTGCCGCCACACAACGAGCATCCATGATGCACACCACTCATCATGATGGTGTTTGTCTGCCACGGAACACACTTGCATTACACATGCACACACACACACACACAACCAAAGGCGTGAGGCGAAAACAGGCGTTAGCCCCACATCAATGACGATTTGCCCCGGGTGTTTGCATCTGCCCTGCGATCCACCAACACCCACTTCAGCGGAACACATATCCACACACTTGCAAGCACAAATCTCTTCCTGTATGATTGATCCCACTGGGAAAACGGGAAGGGAAAATAAGACATGACCTGGAGCAAAAGCACGCAGTGCATGATTGAGAGCAGCGTGTTTAGTTTTTTCTAACCAGATTTGCACAGCCAGAGGCACTTCAGGATCTTGTGTTAAACTACTGCACTGCTCAACGCTTCAGTGGTTAAATCTTTCCTCTGACCTGCGGCACTTTGCTTCATAAGAGAAGGAGGAAATGTGACAAAAGACAAATTTTCTTCTTCTACACTCTTGTTGACTGTACACAACTGGCATCAGCTTGGCTTCGTCAGTCAGAGAGCGGGGGGCGGGGTTCTGGAGGGATATTGGATGGAGTGATGTCTCTGAATTCCTCCTTTTTCCAATTCGACGTCCATATTTTGATACATAAGCTCGTGTTCAACTTTCAGATAAGATGATGCAATGTGGGAGCAAGCGTACCTTTGCGTCAAATGCGTGCTTGAAGATTTCACAGAGAGTTTTGGCATACTCTTGCGATTTGCCCGTCTCTGTGGCAAACAGGATTGTTGCTTTCACCCTCTTGGCCATGGCCTGGCCCATGAGCTTAGCCGAAAACTTGACTGCCCTGCAGAGGCAGAGAGAGAGAGAGAGAGAGACCGTAAGAGTGAGACGCACAGAAAAATACAGGACAAGGAATCGTATCATTACATTCATTCATTTAGCTGATGCTTTTATCCAAAGCAACATACAATTGCTTTATATGTCAGAGGTCGCACACCTCTGGAGCAACTAGGGGTTAAGGGTCTTGCTCAGGGACACATCGGTGTCTCACAGTGGATTCGAACCCGGGTCTCTCATACCAAAGGCATGTGTCTTATCCACTGCTCCGTCACCACCCCTTCATCTAAGGGCTAGTGATCTAAAAAGGTCACAGTTTGCAATCTATGATTCTCTGCCAAGACCAGTCGACTCCCTCGTGTCGATATTGAGGGTAGTGTGGCTCACTTCAGCAGGCATTGTGTCAAGGTAGCGGATAGGTGACAATCATGATTACCTAGCTTGTCATATCCTCGAGGCAATTATATTAATAGCAGAACATACGCATGCACGAGTGCATGCATACATAAACAACACACTGACAAAGCTTTGATTACTCCCTGAGGGGTTGATTGGATGAATTTCACTGCTGAGTACACCAGCTTTCTTCCCATGTGTCTAACTTTTGTCAGGAAAGTTTACTTGTTTGGCCTTAGATTATCATACACACATCCTACAGTATATTATCTTTGACATTTGAGCAATTTAGCCTTGACTCTATAAATAAAGAAGAAATCAAATTAATCCCTAATTAGCAAAACCTAGCATGGTTTACTTCTTTCTTCTTTCCGTGTGACTGCACACTCACTTGGCAAGCTTCTTGAATCCGATGGCTCTTTTCTTTGTGGGCGTCCCATTGACTCCTTTCCACACATGGGTATTCCAGGCATCAGCCTTTAGTACATAGGAAAAAATAATAGAGTTCAGAGGCTGTCTAAAGTTAAAATCCATTCAAAGATACTGATATATCACCTGGGATATCCAGTGTATTCCAGGAGTGACTCGGTATAAAGAGCTGCAATTCACTATTCATTTAACTATATATGCTATCCTTTAATGTGCCTGGTCTACTTGTATTCCAGGTATTGATTTCTAACTTTAATTTACATTAATACCTTCCTTAATATAGTTTGGCAGCCAAGCAGTTTGTAAACATGGGCGCATGTCTATAATTGTGTTGGTGCCCTCTGCCAAAAACACAACATCGCATAAATTGCATTACAGTCTGTTGAAGCTAATGTCAGTGCAGATATTATTATGTTAGCCTGTTTTTTTGGTGGTTTCAGCCTGTGGGAAAAGCTTAAGCTATAAAGGAACTATAAGCACTTGATGATTTAGATTTTCAGAATAGATTTTTTTGTATACCTCCCCCTCACCTGGTACTCAAAGGAAGGAGTGAGGCGGTAGTTGAGCATTTCTTGGTGGAAAACCGGTGTGATACTTCCCGACATGGGAGGCACAATCCACACCCAGTCTCCAGGACAGCCACCTCGCACCCGATACTCATTCTCCATGTGCTTCATGAAGGACTCTGTGGCTGAGTGATGGTCTACTATGGTCACTTTGCATGACTAAAAATAGGGGACACAAACAATTAACTAATTTATGTATTTTCTCTGCTACTTCACTAAATCACAGTACTTACAGCATTGAAGTTGCAAAATGTAGCTTTCTCGATCAAAGTTGAGAGAGTCATTTCAGAACCAAATGATATATTTTTCAATTACAGTTAGTGATACTTTTTAAAATTTTTTAATTTGTTTGCGAATGTCTTGGTTGGTTTACATCTAACAGTGGATGCAACACATTTGACATTCAGTCACTTCTGTTTCTGATACCGTATTCATTTAAATGAACAATGTATTAAGATGTACCTACCTGGAAGCTGTAGAGAACAGCAATGTTGATCTCCACCAGTGCCTTGTCTTTCCAAAGGGAGGAAGTCTTCCTGGTGTCTAAGTCCATCTTGTTAGCAACCTCCTACATAATGTAGAAAGAACATTTCTAATGTGAAAGTCACAGTGCTGATTGGTACAGTTGCTGAAATGCTTTTTTCCTGTCTTGACTTGTGACTAAACAAATGCAAAGATAGTAGATTGTCCTAATTATACGCTGTATCAAAGAGAATTTAATTTCCACTAAAATCTTTGGAAATTTTGGTGCGAAATGCTACGGAATAGCTTATGATTCCATTTGCCTCTCCGCATACAAATAAAATAGATACATAGATAAGTAAATACATATTTTGGCATAATATTAAAAATGAACACTGTATAATTTATACTAAGAGAGTTTGTGACAAAGTACAAGGAGGCTTTATTTCTTGTCAAGTGCTGTTAATCAGCTTTCTCCTCGGTGTGCACAATTAGAAGAAGAATGGCATTTTGATTGGGTTATTTGGTGACAACACATGCTTCTCTCCGCACAAGGCTTCTGTCAATCCGTGCCTCTGATTCTTCACCCATTTCCAATGGACTTGTATTTTGGCACAACACACTACCTCCAGAATGTTGTAGCGTGAGGTGTCGCAGAAGTCCCTCACGCCAATCTCTGTGCCCATGTACCAGCCGCTGAAGGGGCAGCCAGTGAACTCCAGGCCACCGATCTCTAGCATCATGTTGGAGACCGCCGGGAGGCCGTACCACTTTAGTTCCAGGTCCTTGAACCACTCGTACCTGGGTAGACCAAACAGGGGAATTGCGGGTGGGAGCAGCTATTTCAGCTAACTCAATTTGCACAGTCACACACACACTATAATAATTTGTGACTCTCTGTTTGAGCATGGATACAGTATTTACCCTCAGACACATATCATAAAAAAGGAGTCCAGCCAAAAGCAGCATTAACACAACGAAACCACTTTTGACAGCTTTTCAGTGCTGGACAGAGAAGGCAAGACCTCAATCTACCTCCCACCACTCATTCCTTGCACCCTCTAGGGGGACTGATAGCATTGCTTTCAGTATATTATTTGCAGAGCTGGGTCTAATCTCGTGTAATGATGAGAATCTGTTGGTGGTCGCAGCCTGAGCCAAGCTGCTGCCAGAGCTGATGGCCAGTTGATGCAGGGTATGGAGCAAGAGATGCCAATTTGGGGGGAGTCTGGCAGAGAGATCAGTGTGTCAAGGGATTCTGAAATGCTCTCTGTAGCGTGTAGCGATGTAGTGGTAGCTCTGTGTGCATCTGTGCCTGCATGTGTGAAAACCAGTGTAACAGTAATACCCAATTTATTACTGTGATTATGGGTATTCGATACAGAAGCTTAATACTTAAGATCTCAAGGGCATTATGGCTTTTGTAGAGTAGCTACCAATGTAAGAAAAGTTTCCTTACAAGTAAAATAAACACACAAGAATAAAAAGCAGGAGGAAGCTTGAAACCTCACTAACAAGCCCCATGGTTACCACAAAAGCTAGAATATAAACAGATAAAGCATGGCTAGCTGTGCTTTCTGGGAATAGTCAGCACAGTTGGATTGTGACGATAACCCAATCAGACATCTTGGCATAAAAGTACCCCATTGTTTAAGAGGTGTTGTTGAGATGTGTGAGTAGGTGGATGTCTTTTTGCGCAACCCCCTCTGTTATTGTGTTGCTACATTCTGTATATTTTGTGCATGCTTAGAGAAAAGGCATAACTCACTTTGGGTGTGTGATCGGCACCTCCAGGACGAGGTCCTCCGGGATCTCAAACAGCTCAGGGTCATTTCCATTGGCTTGTAGCAGGAGGGGCAGGACATCAAAACGACCCTTAGGAGGTTTCCATCCCAGCTGCAAGCAGATCTAGTGACCAACGGCAACATGTGAGCTTTTTTTGCAGCTTTACCTCACTGATTCAAAAATACAGCTCTTTGTGTACCTCAGTAAATTCAACATTGGCAGGATCTCCAATGATACGTCCATCAGGTTGTTTGTAGCCTGCATAACGAATCAGCTGAGTGTTCCACACTCGGAAGTCACGGTTGCTAGCTACTCTCTGTGGAAATATAGTGATGGCTGACCTGAAAAAAAAAAAAAAAAAGGATTTTTATTTTTATAAATATCTTAGATCAACAGCGTACTGATCTCTGTACATACAAGCATTAGATAGTGTATATGAATATTTATGCACATTGACAAGATTGCAAACAGATGGTTGGCATTGTGCATGTAATCTGCCCAAAGGCATGTTCAACTATGTTATATTAAAGGACTCCTAGCAGGGCCTAAGCTTAGCTACCTTTGGTCTGTTCTACATCCCAGTGGTGTTTTAATACCATGACCGGGTAAAAGTGTTAATACTGCTAAGCCGGTTGTAAGTCGCTCACGAGGGAGAGCAGCTGGTGTGAATCTGGGCCAGTTGTGCTAGCAGTCTACATCTGCAGGAAACAGTCTCTCAGCTTGGCTTCGGAAACTAGTATGGGCAGGGTATAACGTAATAACTGGTGGTTGGGTTATTTGATTTCCAAAAGGGGTTTGTTGTAGAAGTATTGTGTAGTCTGATATTGATATTATAAATCAGTTATAAAATCAGTTATAAGCCATTTTAAATATGGTTTCCAGGTTGTAAAAACTCCCTTTGACTAGTTAGATTTTTACACAATAATCTTAGTTTTAACAAAAGTTTACTGCAGTGTTGATATAACCTAATTTCCCCATGAAATCCACCACTTTAAAAAAAACTGCCGGAAGTCTTGTTTCTTCCATCACTTTAGGACCTTTCCTTAAAGTGCATTTATATTTTGGGAACAGTCACAATCATCTCTGTTTTTGCAATATTGACAGGTGACTTTGGATAAGCAAAACTGTTCCAAAACTATTGCAACAGCACTATGTGTCTATTTGTGTGTGTTTATTTATGTTGAAGTGATCCAGGCTGAGCGAGTTGGAGCCTGGATGTTGTGCTGGCTCTTATAAACATGTGTATCCGAGCTGTCCTTCCGAAGGCCAGGCTAAGCGTAGTAATGAGTCAGAAACTATCCATCATCCAAGAAGCAAATATGAGGTGTCACATGTGATTAGGACTTGGCAGAAAGTGAGCGAGCGAGCGCTGTGCAGGTCTGACAAATGACTGCTTGTTAGCACTGCTTGTCGCCTCACCGACAGGGCAATGATCAGTGCCGAGACACTGACAGATAGACAGGCGGCAGATAGTGTCCGAGACAGTGTTAAGAGACGGAGCGCACACTGACAGATGGGACAGTGGGTCAAGTCAGGGTAATCAGAGATGGAGAGTGGTGATGACATACATGAGCAACAGATGGGGACAGGAAAAAGTGTAGTCAGAATAACACGAGCAGAGCTGAACAAAAGGAAACAATAGTTGTAAAGAAACAAGACTTGGGTAAATAGCTGAGCAGTGTGTGTGTGTGTGTGTGTGTTGTTTTGACCTCAGATTGCCTTTGTTGGTGGCATACTTGATGTGGTTACAGATGTAGTTGTACATTCCATGAGCTGTTGTGCAGTCTCTAGCGTCAAAAACCTAGAAGGCAAATGTGAAAATGAAAACTCATAGCCAGATTTATGCACTTGAAGTGTTAAATATACAAATAAAATAAATATAGTATGTAAAGCTAAACAAGTGACTGAACCAAAAGTGATATACTATGTCTCTTGGATATTATGTATAGAATCTTGAAAACTTTACTCCACATTATTTATCAAAATGTAAAAAAAGATTGTAAAGAGTATAAAGCATTACTAGTCCCATACTGTGATTTTAGGCATACTGTATATTACCTGTAGTTTGGACCACTGGATCCTCCCTACACACCGGGCAGCATTCCTCCAGGCGTGCTTGGCTCCATAAATCAGTTCATTGTCTTTCAGCTGGTAAGTTCCTGAAGCTTCAATCTCCTTGGTCACCTCCTCCAGCCTGTCCACATGGGCCTTGGAGCCATTCCTGTAGGCAGAACAGGTCCACAGGCACAATAGAATGAGAGAACATCAAGAGGTATTGTACGAAAATTGTGCTGTTTCGTAAGGATCCCTTGTAGTTCTATTAACAAATCCCATTTGTGACACAAATAAAGATACACATTTTAACAGGGGGCATTAACAGGACAGACACACCTGCATTGCCTGTTACACAGGCATGGGTGGATTCTTTGTGTAATTGTTCGGCTGCGTTTACCTTTTGATGGAGGTGTAGTACTGGTCTATGAAGTCTGTGGCCAGTGGAAGAAGCAACTCTTTGTTTCTCGCCTCTTCTGGCTTGCGGACATAGTGGTTGGGCATCATCACAGAGCCGATGCACACATTTTCAGAGCAGACTGGCCTCTGAAAGATACATAACCCAACAGATGAGGGGTTGAATTCTGCTTTCTTCCGTTTTTTTTTCCCCCTTCAGTGCCAAAATGACTGTACAATTATCTGGTAAAATATCTGCAAATAAAATAAGATACCATGTTGGACTGTAATTCTTCAATTGGACAAAGAATTCAACATATTTCAACGGACTTCAGCGCTCTATTCACTCACAAGTCAGTTTCTGCATCCATCTCTTTGTTGTGATTGAATGCAATGCATGAAAAGCATGGTTCTCTTAATTAACAAAAGGCAGAGCTATCACATTACCTTCTCTATTCATTTTAAAGTAACTGGCTAAGCCTTGATTCTGCTTGATTTGAAACAGGCCTGGGAAATGCTTGATTGTTGCTTGGAATAATTCAGAAGAAAACCATTCTCTATCTAATTGTCTTAAACTTTTATTGTTCCCCTTTTAACTAAACTTGTTGAGTCAATAATAATCAGTACAATTATTTTGCCCGCTGAAAGAAGGTGACACTCTCAGGGTGCCAACTCCATATAAAATAGATTCACCTTATCCTTTCTTACCAAAGAACCCTATTAACATTAAATTAAGAGCTTCTCTTAACCCCTGATGGAGATTTTCCCCATAGGTAAATATCTCTCTCACTACTTTTACCAGGATAAAAGACAAAGGTGTGTCAAAATGAAATAAAGATATATTTCAATATGCAAGGCGAAAAGGCCATTGGTAGATCACTTCCATCGGCACTGAAAGGTTTTCAAGTTAACTCAAAGTTCCAGTTATATCATTATATATTCCACATGGTTAAAATTTTCAGTATGGAAATTGTTCACACATGGCTGGCATGCATGATATTAAATAAATAAGGTCAGTGAGTATCCTTCCATTAAGAGGAGACAGAATATAAGAAACCAGACAGAAAATTTGCTCATAGCTGAGAGTAACCTTGTGCGGTCAGTTTAATATGATTAGAGCTGAAGTCAGCTGTCACTTTTTGCCTAAATTCCTTCACCAGCTTGGAGAGAGATTGAATGGGTGAGCAAGAGCGGATGACCGAAACGATAACGCAGGCGTGCAGTCAAAGAGGAAATTTGACAATGACCCCAGAGCTGCTAAGATTGGCTTGTTACACTGAACCACACACTTGCACTGTCCAAACACTAATGACGTGGACCGGCAGTCTGTCCAAAATAAACTTCTGTGCGTGTCCCTTCCAACAAATCCAACCCTCACTCTCTGTTGAACAAGACAACAAACACACCCTTGCAGCCAGTCAAAACTAAGGAAAATGGAAAAGGAAATTGAGTGATAATCTGAAAAAGTGAAAGAAAACAAAGATGAAAATAAAAGGAATAATTTCAAAGAAAGGAGGCTAAAAAAAGATAACTGACAACGAGAGACCGCAGAGACAGAAAAACATTAACTGTAAGAGGTAACTGAGTAAAAGGGGGAAATGGATGAATAGAGCAGGGAGTGTTAAAAATAAAACAAAGGAATCACTTGTGCTCCAGCACGTCCGCTCATCATACCGCTCTGGGCATTCATGCCAGCCAGCTGTCCTTTTCGAAAAAGATGGATCATCCTTGAATACAGCAGCGTCTGTGATATATAATAAATCTGAAGATGCTACTACAGGCCATTCATTGCAATGCACAGCCTGTCCAATAAGTCACAGAAGTAATTAGGCTGCTGTTTGCAGTTTGCGAATGGCTGCAGCGTTTTGGGGGTGAATGCTTAAACAGCGGGGTTCACCTTGTGCTTGCTGCCTTGTGCTGGCTTACTAACTAGGAGGAAGAAACTGCATGAGAAAATGGAGAAAATAGATGAACAGAGCAGCTGATAGATTAACGGGGATGAAAATGCATAACAGAAATCCCTTTTCTTACCAATTTGGATATAGCTCACGCTTTGTAATTTTACCCTCAAACTGTGTTTGAAAATGACCTTATTTAGCTTTCTGAAGCCATCATGGGGGTGGAGACTACCCCCCCCCCCCCCCCCCAAAAAAAGGTGTGTTAATGGATAATCCTCTTTGCCCAAAACACGCATTGTTTTGTGCCCCAAATCGACATGTATTTACATTCAAGTGTTTAGTTTTTGTACCTGAACCTCTGCGATGTAAGATTAGGAAACTTTTGAAACAACAATGTTGTCTTGTTGGTAGAGGAGTGCGAGCAGAAAAACCTTATGTGCGTCATTCTTTAGGGAATGGACCCATGATGCCCTTTGTGGACTTGTGTGACATTTGTTTGTGAAATGACTTGAATGTGGTACAGATATTCATTTTTCCTCAGAATACATAAACTACAGAATATATACACTCACCTAAAGGATTATTAGGAACACCACACTAATACTGTGTTTGACCCCCCTTTCGCCTTCAGAACTACGTGGCATTGATTCAACAAGGTGCTGAAAGCATTCTTTAGAAATGTTGGCCCATATTGATAGGATAGCATCTTGCAGTTGATGGAGATTTGTGGGATGCACATCCAGGGCACGAAGCTCCCGTTCCACCACATCCCAAAGATGCTCTATTGGGTTGAGATCTGGTGACTGTGGGGGCCATTTTAGTACAGTGAACCCATTGTCATGTTCAAGAAACCAATTTGAAATGATTCGAGCTTTGTGACATGGTGCATTATCCTGCTGGAAATAGCCATCAGAGGATGGGTACATGGTGGCCGTAAAGGGATGGACATGGTCAGAAACAATGCTCAGGTAGGCCGTGGCATTTAAACCATGCCCAATTGGCATTAAGTGTGCCAAGAAAACATCCCCCACACCATTACACCACCACCACCAGCCTGCACAGTGGTAACAAGGCATGATGGATCCATGTTCTCATTCTGTTTACGCCAAATTCTGACTCTACCATCTGAATGTCTCAACAGAAACCGAGACTCAGACCAGGCAACATTTTTCCAGTCTTCAACTGTCCAATTTTGGTGAGCTCTTGCAAATTGTAGCCTCTTTTTCCTATTTGTAGTGGAGATGAGTGGTACCCGGTGGGGTCTTCTGCTGTTGTAGCCCATCCGCCTCAAGGTCGTGCGTGTTGTGGCTTCACAAATGCTTTGCTGCATACCTCGGTTGTAACGAGTGGTTATTTCAGTCAAAGTTGCTCTTCTATCAGCTTGAATCAGTCGGCCCATTCTCCTCTGACCTCTAGCATCAACAAGGCATTTTCGCCCACAGGACTGCCGCATACTGGATGTTTTTCCCTTTTCATCAGCTCAAAATGATTATTTGCCCAATACATTGGTTTATAACCAAATACCTGCATAACTAATGACATTCCTATTGCCCCTGGCTGTACTCTCAATTTAGTGCTAATTAGCCAATGTTGGCATACTAACACATTCAACTAAGATGGTAAATGCTGAAAACATTGTACCTGCTAAGCATAAACATGTTAATGTCATCATTGTGAGCAACTTAGCATGCCAATGTTAGCATGCAGTTCAAAGTACCACTTTGCCTAAGTACAGCCTCAGAGCATGGCTATAGACTTTGTCTACCATGCATAATGCGGGAAAGTATTCCTCTGTAATGGTTGTGAAAGTAGCTGCTGCTAAGAGGATGGCTGCATCACTTTTGTTGAGCTGGAAAAGATGAACACATTAACATCAGACTTTTTGGATAAGAATATCCACCAAATTTCATAGTTTTACTGAAAATGCTGACTCATATGACCATGTGAATCTCTGTATGACCATGTGAGCCGTCCCCGTACTGTAGGTCATCTGCTGGTTTGTTTGTATTTTTGGAAGGATTCATTGTTTCATAAGCTTTATTCAGGCTAAATAGTGATGAACTGAATCACTAACAATTCAGGAAAGAGCTCTCTAATGTATGAATAGTTAGCGAGAAGCAGAGAAAAGGCACACCATGCTGATCTACTTGACTTGCAAAATGTGTGTTGGTAAGTCTGCAGGCTAAATGTTTTTCCAGTCAACCAATATGCTGTATTTTATGTGCATCGGATCATCGCCGATTTAAATACAGGATTATTAATAATCTTACCATGAACCTCCTAAAAACTTGTAAATGTAAATATTTTCCTAATGCAATTCAATACTGCAGTCCTCTTTGTGAATTGTATAATATTTAATTGTAGTTGATTGCACTCATGTTTGATTCATTACAGCGCCAAATATCAAATATGTAATATATTTCCCTCCTTGTATCATATTCAAACGAGGAGGATAAAACATCTTTCAATTCGCATTCAAAAAAATGGCCTGGTCTGGTTTGAATGTATAAAACCTCCGAAAGGCCACTAGGTTGCCCTGTTGGGCAACTTCTAAGCTACGTAGATCGCACATACAAATGTAAATGTTTAAACTTTTGTCAATATGCACATCATTAGATCAGTTAGATTCTCCACAATTCAATCGTTCAGTTCATTATACAGAAACAATTAGCACCAAAGTATAATTCATTCAGATTTACCCGTATGGCTGATTGGTCTCTCTCTCTGTGTGTTTCAGGTGGGCCTTGTTGGACTGTCTCTTGGAGCTAGATCAAATGAATGATTTGTAATATATGTTATCCGATAGCCAAATTTTTATACAAGTAATATTCACACTGGTTGAAATAAACAAATTGTTAGTAACCTATTTCCCACCATTGCTGAGCACAAGTGTTGTGCCAAAAGAATTTAAGACCTGTCCCATATAGACCCCTGTCCCAAATACAGGAAGAGTGAGCTCAGTGATTGAAGCAACCACAAGGCTATGAATTGAAGTTTTACAGTAATCAGCAGATGAAATGATAATGAAAATTACTATTAGTAGTCAACACACAAACAGCTAAAGCTATTGTATTGTTTTGCATTACAACTGCATCATAAAAAAAAGGCATTTTGTTTATATGGCCATGTTGTGCCAATAGTTTTAATCCTTTTCAATTTAGTGAAAGGAGAAGAAACAATAACACCTCACATCCTTTATTAAGATTCACCACTATCTTAGAAACAGGCTTTTATAAGATTACTTGAATCATGACATCAAAATCTTTCTCATGCTTGCCATGATGGCTGCCTTAGCGACATACGTAAATGCTACATCAGACTGCTTTATCCAACCATTAATTTAACTGATTTCCATATGCTTTACCTTGCTGGTGCTGTGGTAGAGTGTGTCACTGTAGATGGTGCCAGTCTCCCAGTTCTTGATCTTCATGAAGCGGGGGCATTTCGAGGGACTGCCATTCTGCATTGACATGGGTGAAGTCTTGCCTTGGGCCAGAGGCTGGAAAGAGCGCACAGACATTTATACACGAGACTACTACTTACTTCATGCCTTTGTACAGTGTCTGTCTAATAGGTTCTGAGTTCTGAGACACCTTTGGTGCAAGCTGGATAAGTTGTTATTCATGACTGGGAGCCATACTGAGGAAAGCTGAAAAGGGACGCGGCACTACCACTGTGGGGAAGTAGCGTTGAGTGCCACAGTTAGACATTGATTGGCAAGTTTAAGATGGGTTAACATGTGGAAGCACTTTTAACGGGACTTTTACAGCCAATGTAAGGCAAAGAGCTTTCTGTGTGGACTCTCAGCTCTTTCTTCACAGTGAAAATCAGTTTGTTATTGTGCTTACATCCCTCTCACACAGACCTATGCACAGGAACCTTCTTCCACCTCCATTTCTGTTTAATTTCCCACTCCAGGAGAAAGGTAATCATCATTTAACAGCAGGTTGATGGCAAGCTAACTCTTGGCTCACTGGGCTTTCCAATACTGTATCTATTGACAGATGAATGCCTGCAATTTAACCCAAAGCCAACTGTAAGCGTAGCAAGAGAAAGGCACCAAGTGATTGCCAAAGATCAGTGTAATCAATCCCACATCTTGGAAGCTCTTTCATCATTCCCCATGGCATTGTTAATCGCACAGTGGAGCAGCTTCTGAACAACAGTGACACAATCATCGTGCTCGCCGGAGAGATGAATACCAACAGTGTCACGCCAGTTGAGTCTCATTGTCATTTCGTGTCCTCGTATACAGCAGAGAGGAATGATGTGGATTGAATTTGATTTTGCACACACTGAGAGTAAAGAGCTTAGTTCCTGTGTGTTCATGATGCAGCAGCAGAAACCCCCACTGAGCAGCTCAGATATGACACACTGTTATCACTGAGGTCGTGGACAGGAAGAAAGACCATTGTACCGTAAAGAGACTCTCAGTCAAACAGGCAAAGAAAATCAGATGCAGAGAATTAAAGGCGTCTTGACATAAAAAGCAGAGCAGTTGTGTATTTGAATATGAATATTTGGCTTGTCGCTCACTGACTGGAAGCTATTGCTTTGACATTTACATAGCCTATAAAAAAAAAAGTTTTTTTTTTTTTTGCAGGTTTTAAAGTCTGTTTCTATAAACAACCCGTAAATGTCAGTCTACTTTTTCTTTATTTATACATGTGTACTGATGTACATTTTAAATGTCACTGTGGAAGAACAAACGTCTTTTTTGACCCTGAAAAAAAAAAATTTACTTGAGAGCATGATGGAGCTATTGAATTACCACTAAGTAAATATTTAGGTTAGGCAGACATTAATAAAGAGAGATAAAGACAGAGAATTATATGTCATATATGATTGCCCAGAAATTGTCCAATTGATCTTTTGCTAAACCCCTCCCCTGAACAGTGATTGTCCAATCATAGCAGTGAGAAATGAACAGTAACTTAAGATTGTGAGACATTTAGTTATATCACCAACATTTTGCGTCATCACTGACAGCTGTGCATTGTGAGATTGCTCGCAGAAATTAGTGCATGTGCCATGAACACATTCTCCCCCCCCCCCCATTCCTTTGTGGGATTTTTGTGGACACTAAAGAGTGGATAGATTTACACACTCTCAAAATGTCAGACAGTAAATGTAGTGCACTATATAGTTAATAAGCAGTATTTTCAGACATAGCAAAGCTTTGGATTGGACTCCACACTTTGAAGTGGCGTGCATGGGGCTGTACCAGGAGCAATACTTGGCCTTTAAAGAGTTTTAAGGCTAGTGTCTCTTTTTTGGCCTTTCCAAAACCATGCCACACTAGCAAATGTGTCAGGGATGGATGAAACTGGATGAAAATTTTATTTGCTCTTATCCGCAAACAGTTAACATGTCCAGCAAACTAGTTTACTGCGAACAGTAGTAACTGAGTTTTACTTCCATTAAAGTCATGTTTATGGGGTTATAGGTAACATAAAAAGCCACATATATGACTACAACATAACTACAAACACAGCTGAAAACGGCATTTCCAACTAACTATGAGCTAAGATTAACTTAATGAGAGTCTGCTTTTGTCTACCTCTGTGTGGAATCAAGGAACTGTTGTTTCAAAAAATTTTAAGTGTAAATCTGCTTCTATTAATAGACAAGAGTGAAGTGCCAAGCCTGCGCCCCCTTTTTGGGGAAAGAATCAGGCTTTCACACAATGAGAGAAACAGGAAAATGCTGAAAAGCTATTGTGTAGCTGTTAGGGTTTTGAGATTGTGTGTGGTTATTGCCCGTTTTATTTTGTTAAACCCTTCCTCTTTGTGCGCTTTATTTCCCGTATCTGTGTTTTCTTGTTCTTTGTGTTGTGTTTTCCTTGTGTTTGTTTGCTCCACTCTGATTAGTCCAACCCGTGTCTTGTTTATCGCGTCTTGTGTGTGTATATATTGTCCCCCCCCATGTGTTTGTCAAGTGTCCCTGCCCTTCTTCTCTTTGGATTACCTGTATTCCTGGACTTCTTAGATTTTGGATTATTTGCCTGTTATTTACTTGTTTTGGTCTCTAGTCTGCTAATCCTTTTATTCCTGTGTCTACCCTTGGCTACACCGCGACAGAACAATCCGAACTATAGCAGACACCTATTCAGATGAACTTTGCAACTTGAATTGTGTTCTGGCCGACTCCCACTTCTTGTTTCATTTAAATAAAATACCATAAATTGATTCTTGGCTATACTGTGACATCATCAGGATGTAAAACAAATAAACATACAAATCCAGATGTGATTTAAGTTATAGAAGATGAATATCCTGAATATTCACTTACAGTTACTGTGGTAAACAGTTAAATGATGCCAGTGACAGTTACTACTCATGGATAGCCAACTTGAGTGGGAGGCTGCTGGAGTACAGTCATACAATATAGCAGCATGACTGCATCTCCGACTAAATCTCATTCTAGCCAAGATCAAACTATTAACAGCTTAGTTACTTACAAACAACACTTGGCTTAACAATACCAATAACAATAGTGAGTCAAATATTTATAGATGTCCAAGTAAGGAATATCAGGCTACTGTGTTCGTTCATTGATCCAGTTGGACAGAGGAAGAGTGAGGGGCCATGATTGCTGACCAATCAACATTAATTTATTAATGTATCGCAAATGTTTAGGTTCAGGCAAGGTTGCAAAATTATTCTTACACAGTATTATTATTCTGGTTGTTTTGGTTAACAAAAAATTAATCCATACACAGTTTTCAAAATAGTTATATAAAACACATGTCAAATTGCATTGATATATGTAGGATCTTCAGTTTTCTATCCCCCAAAAAGGGGCGCAGCCATGTGCCGTCTCATTGTAAAGTAGATCTGTGACGTGCAAGAACAGAAAGCTTACAGGCATAGCAACAGAAATGTTGCTAGCAAACAGCCAATTACGAGATACAACACTGGCTGAATAATCAATTTAAACCAATACAGAAAGGCTGTACAGGCTAACTATAGTATATCTTATAGATTAACAAAATAAAACAGATAATGATTCTTTGCTAATGCACAAAGTAAGTCCAGCCTGTTTTAAGGGCACAGTCCTCTCCCATGCAGCATACAAGCTGCATATATAAATCTCACGAGTCAATCACCAGGCCTCAATGTCAAGAATAAGGTGTGTATGTAACAGAAGGGAGCATTCATGAGATAGAAATAAAGATAATTAAAGCTAATCTGATGAAGATAATTTCATAATGGGGCGTAATGACCAAAGTCTTTCTGGTAAATGCAGTTATGCAGTAAAAGTTACTCAGTCACCCATCAATTAAATTCTGATGGGAAATGGAGATGAGCCCAACACAGGGTAGATGGGAAAGACGAAATAAATGGAAGGAGATGCTTTTCATTAAATATTAATATGGTTTAGTCATGTTTCTTATTATGGTCTGACAACTGTTACCTTATTCAGTGATGATTAAGCTAATACGTGTAAAAACAAACAAAAAAAGAGATGCGAAGGCATATTTTATGCTTTCAATGGATCATCAAGGGTGGTGTCCCCAGAACTACTGGTAGAGTTTGACACAAGTTTTCTGGCACCTTTCCTTTGTAGCAGGCTTACTAAACATTAAATTATGCAGGAGCAAAAGCTCAAGCTGGAGGCATATGGACAATCCTTCACCAAAGTGTGAAAACTAATTTGCAGACCATCGACATAAGTTGAAATCCTTTTATTTAATCATTGAAAAAAAATTTGACTTAATTTTACTCGCGCAAAACAAAATGAACTTGTTGCCTGACTTGAGTCTATTGAATTAAACACTTAGCGGTGAGCCATCAAAGTTCGTATCAGTGTCTAGCGAAACGCCTGCAGGGGATCTTCTTCCTGCATGAGTCAGTACACACACACACACACACACACACAGTTTCAACTTCTCACAAGCACATAGGTTTCCTCAGTCTGAGCACACACTTCCAGGAAAGGCATATGGCTTCTTAGCACATCATACATACATATCCTCTCTAACATATCTTACATAACAACGCTCTCACATAAATATTCTCACAAGCATGCACATTAACACTCTCGGTGGTCTGAGGGCCTGGATCATTTCAACAGGGACCACATTTGATGGAGAGAGACGGATCAGCAGCTGCACGCATTCATTATGCCTCCTGGAATCATTTCGCCCCATCCGGTACCATTGATGGGGGCTCGAGCAACGTCACAAGTGGGTGGATAATGCAGACCATGTGCAGATTACGACACTATCCCTGTCAGAGACACTCAGACCTGTGACCAGACCCTTCTGTGTGGAAGGCATAAGCTGGATTTAATGCTGCACAAGCTTTCCCCGGAAAGATCTAATGCCTAGGTGATAGGATCTTAAGCAAAGGCTTTACTACTATGTGCAAAGAAGCAACACAGATGTGCGTGCTCAATTGCTGAAAGCATGGAAAGTGGCAATAGTGTGGATTATTGTACGAGGCTGAAGATCCAGACACTCAAAGGCAGCCATGGATGCACAAGCATTATAAAATCTGGAGAGATTCACTTGTAAACACATGCACACAGACAAAAGTTATTGATCGAAGAGAGCAGAGTTGCACCAACGTGTGCTTACACATGATCGTTTTTGACTGAAATTATTTCAAGGGTTGAGGAATTCGTTTCATTTTACCTCATCACTGCCAGCGTTGTTGAGCACCACCGGCATGTTTTCCAGCGTTCTGTTGTTATCTGACGCCAGCTGGGGAGACGTGTCATTTCCCACGCCAAGTTCCCTAGAAGTCATACACAATTTTCTGTCAGGTGTGTGTGCTCACATCTGGTACAAAATAACTCTCTCATTTCATGTTAAAATGCCAGCCAAACCATGCACGCACATTTGAACAAATCTTTTAGCTTTATAAATAAATGAACCATAGACTCATACACCTTCCAAAAAGCTGTTAAATTGGGAATCCCTGCACAATTTCTAACGGCTCTGCACACCCACATAGGTGTTTTCTCTCTTCAGGACTTAGTGGGTGGCTGGCATCAATCAAGCTCTCCTGTTTTAATGTTTGCACCTGTTGCAGTGGGACATCTTATTCCTATGTGTAGGTCAGCCTCAGCATTTTCTCAATACAGCTCTGCTCAAACTTCATTTTGAGAAGAAGGGGGTGTAAGCATGCGTTGTGAGTGAGAAGGGGGAGAGGGAAGTTAATTGCAAGGTGTATTGACATAGCCTCTGTCATTGAATCCTTTTAGCCACACTTTGTTTACGTTATCTCCAAATAAATGAAAATATATTTTACTCCATCACTTTCCCTGCCTACGTGTTCCTAGTTCATCCAGGAAATCAAAACTACATTTAGGTTTCTTGTCACATTTTCCCTTGTTTCACCTCATCTCTTTACTTAGACCGGTAGGAACATAGCCAAAGACTTTAGTCTGAGTCTTATTTCCCGAAAGACAAAAGGAGCAGGATGTGACCAGTAAGAGAGCTCACTCTTGAGCTGTAACTATACGATCCTGAGAGACTAAAGGAGAAGGAGGAGGAGATGTCCCTGTGCTGTCAATGTGGCAAACCGCAATAGGCATGAATAAATACCTCAAACTCATCGGTGTGTGATTTCAACTTTGTGTTCCTCCAGTCGTCCCCTACTATCTTTCACACGCAACCCCCCCTATCTTTTTCATGTGCACATGTCCATCCTAGTTGTAGATTCACACAGGCATCCCGTCTCCTTTTCATACTCCCTGTCACATTGCATCTCTTTAATGCAGCAGTTTGCAAGAGCATATGTATTCCCACAATTTGAAGTTGGAGTTCAGACATGCAGAAAGAATGAGAGAAGTTGTCATTAGCTCTGAATGTAATGTAGAGCATCAAAGGCTCATTTTGGGTTGTGAAAATGTAACAAGCTATCAGAGATGTTATTGTACAAATGTGATCAGAAGAAACAGATGATTCTGGCTCTTCATAATGGCCTTTCTAATAGCTTCTATTTAGAACGGAAAGCCTAAACAGAAGGTTAAATTCAAATGTCTCCTTCCTGGTGCTGATCAAAGGTCAGCATGTTGTCTATAGGCTTCAAACCTTATTTCTGGGCAACCAGGTGAACATTTCAGCAGGACTTTCATGCTTTGAGTTTGTTTTCTAAGCACATGTCTCACTAGAATGCAATGAATCACTCAATGTGTATTTATCAAAGAGAGGAGGATGTGCATGGAATGGTCAAGAATGAAATATTGATTCAAGGAGACTGTAGCCTCAATTTGATTTAAATTGGTTGTGGGAGTACAATAGCAGATAACCAAGATGCCAATATCAACGGTACACTGTGCAGACCATTTAGACAGAGCCTGGGATGAAAATATTGGCTCAGACTGCCTTATTTAAAGCCAGTCCAGAGTAAACTTAACAAACAAGAAATCTAAGCGCAACATTTGCGAGTCTTACACATTAAATGTTAAAAAGGAGCACACATATACAGAATTGTTTCCAATTTCACACTTCTGAACTACTTGCTTGCCGAAACACTGCTACACCTGACCTCCATAAGCTAGAGGGAGTGTTTCGAGGAGGTTTTGTTCTTTTGCAAGCTGATATAGAATGGCCTAATGACATGTTTGCGACAAGCTTTGTGTTGCAGTATGCTAATTGGGGTCTACTATGTCACATTAATACAGGAACTGACATCACTGCTAATGAAGCAAATGCAACTGTCTAAGGTTTTCACATGTGAACTGCACCAAAACCTCCTCAAATTAAGGCAGATTGCAATGACATTCTGATTCATGCTAACAGTTTTCTAAAATCTTTGAAACCACTGTCAGGCAAAGATGTAGTTAAGTAACCTAAATCCTGATCAGAGACAAGACGTTTCAATTAAAGTATGAAAAACTGCCTAAGAACATGTACCTTCATAAAGCAGTTGTCTCAGTAATTGAGGAATAGCAACTGAAATCGTCATGATGAGAGTTGTTAGCGGTGTCATCTTAATTGTGGTTTGCTAGCGAGCATGCAGACAGTAATTACTTGGCACTGTACACTGAGTCATACTAGATGAAAGAGAGCCTGTCTGTGGTAGCTAATGCAACGCAGCTGGGTCAGGTAGTTAAGGGACTGCAAGGTGGCAAAGTAAATGGGCAGACTTCCTTTCAATCAAAGAACCAGGTGTAGGCTCTTGTGGCAGCTAATAACCACTTTGTTGAAGAGTCCCTGACCTAGATTCTAATTCTACCCCTACACTAACTCCTACTCTCACTTTGGATGGGAACAAGCACAAAGACACTTTAAGTAAGGGATCATTGAGGTAGTATCACATGATATATTACCAGGCCACTTGAATCTCGGCGTCCCTTCTCTCAGTGTTCCTCTGGCCTTCTCCATTGATCTCCTTCTTGCTGTTTTTGATGAGGCGCAGCACTGGTTCGATCTCCTTCAGCAGCTCATTGTTCTCCTCCAAACCGTTGCACAGGTTAGCTTCACACCCCTCCTCCTTCATCAGCAGGGGATCCTGGGCCTGCACACCACCCCTCTGCAAGAGGGACTGGGTGATGGACGGAGAGGACAGGTTCTCAATGGCCCTAAGCTGAGGCTCCTTAACCTGCTGCTGCTGCCCAGGGCTGAATGGGTAGCACTGCTCGTAGGACTTTGAGGGTGGGACGGCAGGACGTGTGACCCTCACTGTGCGTTGGTGGCCATCTCCAGACAGGGTTGTCTCCAGGTGGGTGGTGAAGCCCTCAGGCCCACGGAGGATCAGTACGGCATGGCTCTCGGGTGACACGTTCTTAAGCGTCTCCAGGGCTCGTTCGTAGGACAGGTCCACCAGGGGCTTGTTGTTTACAGCCAAGATGATGTCGCCCACCTGCACCAGGCCACACTCCTCTGCTGCCCCGCCACGGATGAGGTCAGACACGATGACAGGTGGCTTGGACACCCTCTGCTTCACCAGAAAGCCCAGACCACCAACCTTCCTCTTGAAAAGACGCACTGAGATGATGTTGGGCTGCAGCTGGCACACTGTAGGCTCCGACTCCTGCATGGTGCCTGTGTGGGATTGTGTGTGTGTGTGCTTGTGAGTATGTGTGTGTCCCCAGGGATGTTTCTGAAAAGCAACAGAAGGAGAAAGGAGGGGGGGAGGATAGAGGTTCTATTAGTTTTAGAGGAAATTACCTTGACTGCATGATTTGTTTAGTGTGTTGCTTTAATATGAGTCAAAGAGGGTATATGAGTCATTAAAGCACAGTGATATTGATGGTGTTACACAGATAATTCAGTCCTGTTGAGCTACAGATGCAAAATGTCGTCACGGAAATGAAAAATCTATTATCCAACTGATCAGACCTGCTCGTATCTCTATGATCCTCAGTATTTGCATCACAGAATCAAAAGTCTCAAAGGCAAATATAGGCTTAGGTACAGTTAATTAAACAAGGGCTAACAATGTTAACAGGTGCACAGCATTTGGAAAAGTCTTCTTTGCTGAGCTTCTGTCTTGCTTTTTCTACTCCTGAAAGTATTTCACCAACTACTGAGTATAATTGTGTGGTACTTCCACTTTAAACTGATCAAACTGTATACTTCTATTCCACTATTAAATCTACTCTATTAAATCTTTAATCATTTATTTAACAGCTATAGTTAGAGCAAATTAATATTTTAAATAGAAAAAAAAAAAACACCATGTGATCAGTTTCTAAAATGTGATGCATTATTATATAATGCTACCCAGCAGTATATAAAGTAGTTAATACATCAACGATATTGATCCAATAATACTCTGATATCATTAAAGGCATTCTGCACAATAGGTCATTTTACTTTTTATAGTGTGTCAAAAACACGGCTGAAGCTGCTCTGCGCGTGCTATGCAGTCAGTATACAAGGGCAGGCACGAGGCGTGTTTCGGGAACCACATTCAGCACCAAGGTCAGCGCCCTTCTGAATGCTGCCCGTTGTCACACTCCACTTTCTGTTATCTCTGCTCCCCTTCAACAGTTCAGTGACGTTTCTTTCTTACTCTTTCCAAGTGCCAGATCTCTGAGGGAATGCCCTTGAGTGCGTGATGTCGCTGAGATATAAAACCAGATTCGCCAGAGCCCAGTGAGTGAGGCTTAGTCACACGAAAATGTTCATATATTCTTGTATTGGCCACGAGTTCACCAATTCCACTCCAAATCTACTGATACTTTGCATATTAGTGAAATCACACATTCAGGGGGTGAGGTCTGCGTGGCTTCAGGAAAAAGTGGTGCACGTTCATAAATACTGACTTAACTGTCCTGGGGCGCAGGAATAACTTAAATCGGCTGCCCTTTAATCCTAACTCTTTGTAGCTGCACCCTACTAAGATGAGAAATTACCAATAACGGATATGAATATTGATGGAAATGTGCTCTGAATATGAAAATTCAAATCTTTTTTTGAGAATGCTGCAGTGTCTGGCTTCGGTAGGATGATTCTCTATTGTATGGTTATATTAACTACAACGCTTTAGCTAAATCAAACAAAGATGGATCATTGGTTAGGCTACATACCATTTCTAGCTGAGGAACTTTTCATCAACTCAGCTACGTATGCGGATTCACAGGTATTAAATAAACATTGTGCATTTGTACTTTTACTCATTAGCCTATCTACAATCATAATTCGGGGTTATTCAGAAACTAGCTATTAATTAGCTATTAATTAGCAGTTCATTCTTGATTGTTTTTAAGTGGTAAGTATTTCCTTTTCTTACAAACTCTGAACTTGTTTTAAGTTTTCCTACTGCTCAAAGCTTTTTATTTTAAAACATTTGATTTCTTTTCAATAGGGTCCTCAGGAGGCAAACCCCCCAGTCCTTTTGACTTGAACATAAGAGGAATTCTTTTTCTGCCATAAAATCACTGCTGAATTATCAACCAGACAAAGTGAGCAACCGTGCAGGGGCCAAATGTTGGTTTCCATTATCTCCCATTTGTGTGACCACGTCTTGGCCCTGTGTCAAAGTCTACTTTAACAGCTTTATTGGTTTGTACTACCACAAATTAACTTAGGCAGGTATTATTGACCAACTGGTTGGTTTTAATACCTCAAATATAGCAGGCCTATGTGTATGCATTAAACACACAAAACAACAACAGGTGGGGTCGCCACAAACAAAACAAACTTGGAGGACAGTTTTCTCCAGCCCACCACGGTAGCAAAAAACGCAAATTAAACAGATGGTGAGGCATTTCTGCAATAACTCCCTGACACCAAGAACAAGAATTTCCTTTCTCTCTGATTTCTGTTGTGAATAGAAGTCCAGTCACAGCAAACGAGCAGCTACAGAACGGCGTGTTAAGAGAAAAGCAGTTACCAGTAATATTTAATGTGTTAAATATAAAACAAAATATAGTTAAACACAAAATGCAAAGAAAACCGAATGGCAGAATTTAATTTTCATAAAACAACATTTCTACATGTTAACGTTTAGGACTTAAACAGGGAAGGGCAAGTAATTCAAATGTGTAGTTTGGTTCCATTTAGCACAGCTCTGCTCAATGCAATCGGCAAAAATGCACGATATGGTCCCACAGAGCCTGAATTTCTTGGGTATTTCCCAGAGCAACAAGTTCTATCAACACTGATTTGGCAACATTTAAAATAACAACAACAGTAAGGCTGAAAACTCCTAATTCTGGTTGACAAAGAGATTTTTCAAATAAAATACACCCTGTCTTAGCCACAGGTTAGTTCAGGAACGCAACCTACATGCTCAATAATAGCGCTTACACATTCTAATCCACCAGGGGAACGCGCAACCCAAATTTCAACGAAAACAAAAGATAAAGGGAGCACAGGTAATTTAAACGAACAACAACTCACCCCTGAGAACAAGGTCCCTGTCACAACGACCTGCTGCAGTGAACTTGGGGTAAAACTCCTGCGCTCCCGCGTCTCTTCCTCAGCAGCGGCTGCACAGGTCTTTCATCCAAAAACGTCTCCAAGTCGCAACGACGCGTCCTGCCTCTCTAGAGACGAGGCATGCTTGTGCCTTTCCGCACACCGGGGCGCCTTATAAATACAGAGCAGCGGGAGACACTGTGACGAGTTGGGAGAGAGCCGTGCACGGGCATTTAAATGAACTGTGGGTGGGTTTAGTTATGTCGGCTATCGTCATCACTCAGCATGCAACAGCCGACTCTCCTCACATCCACACTCCTCCTAGGCCTTCAGAGGGAGGCAGGGAAAAGGTAAGGTGTGTCACAGCTACAACACGTAAACTTTTGATTGTGATCTTCTTGAACTTCCAGTAAAGTCGGACTAGTCAGGGGGATAAAGATGTAAGCACTGATGACTCAATAGAGAAGGCTGAAGAGCAGAAGTTTTGATTAAAATTGCAACTCGGTGGTCAAACAAATCCCCTCTTCATTTATTTTACACTAAACACGCATGCATAGGCCTACTAAACAGTAAAAAAAAAAAAAATCTTTTTACAAGAAGAATTCATTACTAGTCCAAACTTCTTGTTACTCAGCAGGCAGATAAATGAGCATCGACCTTGAACCGAGAGAGGCTGAACACAAATGTAATCAAACCGCCAGCCTTTTAAAGAGATTATTATTATTTATTAGCCTTCATCTAATTAAGATTCTAATCTTTCTTCAAAAGACAAATTAAAAGACAAAATATAAATTAGACTAATGAGCCTAAAAACACACCATTAACAATCCGATCTCGTCTCATGCGTCACTACACTCTTTTGAAGAGCCGTGTCCATTGTACGCAAAACGGCGATTTTGCATGTAGGCCTATATGATACGCTGCAGATTGCAATAGTGTTGCAACACAAAGGAGGTTAACCCTACTTGCTAGCAGGTCGACATGCACATATTTACTGACTTAGGTTTAGGCACTAACTAATGCCATGGTTGAGGTTAGGGAAGTTGCATCGAGGGGCTGTCAACTCCTTAAACAAATACATCGCTATCTAGCTAGCTAGTGACCCTGGGGCGTCACGTACACAGGCGGCCTGGTTGCGTCTACTATACACGCAAAATCGCCGTTTCGCGTACAATGGACAAGGCTTTTCCAAAGCATGTATTTGACGCCTGAGCATGAGAACAGGCTGGTTTACCTGTATATGTTCTTTTTGAAATGTGACCTCAGGTGATCACCTTTTAAAATGATTATGTGGTAAGCTTCAAATCAAAAAAAGAATGTACCAAATTGCTCATTAACCCACTTCTGTCCTGTATGCACACATAAGAAGTGTTGGATCAGACATTTGAGGAATGGAAATGTAAGAAAGTAAGAAGAAAGGCTTAAGAATGACTAAGAACTTAAATTAATCAGAATCAGTTACAGTAGGAAAGCGAGGGCAGAGAGTAGGCCTACAGGCAGCTTTGGCACACTGTGATGAGTAAGTGATTTCAACTGGTGTGTCCTTTAGGCTTCAGTTTACAAAAGGAACTACTTTGTCAGGATCCCCCTGCCTTGACACCTGTATGTAAGTGAAAGTGTTATGATATTATTTCTCAGTTTGCATGAATGCTGGATTCCTGTTGTGTTTTCTTCTGTCAGTTTGTGTTCTCTCTTGCACTTCCTCATTCTCTCTTCCTCTCATCTCTCTTGGCAGTTATGCAGGGGCGTAGGAGCAACTTACGGCGCTGAAATGCTTTTTTGTAAATAAAGCACTTAAATGCTCATTTCTAATGACTCTTGAAATCAGAATGTTAAGAATGTTAATTTTAAGTGTGGCTGAAAGAGGGTCTTTGTAGTGACAGAAGATTGAGAATAGACTGGAGAGGGAGAGGGTCAGAGAGATGGAGTATAATATAACTAGAACAAAACCGACTACATACCATGAAAAACATGAAACAGCTGCTAGTTACAGTAGCTAGCCACAGTACAAATGTATTTAGTTATCCTAATGTTAGACTTGAGAGCTGCCTGTGAGATTTCCTGTCTCACTTGGCCCTGACTCTCCCTGCAACAGATGTTTGTGAACACAGACCTGTCTTCAGTGCAAACTCTGATGACATGCCGTTGGCCGAACAAAGTATTTTTACTACGTGACTTTTAGAATATAGCCTTCTTACAAGCTCGTCCTCCAAAGTTCTTTCTACTCCTGCTCCTGTGACCTCTGTCCTCTTCCTCGAATACTACAGGATGCTCGTCTCTGTGTGACAATTGACTACTTTTCAATTGTTTATGGACACGTAGCAGAGACACATACACACCTCAGGACACAAGTTTCTTAAAAAGTGGCCCAGGAGTTTGTCCCTGGTCAGCCCACTCTCCAAACAAAGCATTTGTCTGGGGCTCTGGGGCATATAATCCTGAATTCTTGAGAATTTTATGCAAGTAGAGTATATAACTTAATGAGGCTTTAAAATACTAAAACTAGTAACACCTGTTTAACTGTCCTATAGTAAAGAAATCAACTCAGCTGAGCCCTTGAATACAATAAATAAATAAATAAGCCATATCATCATGAATCTTACCTGCTGTCTGTCTCATGTTCACCATGTCAGCACTAGTAATGGTACCGCTGGTCAGTGGCGGGTAGAGTACTAATCTTTACTCAAGAAAAAGTACAATTACTCCCATAAAAAGTTAGAGGAAAAAATTACAAACCTACTCAGGTAAAAGTGTAATAATATATTTCATCTGCTGTTCATCTGGTTAGAAACAGCTGCAACATGGTTATTGGCTGGTTACATGGTAATTTGCTTTGCTGGTTGATTATCTTTAAAACAGTTATTTTCCTTTTTAAATCTCAATGAAGATATTGATAAGATCACTTTAAAAATATCAGCTTGTTGCCTAGACACTATTGTTGCATGTGTCTATTTTTTTTTACGGACATGTAGCCAACCAAACCATATGCTTTGCAATAGCACAGGAAGCCAATACAATCTGATTATTCCTAAAGCATCTAAATAATCTTCAAAACTCAAAATATTATTGTGGCAGTAACACAGGAGCAGCTCGTTGTTGAAGCAGGTAAACCTACATACAGTTCATGCAAGGCCAACAGGACTGTTTTATCCACCCATATTTTCTCTCTCTCCCTGCTTTTCAAAAATGATTGTTTCCTGAATAAATAACAGTTGGTAGCTGCTGAGTGAAGCCAAGATTAGTTTCACGGCGACATTCTGTTTATGGACTCTCTGTCGGACAGCGCTATAAAACAAATGGTAACCAAAGTGGGGGGAAAAAAAGATACTATCCATCAACAGAAAGCGATGCTCTTTTCAACAACAGGATATAGGATACTGTTAGAATCAGAATCAATAGATCATCTAACTTATGTTATAGTGTGAAGTCTACATTTGCTCTGCTGAGAGTAAATACATGTTTAATACGCTGTTAATGGAAAGTGAAAGTATTTATTTGCCGGCTTCTTAAAGAGCGACGCAGTCTGCTTTCTAACAGGCCACCAGTGCCATGGTGTGCGCTGGATTTCAGTCATATTATTAGAACAATAAAGCCTTAAACTGAAAAAACATTTGCCTGATTTTCTAAATGTTTGCATCTGCCCAGCTTTGTGACTGTGACAAGCGCCGACCAGAGCTTTACTGCGTAACTGCGCGCACACAGCCTGATTCAGTTAATGAAGCAAATGCAGATTACAGAAGTTATGGAAAATGTAGCGTTCTAAAAAAAAAAGAAGAAAAAGTAGATTACTGGAGTAAAGAATACACTGGAGTAAAGGTAGGAAGGTACCAATTACTTTTTACTTTGTTATTTATTTTGCAAATTTGCAAAAAGTTACTACCCACCCTGCAGCAGGAGTCCTCACTGCTGTCTTCAGGTAGGCTATAAGTAACAGTAGCACAAAAGAAACATAATATTGACGCACTTTGCTGCACATGCCTGCAGCGAACTCTATTTTTTTTTTCTCCCTTAAGTTTTCAGCACCACCTTTGCCTTGTGTCACATGTTTTCTATAGGCCTACATGATTTTTGCCCTTGTTTCAACCGTTTAATCATGTCTGATGCGGAGTGTGTGATTGATTAGTCATTCAAACCGCCTGGCTATGAGCCAACTCCGAAATCGCCGGGTAAGAGTGGGGGGGACATGTCACATTCATGACGTTATTAGCTCATTTGATCACTATTAATCACTGTCATTGTCACATTTTGTGATCAGACTAATCACAGCCTGGATTGGACGGGACATTAAAAAGGTTAACGAGCAAACTTTCAAATGATGAAGTCGTTGTTATGCATGAATGGTAATATTAATGAAGAATTAATAATAAGCATTAACAAATGAAAGACTGACCTCCATATAGAACATTTTTGTTGCACAAGGATTTAATGAAGGAAAAACAAAAGGAAACTGCAGTATTATCCAACTGGAATCATTCTTTCTATCTATCTAAAAGTAGGCATAGACCTACTATTATCTGAAATTATAATGCATACACTAACATAAGCCTAATCAAACCTTAACCACATTGGTTTAATATCTGATCACAGTTTTATTTGTGAATAAACTGAATTGTTGAATCTCAACTGATAAGTTGTTGAAATGCAACACATTGTATCTGTAGGCAGACAATCCAAAGAAAATGTCCTTTAAATATATTGATATTACACTAACATTATACTTTTTATTTAATGTTATTAAAATGGTTTGAAATTATAGCAACTGTCATTGTTGTTGCATAATAGATACTACATTGCTCAAAGGGAAAGGAAGGGAACACTTAAATCACACATCAGATCTTGATTAACGAAATAGTTCAAAGTTAAAATTTTTTAATGCTCATTGTATAATTTGTTGAGAACAAAATTATGTTACTACAGTCAATGGAAACCAAAATCACCAACCAATTGAGGGCTGTATTCAAAATCACAGCGAAAGTCAAAATAAAAAAAGTTTAAATCACATTGATCCAACTTGTGTGACTTTCATCACAGTGACTTAGCGATGTGTATGGCCCCCACGTGCCTGCATGCATCCAACAATGTCTGGGCATGCTCTCGATCAGACGGTGGATGGTGTCCTGGAAGATCTCTTCCCAGACCTGCAGGGCTTCAGTGAGCTCCTTGACAGTCGGATGCACCGAAACATAACATCCCAGAGGTTCTCATTTGGATTTAGGTTCTGGGGAACGTGAGGGCGTGTGAATGGCATCAATGCCTTCGTCATCCAGGAACTGCCTACACAGTCTGGCCACATGAAGCCTGGCTTTGTCCTGCACCAGGAGGAACCCAGGGCGCACTGCACCAGTGTAAGGACTGGCAATGGCTCTGAGGAGTTCCTCCCAGTATCTAAAAGCAGTCAGGGTACCATTGGCTAGCACGTGGAGGTCTGTGTGACCCTCCAAAGATATGCCCCCCCATATCACTGACCCACCTCCAAACCGGTCATACTAGATGATATTGCAGGCAGTATTTCAAGTTCACCACAGCATCTCCACACTCATTCACATCCATCACATGTGTTCAGTGTGAACCTGTGAATCTGTGAAGAGCACTGCCAATGGAAGATGTACCAATTCTGTTGTTCTCTGGTGTATGCCAGTTGACCTGCACTGTGCTGGGCTGTGAACAAAGACCCCACTAAAGGGCACTGAGCCCCAATGCCACCCTCATGGAGTCTGTTTCTGACAGTTCTGACAGAAACGCGCACACAATTAGCCCGCTGAAGGTCATTTTGTAGGTCTCTGATAGTGGTCCTCTGACTCCTTGCACAAAGGAGTACATACCAGTCTTGATGCCGGGTTGATGCCCTTCTGCAGCCCAGTCCAGCTCTCCTCGTGCCACTGTCCATCTCCTGGTATCTCCTTCATGCTTGTGAAACTGGGCTGGGAGACGAGCCAAGCTGGAGGAGATGGACTGCATGGAAAACTAGAGAACAATCAGTCAGGATGGACTGCCTCTCCAGTGCACCTGTTGTCACTTTTATTTGCACCAAAACACGTGACACTGATTCACAATCACTTATGCTTTCTAACTGGGCAGTTAGGAGTCTCTGACCATGCATCAGTTTCCATGGAACAACATCAAGGTAAAAAATAAATATCCTGTGCCTCTAATGTCAACCGCTTTTGACTTTACTCAAGGTGCCATACTCTGCACCAAGTTGGATCTACGGAATGACGACCGCGTGATTTGGATCCATGGGGTGGATAAATGGAAAAGAAGTTTCAGCACTCCCATAGGACGCTTTGAGTATGTGGCAATGCATTTTGGGTTGAATAATGCACCAGCAGTTTCTCAGTGTCTACCTCAATGACTTTAATATTTTTTCCAGAGAGCCTTCAGAGCAGTACCAACACTATGCCAACTGTCGTCACACCAAGCTCCCAACTACACAGCGGGTGACAAGATATGACTTTCTAATAAAGATTTACCATTAAAAGCCGATTCCAGAAAGTTGTCACCCCGATTCATTGGCCCATTTGTCATTTAGAAAATAATCAACCCTGCTGTAGTCCGCCTCAAGCTTCACCCCGCACTCTTCAGGTTTACCCATCCTTCCATGTTTCTCACCTGAATTGCTATCAGGGCCTTGACACCTGTATGTGAGTGAAAGTGTTTTGATTTTATTTCTCACTTTGTATGAATGCTGGATGCCTGTTGCATTTTGGTCTTTGTCTCTTCCTCTCTGTCTCGTCTGCTGATCATTTCAATTGACCGTCTGAAACAATCCTGCAATACGTCTGGAGTACTGGAGGACATATATAGTACTTAAGAAGGACATTCAGTCCCTACCGGATTGCTGAGTCATCTGACCTGTGTCTCCCAACACTCCAGCCTATCTGAACTAGTTTTTGAAAAACTTTTTCCTAACCTCATAGTTTTGCCTGCATGTCTCTCTGTGGAACCTACCTGCCTGCCCTAATCCCTGCACGTTCTTTTTGTGTTCAATAAATCACCTTAAAACCTACGTAATGTGTCGATCTGCTTTAGGGTTTCAGACCTGGTATCTGACAGACTTCATGTTCACTAGGAAGAACCATGCCACAAAGATGGTTTTAAAGGTTTAATGAAATGTAAGTATTTATTTTTTATTTATTTAATATATTTAATTAAGAGGGACAGCCTACAATAAAATAAAAAAAATAAACATTTCCGTTTGATGCACTGTACCAAATTATAGCGTCAAGCTAATTCACTTCTGCAGTCCCTAATTTGCATCTGCAGTTATTGGATGTTGATGGGGAAGGAAGTTGTCTGTTAATAGTTGGGTCTGGGATGGATATATAGCAAGAGTAGAAGACTAACAGTACCTAGAAACTTAGAGTTAAGACAAGTATTCACATGGATTGAATAAGAGGTGATGAAAGGAGGGAAAAGAGGGTGGATGGATGTGAATAAGGAGAGGATCAGACAGCATGGGTATTGCACAGGTGTGCCTTAGGCTGGCCACAATAAAAAGCCACTCGAAAATGTGCAGTGTCCGAAGGGGTCCGGAGGGGGCCAGAAACCAGTCAGTATCTGGTGTTACCACCATTTGCCTCATGCAGTGCAACACATCTCCTTTGCATAGAGATGATCAGGTTGTTGATTGTGGCCTGTGGAATGTTGGTCCAGTCCTCTTCAATGGCTGTGCGAAGTTGCAGTAAGGTCGAGACCCCGATGAGAACAATGAGCATGCAGATGAGCTTCCCTGAGACGGTTCCTGACAGTTTGTGCAAAAATTCTTTGGTTATGCAAACCGATTGTTGCAGCAGCTGTCCGGGTGGCTGGTCTCAGATGATCCTGGAGGTGAAGATGCTGGATGTGGATGTCCTGGGCTGGTGTCGTTACACATGGTCTGCGGTTGTGAGGCCGGTTGGATATACTGCCAAATTCTCTGAAATGCCTTTAGAGACGGCTGAAGGTAGAGAAATGAACATTCAATTCACGGGCAACAGGTCTGGTGGACATTCCTGTAGTCAGCATGCCAATTGCACGCTCCCTCAAAACTTGTGACATCTGTGGCATTGTGCTGTGTGATGGAACTGCACATTTTCAAGTGGCCTTCTATTGTGGCCAGCCTAAGGCACAGATGTGCAATACCCATGCTGTCTGATCTTGATATGCCACACCTGTGAGGTGGATGGATTATCACAACAAGTGCTCACTAACACAGATTTTGACAGATTTGTAAACAATATTTGAGAGAAAAGGTTAGCATGTGATGCAAAAAAGAAAAAGACAGGATTGTTTTATTACACAGGATAGTGCACTGGAAAATTTCAAAAATAGAAATGTAAACATCTCATCACAAGGGATATCTTCATCAATTCAGGACACATTTACAAAAAAAAGTCTAATAAACACGTATAGAAAATATGCTTATAAGATTATGACAAATGCAAGTGCAAAAAATGTATACTTTAAAAATAAAACCATAGTTTTAAACTTCTCTGTCTGTTCTGTTATAAAGTTGTGTATTTGAGGTTTAGTAGAGAGATGTAATGGAGGTAATCAAAAGATAGTTATGACATGACAAGTCAAATATTTATTAGTGGGTTGATTGTAAGATCTCCTTCAAACCATTCACAAACAGTTTTGTCAACAACAAAATCACACATTTTTGTAACAAGTTTTTACATTCTTAGTTTGCAAATTCTTGTCTCACTTGTTGGTTGCTGAAAGACCCGTGCTAAGACTATTTTTGAAAAAAGTTGAGTGTATTAGTAACACCAGTAGATACAATAAGAGTCAATAAATCATTTAGGTCCAAAAAAATATTTATTTTGTATCTTAAAAGTTTTTTTTTAAATAATTTAAGAGACAAAAACTTACCCAGTTGTCAGTCATTATTTTAAATATATTTTAAATATATTTTTACTCTGATGTGTGTGAAAAGCAGCCATCTACAGTATCAGAGTAATAAACAACTGCTCAAGCCCAACTGACATCTCATTTTAAAGTAAAAATGAGTAAATATGAAAAATAAAGTCTGTAACGTGCTTCATAATTTGGTCATAACACACAGATGCGATATAATTAAAAAGTTTCACTCTAGTGATTGAATGGAAAATACCAATCTATGTTTGATTAGTAATGACCTTTAACTAGGATACACAGATCAGATGATTATAATCACAAACTGTAAGTGCAAAGTAAGTATCACCCTCTTACTTTTCAATTTTAGGCATCAAACTAAGGGTCTTTTCCAGACTGACTCATAATAGTCAAGTTTCCTTCCAAATGTAATGTAAATTTTAACCAAATTCCTAAAAACTTCTGTAGGTAAAAAAAAAAAAAAAAGCAGCAAGTGTCGACCATTGAAAGCGCTCTTCAAGTCACCATTCCACCCATTCATACACTTATGGCAGAGGCTGCCATGCGATTTCATTTATTAGAAGCAGAAACGAATCACACACACACACACACACCCACACCCACACCCACACCCCAATCTGGACTCATTTGGGGTTCAGTATCTTCAACATGTAGAACGTAGGAGGCGGAGGAGAACCACCTACCTTCTAATTAGTGGATGACTTCCCGCTACCTCCTGAGCCACATGCGCCGGACAAATAAGACACCTGTTTCATATACAGCTTGGTTTATTTGCAAAATATGTTTCCATAGCACTTTGCAACTTTTCCATCTCAGCCAAGCGTAAATAAAAGTTTTGTGATATTTAGATCTTTTATTTTATTTCCCGCATTTCCACTGTGTCAAAACTTACCAAGGAAGTGGAGGGATTGTGTCACGCTCAAGGGCACTTAGACAGGACAAATGTACCCGCTGATGGACACTCTTGATTGCAGAACACCCCGTGTAAACCTTCTGACCCAGCCTCCTTCTTGAGATATCAGATGAGAAAAATTGACTCAACTCTCTATTACTGTGTGCACCCCACTTTGGTACCCATGTGATAACAAATTATGTCACTCCAGACATTATAGCCCCTCTTCTCTGCATATGACCGCCAAGTGAGCCTTTTCTCCCCAGCAGTTATTGAGGTTCTCCCTAGAATAGAAGAAAATAATTACCTCCATTTATCATAACGGGCTACAAGTGGAGTCCTCCTCCATGTGTTTTCTCTGTTATCTTGCAGATGACGCACAGACATTTAGGTAGTTAGAAATGGAGCTCCGGTGTACGGTGAGATATAACCTGGTCGAGTTCAGAGTGTGTGGTTATTCATGCATGATCAGTGAGATGAGACTGGCCTTTGCCTTACATCAGCTATTACTTGATGTGTCGACATATAGACAAAACAGAGTGCAATTCCTGGACATCACACATGCACATACATATAAGAATAACAGCGTTTAATGAAAATAAGATATTTCTTTGAATCCACTTTGAGGACACATTTTTAGACACACAGACACCCTTATATTCATTCAGTACACACATACCAACATTCCACAGTCGGCCATGTCATTATGTCAATCACTTCCTGCTTGAGTGGTACCATCTGCCCTCTCATAAAGCCACACACCATGTGGATCACTGTGCAAAGCCCCTGCTTAGCCCCATTACATTGCGCATTGCCCAGAGTTAAGACTCCCTGGTTAAAATTACATCTGTTTCTTTTTATACATCTTCCCCTCTTCTCATTTGTTCTAAGACCCTTAACCTTTTTTTATTCACATTGAAGGAAAGAAACATAATTTGTAGTGTGTGTGTGTGTGTGTGTGTGTGTGTGTAGCTATAGGACATGTTTTGTTTGCATGACTTTATTTTTATGCCTGCCTGAATACATGTGCCAATGATTTTCTCAACACACGTAATCCAGAACAACCATAATTCACATATCGTAGATTTCAATTCAGTTTTTTCCATGTGATGTTCTCAGTTCTATCAGCCTGTTGAACCAAAAGCCTTTGAGTGAAGGAAAAGTCCTTCACTCAATTCGGAAAATTATACAGGGGCGCATTCATCCCCTGAGCCAAGGATTTGACAGCGCTTACCATAAATTTAGAGAAACTACTAGTCATCACAGCAGGAATGCAGGCATATCTGAATGTATAGTGAAGATAACTATAATGATTCAATTTTGCAAATGCATGCACACCATGACATGCTATTGATACAGGTATGTCTTGTTTTGTCCACCCACTACAGTGATTTCCCATCTTACCTTTTCAAACTTCTTAAGATATCAAATTAGTCAAGCTTAATACAAGTGCTCTATTTTTTTGGTTTCTTTTAACTGAATGATTTTCCATTATGTTTCTTTGTGGATCCACCGAGGCGATTTAACAGCATTTTGTCCTGTTGCAATCCCTTGTGCTGCTACTCCTCAGGCTGGGATCTTGACATACCTGCTGATCATGCCAATGAACTACTTCACACAATCCTGCCATACTTAAGGATGACATTTACTCCCCAGCAGATTGTAGTCATCTACTGTATGTCTCCTGGCCAGAGGTGAGTTATCACCGCTAACCACACGTTATCGTTTACAAGTC